AGCCATCGAGTTTCACCTTATTCCTGTAAGTCCAGTCCTTGAGGATAAGTTTTACCTGAGAGTTTAAGGTGCCATGAGCATGAATAGTGTCTTAGTGAGCTTTTTTGKTCTTTGCTTTGAAATTAATGCCAGCATTATTTCCAAGAAGTATTTGTTAGCTGTCTTAATTGTTTTCTGGAAAGCCAGTCATATATTTAAATTATTTCTGCACTTTATTGCACCATACTTACTGTTTGCATAAAAGAAAATTTGTAACTTGATGCTGCTTCCTAATGCTGTTCATGTCACTCGAAGGGCAGAGTACAGTGGTGGGAAGTTGTGGCTGTAGAGACTGATTTGGCTCAGATTCCTACCCTGTAGATTTCATTTGGACATTAGGAAAGGTGGAACTTGACCTGGGATGGCTTTGCACAGTGCAGCCCTAAATGTCAGTATTGAGTGGGTTTTGAAGATCAAAACACAGGAAAATACTCCCATAAAAAATTCAAGAAGGAAAATACTAACTCTTGCTGAAGTCTAAACTACTTTAGTTATATTGATTCYTTATTTTATTTTATTGCAATATAAGTGAAACCGAGATTTGCGGCACAAAATATGGGAAGGAAATGGATGGCAGAAGTAACACATATCTGATAGGGTGTTGTGGCTTGTAGTTACCATAGGTGGATCTCACTTATGATTTAGCCCCAATACTCATACATTCTTTTGACATAAGTATGTCTAAAGTTGGTTGAAATGTAGGCACTAGGACTCATTAGGCTTTCTGAAATCCTTGAGGAAGCATACTTAAGCTSTATTGCAGTTTTCCTGTTGCCTCARTCTTGAGCATGATGAGCCATGGTGATGCTTATCAAATCAGATGGTATCAATCTAACGGACATGCCTGGAAGAGGGGTTGCAGTGGTGGGGGAACCCTTGCATCTGCAATTTTTCCTTGTCACGTTTTAAATACTTAATAAAGCAGAATCACCTAAATATCTACCAAACCACTCTGACTRTTGAGTATTTGGCCCCGTGATTCTATATTCCAACCTGGCATTATGAGATGCAAGTTGGGAGTAAATTTTAATTTTCTTAGTTTGACACAGGTATTACTGGTGGTAGTTCTGGGTCAGAGGAATRTGGATTTGTTAGCCCATGTCCCACCCCTTTGGCCAGGTGTGGGAAGAAAGAGAGGTGTAGGAAAAAAAATCCAAGAACAGAGCAGAGCCAAATCCTCAGTTTCCAGTGGCTGAGAGTTCAGGGACTCCCCAGCCTGTGTCCCTAACTCAGTGGTGAGTAGTCACTGAGGCCCACAGTACAGTGTGTGTTACTCAGGTATTAAGCATGTATGTATTTAAATACTTTATGAATACTTACGTGGCTATGGCAGCCAGTGGCTGAGTTCCAGAACTTTTGTGTGACAATAWTACTTYCTTAATTTTGTTACCTTTTTATTTTATTTGATGCTTTTCAATGTCTCTGTTATGAGAAACAGCTAATTAGTGATTTCTGCTCATCTTCTCCATGACATTMATGGTTTCCTGTGTCTATTGTAGCTGTTATCTCTTTCAGGCCTGGAATATTTTAGGTTATTAGATCTTCTTCAGAAGCTGCTTGTACATTTATTCCTTTTTATTATCCTTAGCATACTTTTTTTTTTTAAACTTCTATTACAGCATAAGTTGTATTAACCTTGGAAATGAAGAGTAAACATTAATATTAAATCCTGGTCTGTGCAAAACATGAGCAGTTGTTCAGCTGGTAAACTTTTAAACTCTAGATACAAACACTGCTTTTGTTCTCAAAGCAGGCATTTGTAGCAGTTACAAATCTGTGTCCTTTGGAATATCTCTGAATGCCAGCTGAATGTTTTTTTCTTATRTTAGTAGATGTGGTGGATTGGTATGTAGGATAAGAACCATCACATTTAAAACCAGACGTCTTGTGTGGTTAGCACCACTGCAGTATGAGAGGCCTCTGATCTCTCAAAGTGGTCAGCGTATTGTAAGTGAATTTGAGGTATGCCAGAGAAGGATGAATTAATACAAAAGAAAGAAAAAATAACTCCACTGAACCATTTCAGAAGCAGACAAAACATTATATGACAAAAGTAAACTTAGAAATGCTGTTACCTGATAAAGAAAGTAAAAGAAAGGTAACTCGAGGAAATGCTGTTCCTGTATACTATTAAGCGTATATTATGGAAGAAARGATCTTTTCCAATATTGTAACAGTACTCTTCCTTATAATACCACTGAGTTTATCAGGGTATAATTTTGTTTGTGCTTCCCTGTTTCAGTTCAGACATAAATGAAGTTTAAGTTTTGCTTTTCTGTTTGTTTTCTTTTAAAAAATCCTAATTATTTTAATTAGTTGAGAAGTCAGGTCTAGTCAGGCAAATATTCTGTCACTTCTGTGAAGTATCTTCAGCAGCACTAAGATTTTTTTTCAGAGATAAAATTCTTGGGGAATTACTTCATTTGCCGTGTGGTTGAATGAATTTTTCTGCTGACATGAGAAGCTGTCCCACTGTTGCCCTTATAACTAAAGCAGCAGTATGTTTACTGGTGCCATAACTTGATAACTACTTAATGTGAAAATATGAGTTAGCTTTCTTTTTATGACTTACACTTTTTCTTCCACAGAAGACAATTATCTTCCTCCAGAAAGTTTAAATTGGTCTTTTTAAAGCAGTCTTTTCAGTTGAAAATAACTAGCACTAATATAGTTGATGACTGGGGAATTGCTAAATACGTCCTACAGATTTGGCATCCTTTCTTCTTTTCCTTTTTTCTTTTTCCAGGCCTGTTTCATTTGCCACTTTGTTCTAACATTTGCACAGCTCCTCAGCTGTGCACGCCCTCCATGATGCCAGGTTTCCATCATTCCTCAGCAGCTGAGCCTGCTCCAAACTTGTGCTATTCTGCAATGCTTTCAGATAGTGATGGCCTTAGATGAAATGCAGTAAATGCCTATTTGGGTTCTGATTTGTGCATTGTATTTGTACTTAAATGGCTGAGCAGTTTGAGGGTTGTGATGTTACGAAACTTGAATGTTGCTCCTCTGGGGCTTGCAAATTGTATCTGCCCCAGAGCGTTGGTTCAYTCCTCTGCAGCAGGTAACCTCGGTGCTGCTCTGTCCTGTCCCTGCACTGGAGGTGGGCACATTTCCTGAGTCATCATATTCTGTCTGGAACAGTTTAAAAAGTGGAGTGGGTAATGGCAGTATCTTGCAGTTTCTCAAAGCTTTTAATGCGCTGTTTGACTTACAGTGAGCCTTCAGCTGGATCAGGGTAATGACCCAATTAAGTGTATGGAGAGAGGTTTTCACAATGACTTTTAACTGTGATGAGGAGAGGAGCAAGGCTGTTTACATTTTAGGCAATTACTGAAGGTCACTTGAACAGTTTCATATGTGCCAAGGAAGCTCGTGTGTTTGGTTGAGACTTTCTTGCTCATCCTTCCCCTGCAGCATGAGCATGTCTGCAGGAGGTGTTTATAGGCCTAGAGACCCCGCGGTTGTGATGTAGCTCTGCATATTCTACATCACTTAGAGAAGCTGATGCCTTTAGTGCTGTGCCTTTCCTGGCCTTGTCCAGGGCCAGACTACCATGTCTTTTCTSTGGTGGGTACCTTTTTTTGGAGGTGTGTGTTTGTTACATGACTGTGCAGGTGTGTACAAGGTGCTGCCATCCAGCACATGACCTGGTGAGTGGAGCTGCACTCGCTGTGGGCTGGAAGGCTGAGCTATGCACCTACAGGGTGAGATATCTGTCTAAATGTGAATATCCTGTTCCTRTGTCACTAGAGAAATGGGGGTCTCCCTACCCCTCGCTTAGAGCTCCTTTACTGGTAAGGTACAGGGTGATACTACATTTCCCTCTTCCCTCCTCAAGACTCTAGACGTTTTATAATSTTGCTCTACTGGATGCAGTGTTCCAGCGTTTTTTTAATAGTCAGCATCTTCTTAAAGCTCCTGTAGCTGAATCCTTTCTAGATGARCATTTTTAAGCAACAGAAGAGGCGAGCTGATGTCATTCCTGTTGCTTTTCACACAGCTATTCAGAGCTCTGTTGGAAGCAATGCAAGCTGGTTGGTTTTCTGCTTCTGAAACAGAGATGAGCCGAGAAGCAGTAGGAATAGCAGTAGAAATATTCTAGCAGTCCATGTATAGTCCTGTGAAAATGTTGCTGTCTTAGTCATGATGTCTGTTTTTCTTTTGCAAACTGGAAGAGCTTTGTGGAAATGATGGCTTTACCACAAGAAGAATTAGTTTTGGTCTTTGAGAATACAAGTCTTGGTCAAAATAAAGTCTTTGCATTCCTAAGCCTTGAAGTTTTTGTATTCTTCTCTATTTTTTATTCTGTTACAGCTATTCTGCAGAGCTACTGTTCATAATAGATCAGTGTAAACAAGTCTAATACACAGGATGCATAGTAAAATGCATCACACAAAATGGTGAATAATTTAATAATTTTTCTTTTAAAATATCTGCATATGGTACACAAAAGCATGCTGATTTGCAAATATTTTTCATGTTTCTGAGACCTGAAATGTAAAAACAAATTAGTCAAATGTAGTGTATTTSTGTTGACAGCAGCCTTTCTTGTTTTCTCAGGCTGCCCTTTTAAATGTTGCCCCGTTGGCTGTAGGCATGACTACCCCACTTGTTCTTGGGAAACAATGCAGCTTTACTACACATCTTCATATGAAAAGCTTCATGCTCCTCCTGTATCATCCCCCATGTACTTCATCATGAGCTCTTGACCACACATGGTGCATCAAGCACATAGTAGTAACATTGGAYGAATATAGAAGGAGCAAAGACTCAGACCGTCATTTATCAGTGTGTCTGTCAGTTGATCATTGATGACTCCTTAGTAACTTATTTTATTGATTTGTGAACATTAAGCTCTGTGTGTATTTCTCTGACCATGCTTTTGTGTGAGTATTGATCTCTTTAAATATTGTATTTTTCTGACCATGCTTCTGTTAAATAAAAATATCTTATTATTTCAGGTTGCTGTTGTTAAAATGAAGTGTACAGAGCGCATTTATGCAATGAAAATTCTCAATAAATGGGAAATGCTTAAAAGGGCAGAGGTAAGTAACACGTTTTTTAAACACAGAGAATTTTTAAAAGGACATTAGGAAGATTACATTGAAGCTCTTCAGATTAGGAAGAATTATTTCATGAGCATAGGAGCTTCGTTCTTTTCTCTTTTTTTTTTTCCTTAAGCTGTTTTAATGCAATCAAGTCTGACAGTCCCTTCCAGGCATCTGTTGTTCTCAGCATTAYTGTGTATTCGTTTACCAGACAGTCTGCCCTAGTTCTTACTCTGAATTTATTGGCCAGATTTTTGTTTACAGTAAAGGCAAGTTAAAGACTACATGAAAGCTGAGATTGGTGCTACTATGACATTCACAGCTGTATACAAAAACRTTATGAAAAGGTCTTTCTTCTCTTCCATTCAGAAAACATGCATTAAGGAGCTTTGCATCTACRGTTTGTAACAGGATTTGTATAACTAGTAAAACTATAACTAAAGATTTTGSAATCAGAGGTTCAGATTGTAAAACAAACACATTAAGAAGGTAAATCTGTTTAAGAAGGATAATTTTGGCAAAAGGAGGTGTACACTGTCACAACAAATTGTGTAAATCTAAAGGTGATTGGGTGCTTCACACATTAGGGAAAGAATACTAAGAATACACAGTGGGAACCAGCTTCTTAAGGATAGATATTTCTAGGATACCTTCTACTGCATGGTAGAAGAAAACCTTATGGCAGATATATAATATTATGTAAATTAGAAGATAAATGAGCARTAGATTTGAAGAGAAAAGACGTAGTGCATCAGGACTTGTAGCAGCTCTGTTAAGGGCAAGCAATAGCTGCTTTGCTGAGCTTGCTGACCTTTCCTTCTGTCCCCTTCCTGACACCTCCTCCCCCCAACCTGCCCTTGCTAGTCCCTCCCTTCCTTTCAATGAGTCAGTGCCAGGCCTTTTCCTGTGACAAAAATCTCCTCCCTCTTGTTAAGCCCCTCTTCACCAGTGCCTTTGCCYGATTTAGTCACAGTCTGTCCATCCATCCATCCATCCATGCGCTTCTTTAGAGGCGGCAGCAGCCGCTCTCCTTTGAGCTGTCAGGAGATTTCACACCCTGGGCTGTGCTGCATCAGCAGTTCTGCATTAAACCGTTCCCTGTATGAGGGAAATTCAGTGTCCTTTCTGCGTAGATTTCAGCTGTGTCAATTCATTGGTCAGTATAGAATTATTTTAAACAGAAACGTTTGCAGGGTCTCCCAACCATTGGAAATCCAGCTATGCTGCCTTACTTCAGTCATTTTTAAAGTGATTTCATTAAGTGGCCTAAGTAGATGCAGCTTTGCATGTAGAGAAGACAGCTGTTTACAAATTGTATTCTAATCATGCAGCTAACTTATCCTCTCAGGCAGGCATGAAGGATGTATAATGAGCAATAGTTTTCCCAATACACAGTTAGGAAAAGTAACAGGCAAAAAAAGTTCTCTTTTGCTGATTTTCCCCATCTACAAAGAACAATAAAGGAACTGTCTTCTCTGTGAAACCACTTTGTCTTTTCCTGTTCAGTTTGCTTTCTTGATTTGGCTTTTCAGGATGAACAGTGTTATAATCTGCATATCAACTTCATGCAATATCTGGATGTTAAAATTTCCCAAATGTGGTAAAACCTGTTAGTTTTTAAATAAATCCTGCAAGAATATAGTAGCCTCTTCAATAGAGCCTTACGCTGAAAAGGCAGACTTCAGGTGTTTTATTAATCCACCTCATCTATTATTATATAAAAATATTATCATTTTTATTATGAGTGGTCTAAGAAGCATGYCATTGCACTGGTTTATAATTGTTGTGTGTGACCTAAAACATAGCAAGAAGCTAGCAAAATACTGTTTATTCATGTACCAGATGCAAGAAAAAAATCCATATGGTTGGAAGCCAATAAAGTAAAGGAGAGKTTATTGAATATCACCTGACAGCCATAAATGGGTTGGAAGCAAAAATAGGCATGTCATTTATGTTGATRAGGACCATTTGTATTCGTTGTTCTGACAGCAAAATACATAGTCATTAGCGTATTACTGTTGACAGCTCCAAATAAGTCCTGACTGGCTGATTAGGTAGCCTGTCATGCTTTTTCAAGTCACGTCTCAAGGCCTTTTAAGCTAGTGTAAGCAGAGAAGGAGAGTTTTATCCTCTGAATTCATGATGATGCAGAGTGTTGAGCAGCATTACTTGGTTTTCAGTGTTTATAACATTCCCTCGCTATTTGAGGTTGCACAGTGAACTGGATCAAGGGACTGATGTCTTAGAAAATAAACAAACTAGTTTTCTGTGTTGGCAGCCTCCTCACATCGTGGTGCCAGGAGATCTGAGAAGTGCTGTGCTCTGGTGCTGCRGGAAGAGGATAGGATTACTTGGAGCTGCTGTAGCTGCCAGCCTTTTTTGCAGAGCACTGCTTTGGCCTTGCATTCATAAACCGTTAAACCACTCAGTTGGCATTTAATTACAATTTACTTTTCTTTGCACCAGTGATTGCTAATTTACAATGTGACCACAGCAGGGTCTTCTTGTGTAAAAATGTAGATTCAATTTTGCTTCCTTTGGGGGAAAAGTAGTTAGAGATACATTTTTAAGGTGCAGTGTATGGTAAGGCCTGTGCTTTCCAGGCATATTTCCATMAGTACATTTTCTAAGACATCTGAAGAAGTGGCAGTGACAAAAAAAAAAAAAAGTCAGTTCTTGTGTAGAACCCAAACACTTTAATCTGCAGCTGCCAAATATCCTGATAATACCTGTCTGGATTGAGAGTAGTAGAAGAATCCCAAGGTCTGTTTGTTGATAGTTCTGATCCAATAAAAACATTAATATATTTTTATTGAGGAGGACTCGCTTGAAGTTTATGAAAGTTGGTTTTATGTAAAGATGCTGAGAAAACCTGTTCGACAGAGCTTGCTTCTCTGAACTGTTGCAGTGTGCTGTTTGAAGTAGAGGAAAGAATATTGAAAATGAAAATGTGTTATACTGGACAAAGATAAGACAGTAATAGTAAAATCTGCTTATTTCTATAGTGTGTTACCAGTGTCTGGAACTGGACCTGTAATGTAATAAAAGTATACATGGGMCTGTTTTCATAAAGATCTTTATCAGAAGAATCAGACTTACTTTCCTAAAGCCATTTTATTTCTGCTACAGATAGTAGTGRCAAGTTATAATTTTCTGACTTTTAAAAATGTTTTCTAAAACGAAGTTTTAGCTTTATCTTGAATTGGTTTGTGGGCTTTTTGGTGTTGGGGCGTATTGGGTGTTGGTGTGAAAATTTTCGGAATTTTGGAGAGGGGAATTGTGGTGGGGTTTCTTTGTTTGGTTTGGGTTTGTTTTGTTTTGTTTTTTAAAGTCGCAGTCAGGATTAGAGTGACTGAATGCCTGACTAAAACCTGCAGAGATTCCCTGGCATGTCACTTGTGCAGACTGAATTCCAGTGAATAGAGACCTCTATTCAGTAATTTGAAATAATCCCATAAAACATCCATATATATTCATCCTGTGAAAACTRCTTGTTGATATTGACAATGGCTTTTCCCCCTGTCTTCCTTTAGACAGCTTGCTTCCGAGAGGAGAGAAATGTCTTGGTGAATGGAGATTGTCAGTGGATTACTACATTGCACTATGCCTTTCAAGATGAGAACTATTTGGTATGTTTGATTAATCACTAAWTAAAAGTTTTGGGTTGGGAAAGAACTTTATTTTTGGTATATTTTAAGAATATTAGTATATTAAATCCATCCACCTCATGCCACACAGCAGTGTTTCGATATTCTTGTTTTGTCCTTGAAAAAAGAATTCAAAAAGACTGACTGTAACTCCAGGAGAGTGAGAAAATTTTGTGGGACTGTAATATATAGAGGTTTAGTTAAGCATCTTGAATTAACTAATCTCCTCTTGCATAAAAAAATACCATGTTCACATTTAGTATTTTGGATAAGGTTGCAATTAAGTAATTTGAGAGGTGTTAACTTTGAAAAAGGAAAAAATATTTTTATTTTATTTTAAACTTTCAGAATGTCTTTTGAAGCACGATTTTGTTTTAAACTGGTGAAAGTAATTTAAAAGTTTGGTGTTTTAAAATGCTTAGGGGGAAAAAGAGCCGACTTCTTAAGAATATTTATAAAATAGGTTTTTAAATCAGCAGATTGGTCATATCAATAGTTTGAGAGACTTCAGCAAACATTCATGGAGAAAATCGGTACTCCTAGATGATTACTGGAACTGTGACATACAAGCCSTGTTTACTTTAGTCACAGAGTGCAAGAGAGTCCTGGTTAGGAGCAAAGTCAGTAAATCCCCAGAATTCTGCTATAWACTGAACCCTACAGCTTCCCTGTGGCTACATCAGGCTGGGTTGGCAAACTTGCTATTTCTGTAACATCTGACATAATTGTAGTGTGAAAGTTSTCACCTTTGTAGCACTTCAGTACCACTTTAGCAAGTAATGAATATAAATAAGGAAAAATGTATTTATAAAAGGCTGCCAAAGAGTTCAGGAACTAAGCAAGAGTTAGAAAATACTCAAACATTTCCACAGATACTGAGACAAAACGCATTACTTTGTCATGTTTGAATTATTTTTAGAATAAAAAGCACATTGTGAGAAAATAAGTAGTCACATCTTAGGCTCTCATTTACAGGCTATTTCTATTGAATGCYTTGTGATAGGTCCAGATTTTTAGTCTCTCACAAGTTCAGTTATCTCTCGCACTGCCTCATTTCAAATCAGCTTATAATTTCAAATTCCCACAGAACCCACCTTCATACTTGCATGAAAACCATCCTATATTGTATTTCCAAGTAGCTTGTAAGAATGGAGCTGTCTAAGGAAAAGTTGTTAGCTGTGAGAGATAAGTAACAGTAAAGACAGCATAGAGGGGGATCTTTTCTCAAAATTCCCAAAGGCATTTAGATATTGAAGTTTCATTTGACGGCAGAATGTAGACATCTAGCATCTAATTTAAGATCCAGTATCTAAGAAAGTCAACAGTTCTGCCCGGCAGCCAAAGCCAGAAGATTCCCAGCTTGCCTGARGTCTGCTTCCTCATGTGCTGAGATAGTGCCTTCCAATTTGGTCTGTTACTCAGAAACCAGCTCCTGTAAATGTCTGGTGCTCACAGATGGAGTGGATCTGCATCTCAGTCACCGTTGTAAATGATGCATGAAGAAAAGGTGGAACACATCGGGAAACCAATTCATCCAAAAACCTGARCAGGTGGTTCTCTTCTGTGTCAGTACTTGTCCAGGGGCTAAGAGATCTCTATTCAGTTTTCTTTGGAGCTTGAAAAAGTTTACAGCCACATTTTTCCTCATCCTGGAGAGTGCTGCCTTGCTACAGAGCCCAGTCAGATTTGGTTTACTTTTTAACTGTGCTATTCAACCATGATCCTTTTAAAATGGAATATAAAGCTGAGAATAAAACAAGAACAGACAGTGGAGCTTGGTTTTCCAACCTGGTCCTCTGCAAGAGAAAGCTCTAGATTCCAGTATTTCCTCCCAGTGATTTTTGTGCATAACATCTAGTGATTCTTAAATGYAAAACCACGTGAAACAACCCTGAGCAGAGGGAAAGCCTAATGCCTTCYCCCACCTAGTGCTCTGCCTCCTCTGGCTGTATGATAAAAGGTTCAGAACAAGACAAAGAGATGGTAAGATACTGTGATAGAAAAGTAGTAGCTGCCTTTRGAGTCTGCAAGTATTTAGGGTTTTATTCTCGCTATTTAATATTAGCAGAGCATTTGATAATGCAGAACTTACATTTAAGCAAGAAATGCAAAATTCTGTGAAATTTCTAATTCTGGAGTTCATTTTCTGGTTCTGCTCTTACAGTTTTAAAACCTTTCAAGCAAATACACCATACATTGCTATTTTCTAAACAGCCGATTCTTAAATGACATTGCATGGAAATTCTAGCATAACTTTTTTCTGGTTCTTAAAACACTTCCCTAAGAGACAGTCTAAGTTAAGATGGGTTAAGTAAGCCTTGGGTGATTCAGCTCAAACAGATACAGTGTAAGTATAGTCCATGAATGTTGGAAACTTGTATGGGACTTGAAGTTTGCCATGTCTTCCAGATCCAAATCCCTTAATTTTCTTTCCCAGTCTCATTCATGAAGAAGGGTATATGTTTATTCAACTGCTGGCAGRCTCTAAAAGGCTTCTGAGTACTCAGAGAGTATTTTGATATCCTTTTTTCCTTTGATTTCCTACTACTCTCACCTTGTTTGATGTAGTGAGTTCCCTGGAAGAAATGCAACACCTCTAGATTTCAGCATCAGAATAGCCTTTGTTTTAACCCCATAAGAAGGGAGAAGCACCTCCTGGCGAGCAGATCATTTTGAATTGAAAGATTAATAAAGTTCTACTTCCTCATAAAAGAGGTCTCACCATCTTTCTGTGATCYAAGTGCCTCCGTCACCTGAATTCCTGTTGAGTTATGAATGCTTTGGGATCTGACAGAAGTGCATTACCTTGTCTCTGTCAGGCAAGATATTTTGCTTCCCACTGAAGGCTCTATGAGGTCTCTTTGCTTTGAATTCGAGAGAAACTATTTCAAAATTATATCGCTCTTAGAAGATTGATGGTTTCAGTCTGTAGCATTTTGTTTTCAGACATAATTGTTGGCGTGTGTACATTGTTCAGTACATGTTTAAAGTTCCTTGGAGCAATACCCACAGATTGGTTTCAACATAAGTGATGCAATTTGCCTATCAGATTAAACTGTGATTTGAATAAGATAGAGAAAAATATCAAAACCCATGGCTTTTGGAGTCACTCTTTTAATCCAAAAGATAGTGAAGAAATTGTTATATTGTATTTTGTGTTCTTTGCTGTTATCTTTAATTTGCTTCCCTTGTGGAAAAAGAGTCTGTGGCAGGGAGAGTGGATTCTAGGTTGCTTTACTTTGAAGAGAGAAATAAGATGACTGCTTTGAAAGCTTAACYCCAGAATAAGCAAAGTTRGTCCTAAAACCCACATATCAAATCRTCTTGAGAAACATGGGGCAAAATGGCTTAAGACTGGTAGTACTAGATGAAGTCGTAACACTTGAAATTATGTATTTAGGTGGATAATGTAATGAAATACCTGAAACATAATCTTTGTTTTGTGATACGAGAAACAAATAGCATTCCTGAGTCCTTTTCTTTCATGTCRCCCTCTCAGTATTGGTCCTTTTCATGGATATGGTGATGACTGATTGGCCTAGGAGGCTGTTTACTTTTTCACTGAAATATATTCAAAGGAACATTATCTTTGGCTTTCAAGTTTCTCACTTTAGTGCCTCTGGCTTGAAGTGCTTTTGGCTTGTCATGGGTACCCATGTATAGTAGAGTAGTGTATAGTGTCATTCAGCTCCTGCCAGCTGTGTTATGCATCCCTGATGTGGAATGTGCCAAGATGAGTATTTGAAGATGTTGATGTGATAAGTACCACATTAGAAAYGAGTAGTATTGAAATGGTACCAAAACTAAAAGTAGTAATGAAATATATATTTTAGGCTAAGCTGCATCAAATATTGATTTTAACTGTACTTTTTCTTTCGTCATCCCCTGGAAATTTTCAGTTTAAGAGTTGATAATCTGCATTAGTTTTGGTGATATTAKGTCATTTTCTTTGTGATACTGGTTAAGCCAGACATAAACTGACCTGATTTACCTCTTTGTTGCTCCCATATTTTGTTTGGGTTTTTTTTAATTGTAGGAACTAATTGCTGATGTGTCATTCTTACTGTGGCTATTAAAGGAATATGATAACTCTTTATTCTAAGTAAGTAAATAAAAGGAAAACAGCAGACCACTAATTCTGACTRCTTTTCACACCCATAGGAAAAAAATAGTGAAGGGTTTTTTTCCAGGGGTTAACTGATGAACTTAATTTTTTTTTTCTCGCTAGCTGTCTCTCAGTACTTGATGCTCTGTTTCTCCATTTTCAGTATCTAGTGATGGACTACTATGTTGGTGGTGACTTGCTGACACTTCTCAGTAAGTTTGAAGACAAGCTTCCTGAAGATATGGCTAGATTCTACATTGGTGAAATGGTGCTTGCTATACATTCCATACATGAGCTGCATTATGTGCACAGGTAAAATGCCTTCTCATCTGGCAAAAAATAYAAGTACAATTATATGAAGTCAATTCCAAAGATACTGCTGTGTATACAATGAGCACAGTAGCCACAGGCAAACTACTGTGGTACATGCTTACTATACATGGTGTAATAACTGTATAAGCTATTATATTTTAAATATCAAGTTTTGATAGATTGATATCAGAAGCAGTGACATTTATCTGACYAACCTTTTACTGACTCTTCTATTTTTAATCAGGGCTCTTGACTTATTCTCAATTCACTTAATAAATATTTATCTGCCTTTGTACAAGCCAGCCWAGAAGTTTGAAGCAGTCTGAAATGGTTTGAACTTTCTACGGATGTTTAGACATTCTGCAAAATTTATGCACAGTAAGCCCATGATAACATCAATGCATCTACTTACCTGAGGTCATTCTCAAACACGTTTTGTAATCAGTGGGCATGTGCTGGTCTAATTGTTTTTTCACACAAGATGTATATTCTGAATCAGTGGCTACCATCAAGTAAACTTAGGTTGTGGTTGGTAGTAGCTGTACAATTAAAGTTTAAAAAGCATAGGGACTTCTCAACTGCAATGCTTTGAATTCTTTGCTTGCACTTTGATTGCTGTTTTAAAAATTTAAAAGAAAATATATTTAAACTCTATATATTTAAACTCACTCCTGTGAGTAAATGTGGATGATACTTGGGGTTTTAAAAATGTTACAGCCTCAGAGAAGTTCATCAGAGGCACCATTGCACCAATTTCCAAGGAAGGTGGCCTGACTTACTGAGCAGCTACATCTTTTCATGGGGCTGAATGAAGGTCTGTTGTGGCAATAGGAATATGTGGTTCTGTGGCCAAAACACATGCTTTGGGTAGGATRTGTGCCAGTGCTCAAGACATTACTGCTTGGCAACTGCAGTGGATTAGGAGGAAGCATGATTGCTCTGGAGAGGGTTTCAAGGACCCTTTAAGGGCTTAWACGACCTGTTAGCTGCAGATAGGAGACAGTGGAGCTCAGAGAGGAGGCATTAAGCCTTTCAGAAYAGCAGTACTGGTCCCTGAGGCAAGTGAGAGCTGCATGCCAAGCAGAGATTGGCTCATGCTGCAAATGGCACTGAGAGCAATGTTCTTTAAAAAAAACAAACAAATTAGTATACAGTTGTATATTAGTTTTCTTAGTCCCCTGCAACTACTGAGCTTGACTTGTGGTTGTGGGATTGTAAAGGAAATGTTCCRATATCTGGAATTGAAATGTATGGAATAAGTTAAACAATGCAGAATTACTAATTAATTTATTGGGCAAGCATAGTTCAATTTTCTCAACACATATTTTTGTGTATTATCACAAGTAAATATGCATTTACATTTATGTTGACAGGYATAGATTATCATTTATTATTTTGTGTTAATACTGCTAATGAGCAGTAGTATTAGTGACATTTCAGAAATTAATTTCAGAGCATTAGCCCTTGGTTAAAAAGGTTAATTCAGGTTTGTGTTGGAAAAATGTATCAGGTTGGCAGGATTTTTACACATATGAGGACACTTTATTAAACCTATCACAGGTTTTCCTCACAAGTTTTCTCAAGTGTGRAACTGGAATTTGGCACCTTAAAAATCAGACATTGTCAGCTTCCACATCTGTAGCAAGGTGTATAAGATAAGAGCACCTTATTTTTCTTTACTCCTAGTAATTCTAGTCTCCACCTCAAAGATCAGGCTGAAGGTGTTGTACAGTTTTAAAGTTTTTCAACACATATAGTAGCATTAGACACTTCACATTTGAAAAGAAATACAGATTTTATGATGCAGCAAAACTGCTGGGTTTATGGTTGGTCAGGAGAAGAGTGTCTTAAATAGTACCTTWAAAAGATTTTGCTCARTGGGTAAAATTTGGTGTTATTTTGATGCAAGATTAATCTTTACAAGCAGAGCTAATAWTGTGTGTTTAAATCTTTTCACTTCTTTCTATTTTAACAGGGACATAAAGCCTGATAATGTTCTTTTGGACATGAATGGCCACATACGACTGGCAGACTTTGGGTCCTGTCTGAAAATGAGTGAAGATGGCACAGTATGTATGAAGCAAAATTTATTTGGGTTGCTGGTAGTGGGACCTTATAAGTGAGCTGCTGGTTTTATGTAAATTAGACATCATCAGTGTGCATCAGGGATGTGATAAGATAGTCAGCTTTCTGACAAGCTAAAAACTGAGGGTGCAGTGTAACTCAGCATACGTAAATGCATTTTTTATRTTCTCGTCTCCTTGTTTTGGAGGCTGCTAACCTTTAAAGTTATCCTTTGCTATCTATATTTTTCACTTTTTCTTCTAATTACTGTTTGAGTCCAAGGGGGAAGGGTCACTGACCAGCTACACCAGTTAGGCACATGCAAATAGGGAGTCACCACCCCTGCAGGTGTTGAAAGGATGTGTAGATGTGGCATTTAAGGAACATGATTTAGGTGGACTTGGCAGTGCTSAGTTAACAGCTGGACATAATGATCTTAAAGGTCTTTTCCAACCTAAATGATTGTTTTGATTCTACAATTAATAAGCAGTATGCTTTTGACAAATGAAGCAGCAACATGATGGTAATTGGCCATCTTGTGCAGCAGATTGGCTGTACCTCAAAAAGCTAAATTACTTGTGACAGGTTTTGTTTGTTTTGCCTCGTTTAGGGCACTTCCAGGGGTGCCAGTCATGCCAAAGTATGGCATGCAGCTTCGTTCACTGGTTTTGGCACAAACTCACATCKTGGTGATGTTCTGTAATCATAAAATGCCTGCCATATTAAAATGCAAAATGAAGGAGCCATTAGAATTGAGAACATATTCCTAGAGATTACAGCTGCCCTGATGGTCAGGGCTTCYCTACTACTCGTGCACAGGGAAATTTCCCCGCCCTACTTCTGTAGTGCATCCAGTTGCACATTAGGCAGTAAACATCTGACTGATTTCTGCCATAATAAAACTTACCCAGGAAACTTGTTYTGTGATCTTCAAATGAAACTGTAAAATTCAGGAGTAGGATTTGATCTCCCTACTTACTCATTTTTCATTGCAACTTCTGGCAGCCAATTGCAATTTTAAAATACATACAAATGACACGAAGGCAAAATACATTTCACAATAGCTGTGATTATTTGGGGTTTCTACTGTGTTCAGAACAAAATATGTCAACTGATTTTATGCTTTCATAGAATGGAACTTAATCTTCACAGTCTTTGTTATTTTCTTAGTGTTTTCTTTTTTATGTTGCAGTGAATTAATAAATCTCTTCCTTCTCCAGAATCATGTCCTGGAGTCTCTGTTTGTCAGAAATATTAGTGTTTGAGTAAAAAAGTTGCTGAGAGAAACAGAGAACTTACAAGAATTATGTTTGCCTTATTTTTAAGGTACAGTCATCAGTAGCAGTGGGTACTCCTGACTACATCTCTCCTGAGATACTGCAAGCAATGGAAGATGGAATGGGGAAATACGGGCCTGAGTGTGACTGGTGGTCACTGGGTGTCTGCATGTATGAAATGCTGTATGGTGAAACACCCTTCTATGCGGAGTCGCTAGTGGAAACCTAYGGGAAGATTATGAATCATGAAGTAAGAGCTGTATTCTCTTGTGTTCTGAGTTTGTAATGTTTATAGAAAAACTTACACTTAAAGATATTGATGTGATGATATTCTTTGCTTTTTCACAGGGTTTTAGATCCATGTCATGTAGGTTTGTTGGTTCAGGTTTTAGGAATGCTTGCTTCTCTGAATTGCGGAAATGTAATTCTTTGACAAATTGAGATTTTTCTCTAAATGCTGATGTTATTGTTGGAAAATCTAAGCAATCATCACAAAATCAGAATAAAAATTGATTTGATTTGGTTAGGCCAAATCAAAGTTTCCTATGGACTGTGCAGRAGAGATAAGTTCATGCATTATTTACACATCTGTGCACATTTTCTGTCAAGCTGATAACAGTACCAAAAAGGCAACAAGCAAGTCAACCAGTGTAGACATGAGCTGCATGAAGAATTTGAGTTTGGGAGGAGTTTCYTGGAATGGCAGTTGGTAGAAAAACATGAACTTGAGCTGCATGGAGAACATGCGGTCAGGGGGTTTGTCCAGGGTCAGAGTGGTAGGGAAGTGCTGGAAGTTGTGCATTTTGAACATTAGGGAGTAAAATAAACCAGCCCATGGTGTCCTTTCAAGAGCTGTATTMGAAGGACATATTTATGTGCATGCTCACCCTAGGTAGCCAGAAGGTGTTGCACAGGGTGTTTTATTGCATTTTCTTTTCCCCAAGGTCAGTGCAGTTCACTGGGGTTTACAGTGCTGGGCTCTCACAGTGAAGCAGGTAGATGAAACAGGAAATCCTTGCTAGAGCTGACACCCTTGCTGTGATGTGTATTAATCTCTCCCTTGCTTTAATTCCTTCAATGAATTAACTGATTGCTACTGTAACCAGATAAACTGGCTACCTGGCTCTTGAGCTCTATGGGAGGAAATTTGAAGCTGCTGTCCTGCAAACTTAATATTTTAATCTCACCTGGACACCTAATCAATGTGATTGTATGCTTTTCATTGGAAGTTTTAAAGTTCTAATTTAATTTATGATCACTTGGTCCTTAAAAATCTCATTTTTTAACTTGAAAAGTTGTATTTTAATACATGTATAGATATATATATATGTATAGATATATATATATTTATATGTATTTTTATATATTTTTATATATTTTTATATATTTAGATATGTGTATACACACACATCAGCAGCTGATCTAGTGGGTTGCATCCCTGACCAAAAAAGGGGGATTGAAACTAGGATGATCTTTCTGGTTCCTTCCAARCCAAGCCATCCTATGAGTCTATCATACATAAAAATATGCTGTTGTCTTTTATTGGAAAGTAAACAAAGAACGAGCAAGCCCMTCTCCCCAACCAAGCAAAAATCCCCAAAAAGCCTTTTTTGAATTATATAGTAGTAGTAACAATCTAAACTACAAATAAAGTTTTCACAGTTTTTTTAATYGAGAGTAATTTCAGTTGTTAGTGGTAATTACAGTTTTTAGATCTTACGTTTGTTTATGATAATATTTTTTAATGTAGATTATATTTTGGTAAGAAAACCAGGTGTTTAACCTATAAATCAAAAAAATATATTCTTAAATATGACAACATTTGGTAAAGAATTGACTACCATCATGGGGTTTTAAGAGCTGGAATTAATTTAATTTCAAGGAGTGCATCTCCAGRAGGATCAGTGGACCTCTGACTAAGAATACCAGTGAGAGTCTGCCTTTATTGTATTGTAGTCTGTAAATTCTGGTATGTCTTATAAAAAAGTTTACTTTTCCTTGCAGAGTTACTGTAATCACAGATCAAGCAGATCTGTATTAAAGAAATTGAAAAATGATTTCTTGTCCTCRAAATCCAATTTAAGACAAAAAGTCTGTCACTGAATGTATTGAATTGTGCTCTGTCATTCCTCACTGTAACTAGAGCAGTATTTGTCTATTCATTTCCAATTTTATTGGTGTAATTTAGTATGTATTTTTTAAAACTACAGTTGAGAGTTTTGGAATTTATTCCCTCTCTAAAAATTTCTCTATTTCTTTTGTTTTGTAGGAACGATTTCAGTTTCCATCCCATGTTACAGATGTATCTGAAGAAGCAAAAGATCTTATTCAGCGACTGATCTGCAGCAGGGAGCGTAGACTGGGACAGAATGGAATAGAGGATTTTAAATCTCATGCATTTTTTGAAGGACTTAATTGGGATAACATCCGAAACCTAGAAGCACCTTATATTCCAGAAGTTAGCAGTCCTTCTGACACCTCGAACTTTGATGTAGATGATGACGTGCTGAGAAATCCAGTGAGTTTTTATATATGTTTTCATATGTTACTGAAGGAAGTATGCAACCTTGCTGCACTGTAAGGTGGTAGTGAAGGGTGGAGAATTTATTTCAAAATAAAAGGTGGAGAATTTATTTCAAAATAAATTAAGAGATTAAAATAAAGTCACTTTGAATGCAAAAAATTCAGGTTTTTAATTTCTTTGGTATTTTAGGTTATGAAAAATGATGACTTGCTTTTTCAAGTGGTAGGACTTGCCAAAACATATTACTGTTACATGGTCAAAGTTGAAACATATTTAGGCAGAGGGAAAAGCCCCTTAGTTGCCCTTTCAATTTACTTTTACAGGCAGCTAGTATTTGGATTTACTCCTTTTCAAAGGTGAACAAAGAAAATCTGTCTTCAGAAAGACACATGTGTTCTCCATGCAGCTGGCAAGCACAGGTGTCCGAGTGAGACGACTCATTCTGATACTTCTCCACTCACTTAAGAGCCATGATGTTGATTCTTGGAGTAGGAAAGATTGGTATTCGACTCCTCCATTTCTTGTTTTATAGTTTACAAAACGAACAGGAGGAGTAGAGAGCTTTTGTGGTAATTTGTTCGCCAGCTTGTTTTCCAAGAAATKAAGAGTTTTTGGCACGTTTTTTGATTACATGTCTGACAATAACTAGAACACTAAGACTAACAGCATGTATTTTRGTGCCAGGTCACTTTTAATTAGGAACTTGAAATTTCAGGTTTCTCTTTACTGGCTGCATTGTGCTTTGAACTTGTTGAAATGCTGCCCTTTCAAGTGCCAGTTCAAGAGGCTCTGAAATTCAAGTCATTATGTTAGGCGACCTAATCTGAAATAAAGCTTGTCCAGAGGCAGTGGAGCATAACTGCRAATAGTCAACTGGTGTATTAAGAAAAAGCTTAGCTGTCTCTCTTTTAGCTGTTGGGCCTCAATCAAATATCTTKTACTCTCTRTGGGTTCTCTTGGGTTTTCATGCAYGTTGTTTCCATGCAGGAAGTGGTGCCACCAAGTTCTCACACTGGCTTTTCTGGATTGCATTTACCATTCGTTGGGTTTACATAYACAACTGATAGGTAAGCAAGGGATATATTCTTCATTAAACTTGTTTCCCAAATGCAGCTGATTCCTGGGAATTSTCATTTTTATAAACATGTAGAAAGGTTGATGTCCACAGGTGTACCTGTGGCTAAACCTTTTCCCCTTGTCTTTTTCTTCAGACGTCTGAACATATTTTGATTCTGTTTCCCAAGATGAAGATGCTTTTGTATTTAATATTTTACCAGTTTGRATTAAAAGAAAGTTAAGGGACTAGATGTGTCCATTGCAGTTCCTGCATTGAGAGGCTGAAAGCAAGTCTTGTCCAYACTGGGTATCTGCTGTGAACTGTTCAGGACTATCTCATTGCTCCACTGTCCTGCTGATGGGTCAGTTTAACACAGAGGGTTCTGAGCATGGACAAAGTGGCTCACTTTGAGTATCTTTGAAATGGCCTTCATCTGGCTTCACAGATCTCTCARACATATGCTTGTCTCTGATCTTAAGGTATTCTGGCCGTTTGTTATTCTGTTATTTSTCTTTGAGGGGATTTGTTGCCCCATGATCCCAGAAAATATATGTCATCCTTTTCACAGTGCAGTCATGTGCCTTAACTTAAATCCATCTTTGCCATGCTTTAAACTAAACTTTTGGGGTTGTCCCTCAGCTATCTCAGTGCAGATACACTTACCTGCTTCCTTTCCTGCCAGATACTAGTAACCTATAGCATGAGAGAGTTAACATTTCCAATCATTTAGGCAGTTTGTGAAGGTGKATCTGCATTATTGAAGTTGTGCATGCAGGTATCTTAATTTTACAGTAGCATGCACAGTAGCTGGGGAATAATAMCTTTACCCTGACAATTGTCTCTACAGTAACAATTACTGCACTAATTGTTCTTGTAAATTTAAGGTGCATATTTGGTGGAATCCCAGCATGTCACAGCYATAAACTGCTGTGAGTATTTATTAAAATGTCCTAACTTATGTGTTTCTTTTCAGCTCRTTATCTGATAGAGGCACTTTAAAGAATGTGCTGCAGTCTGACACTGTAACCAAAGATACAGATGTACAGCGAGATTTAAAGAACTCTTCACAAATAGAAGGTTATGAAAAGAAAATACGGAAATTGGAGCAAGAAAAGCAGGATTTGAACAGGAAACTACAAGGTCAGTGTTTTATAATTTGTTTGAATTCTTAGTTCTGCTCAATATATATATATATTATTGAAAATATATTCCTTTCTTTTGGATTTTAAGAATCTACACAGACAGTGCAGAACCTCCAAGGTCCAGTGTGTGTTACAGCAAACACAAGCCGTGATAAGGAGATAAAAAAATTAAATGAAGAAATTGAACGATTGAAGAACAAATTAACAGGTAAGCCTCTGGCATGGTAATTATCATGCTGCAATTTATTTTGCAATAAGTAGAATTAATGTTCTTGAGGTATTAAAAAACAAAGAGTTTTTTAAAACGTTCAATGTTAAGAGGCATTTCAGTTTTTTCCAGATGAGCACTCAACTAATTCTTCCACTTGCTTGGCTTGATAGCACATACTAGCATGGGAAGTCCAGAGTGTGATGAATTGTGTGGATAGATTTAGTTAAATTTATTTTGTGTGACAGTTTGTTTCCCTAAAAATCTCAGGAGATCCTGTTCTGTGACTCCTCTGTTTTGGGAGGAGTGTTGTGTTGGAGAGGTTTTACTTGGAGGTGCTTGTAAGACATGGGAGATGAAGTCTGGTTGCTCTTTAGTAACATAAAGGAGTAGATGGGGGGATGTGTAATAGTAGTTCACATTTAAATGTTTCTGAGCTCCTGCTCCCTTTGTGTTTCTGTTTGGTGATGCATTAATTAGGAAGCACTGTGCGTTGCAGAAAAACAAATACTGGCATCTGTCCTGAGGGAAGACTGACTCACCCATATCACTGAAAATCTGCTGCTTGACAATGCTATTAGTTTATCTGTGCAAACCTCCTGTTAGCACCTAATTTTTAAGTGGGAATCAGTGATAAACAAAATGGTAGTTTTGAATCSTAATGACTTGGCTGAGGGTTTTATAGAGGCGTGTATAGTGTGAGTTCGGATGCTGAGTTGCTGATGCTGATTTTTTAAAAATGCTTTTTCCCCATTTTGTTTGGCAATATTGGCACCTTTCTGTAGGTRTATGCACTGCAAAAATCAGCTCTACTCTCCTACATAGATTATCCTTCCAAAAAAAGCTTATTTTTATGTATTCTGAAATTAGTTTTGCATCACCRTAATTAGATTAAGGTTCTACTTCTGCACAGGGTTCAGGTTTATCTAGTTCTTCAACCAGTGATGTCCAGTTAAATATAAATTCTAGTAGTATGTTCTGATTTAAAAAGAAGTAGTATTGGTTCATGTAGGGTGGGAGGAAATTTGTTCTGAGGTGAGGAAACAAATAATACTTCAAGCATTAACAGCTGYGCTTGGAATCCTGAATACATCAGTTCATTTTCCTGTTCTGGCACAGACATCAGTGGAACTTGAGTGAGACAGTTATTCCCTGTGAAATTTCATATTTATTTGTCTAATAGAAGTAATAATTAAAACCAAACAGAGAATGACAGTTCATTTTCTTAGAATTAGTAAGACTGAGCACAAGTTCTTAAAGATGGCTATGTTGGGTTTTTGCACTTAAAACCAACAATTTCAAATCAAATTTGTTTGTTTTTCTTTGAAAGTAAATAGAGAACAAGCTGCCAGGAATGTGGGCAGTCAGCTCTCCAGCTTGCCTTGTGCAGGCTGGTATTTCCTTCCCAGACTATTTATTAATTCTTACCTAGTCTAGAAAATAAAYAGTCCTTGCCTGCCTTGCTGGATGCACTAATGTCTGTAGCCTTTTTGTTGTGTAATAAAAACTATTTAGGAAACACATTACTAGAACTGGAATTGGAACATCTGGAGTTTATTTTAATGCTTTCAGGGGCTAGAAGTTGTGTTCCTCAAAAGTAAAACAAGCCTTGTGCTRAGGCTTTTCGCTTAGAGATCACAATATTTGGGAGAATTTCCTTAAGGGGCTGAGAAAAATAAAATTATTTTGAGGTATCAGTGCCCCAAAGTTACTTTAAACAGTCTAAAATGATGGGAATGGGAAAGAAGTTCATTTTCCAAGCAAAATGATTTTCCAAGYCAATTTGCATGAGTAGTGTGGCTTGTTTTATTGGTGTTAATTTGGGRCCAGTTACCCAAATTACCTTTAATGTGCATTAATCTACAGATATAGGTAAACTGGAAGCACAGCTTGCAGATGCAGTGGCTTTTCGACAAGAACATGAAGACTCCATACACAAGTTGAAAGGACTGGAAAAACAGTGCAGAGTACTGAGGCAAGAAAAGGAGGATCTTCATAAGGTATTGATCCAAAGATTGATACTTGTAAAACTGTAAAGTGGTTCTAGAACAGTTACGTTGTGATTGCAATTCTAGTGTTTTAAATGCTGCTTTTTAAAACTATGCGGAGATGTTAGGGARCCTGTTTAGCAGTACAGCAGTAGCTTTCCAATGTATCACACTTTCTCTTTTGGAAGTTGATGGGCTTCTTATTTCAAATGTGTTCTGTTAGATGAAACAAACACCTAAAGAATGGTTTCAATTAAACTGTTTAATAATTATTCTTACTGTTTCAATAAAAGTCTGAGGGCAATCAAGAGAGACGTGAGAGCCTTGGGATGACTTATTAAGGGATCAGGAATACAAGTACTGTTCTCCTCCATTCTTCCAGTTTCAGGGAATGATGAGAGAGGAAACAGACCCAGCAGATACCTGGCTGGTATCCCTGGCAGAATTCTGGGATGTCTGACCATGGGTTAGTTTACATGGCACCAGACCTGCTGGTGACAGTTGGGGTAGACCTGTCTAGAAAGGGGAAAAGGATCTTTGCACAGATGCTAGCAGAGCTCATTAAAAGAGCCTATTTATTCTTTTTTATACCCAAAGGTTAATTATTGCTTAAGGCTGATGATGACTTTTATGTAATTGCAGAGTTAATTTGCTGCTGTGTAAATTATCCTTTTTGTTGCTTCCTAAAATTTAGCAGTATTTCAGTTTTAAGTCAGCAAAATATTTTGCAGGAAAGTAAATAGGGATTTGCATATACTACATACCACTTTCAATAATAACAGAAACAATAATAACAGAACCTGTATTGGAATAACTAGTTCTGTAAAAGTCTGCCAGCCATATTGTTCCTGAGCGTTCGGGATCCAAAAGTAATCCATGAACTAAAATCTCTGGGCTGTTTGTACACTGGAATTTAACAGTGTCTCTTCAGTCTGTTAACCACTGATAGGGGTTATTTACCAGATTGTGAGTAGTAGAGAAGGCAGATCTGCTGCTTCTGGTCTGAATACATTCTTTTTGGGAAGTTAATCCTCCTGCAGTGCTCCTACTAATGGCAGAAATTTTTAGAATTCCCTTGGCCAGGATACATTTATTTTGTTGTGTAGTTCTGCTCTTTTTCTTATTTTTTCCTGCCACTCTAAGATGATTTTATGTTGAACATTCCRTTTTGAACAAACAATTAATCCTGTTAATTTTTGTTAACTACTTTCTGTAAAGGAAACAGTTTCTATACATTCAGTTAMAGTATTAAGGAATACTTTGTTTTAAGGAATCTTCCTCAGTTGTCAAAAAAATTTCACATTTGCCACAGCCTTTCAGTGCTGGTACAGTGTATTTACGTCTCTCCTTAATCATATGTCTGCTTAAAGCATTCCTTTTAACAAGTTACAGATGTGCAGGTACATGGTGGTAATCTAAGTTATTTAGAAGTGAGGTGGCTTTGTATAGTCACATTTATAAGAAAGACTTCTGGTACACCAAAGGTAGTTTTGGAGCTGCCACACAAGCAGCAGAGTAATGGCTGTATTTGTATGTCACTGCAGCTGCTTAGCCAAAGGATTGTGTAAAATAACTATTAGAAATAATGTTTAGTAGTTATGTGAGGTGGTCAAAATTAGCTTATGTAGGTCCAGTTTCTTTCTTCTTTGAAAGAATATAGGGAGTTCAAATTACTCTTTTTATTACTTTTTTAAAACCAGCAACTTGTAGAAGCCTCAGAAAGATTAAAGATGCAGTCCAAAGAACTGAGAGATGCCCACCAACAGAGGAAGCTGGCTGTGCAGGAGTTCTCTGAGCTCAGTGAGAGGATGGGGGACCTGAGGTCCCAAAAGCAGAAGCTGTCCCGGCAACTTCGCGACAAAGAGGAAGAGTTGGAAGTGAGCATGCAGAAAGTTGATGCTCTGCGACAGGACATCCGTAAATCGGAGAAGATGAGAAAAGAGGTAACTTGTTAAAATAGCTAGTGCTCATGTTTCAGCTGCTGCTTATCCAGTACTTCAGATGTGATTGTATTGAAAAATTGGGAATGTCTTAGAGGGTTTTGGGTTTTATTTTCATTTGCACTCAGGCTGATTTGAATCGGGAGGAAAATGTTCTTACTATATGCCCAGTTTACTAGTTCTGGTGTTTTTATTCTTGTCTGACTCACAGTCAGCTTGAAATCYGTAAAGTTCAGTGAGTGTCTTCATGTGCTCTGAGGGTGGAGAATTTTGACTTCATTGGTTTTTTTAATTGAATATTTCTATTCAGCTGAAGGGAGGAATAGTGATACAGCTGTATATAAACTAAATATGTGGTTTTCCTTCCACTGTAGCTAAGTCATTATAAGAATATCTGAATATCTTTAAGCAAGTTAATTTCCAATTAGTATTTTAGGTAATTTATAGTTTTACATGAGATAACGTGGATAGCCATAAGAGGGCATAAGAAAAAGTTACTGTGGTYAATCTGGAGTGTTTTAATCACTGAAAAATCATCGTGTTTTCTGTATTCTCTGGGTGAAGTGTAGAAGAGAAATTCAAGAGCTCTATAAGTGTTGCTAGAAAACTTCTTGCAAATTGAAGGGCAGTCTATGAAAATGGAGTAGAAGATGAMGTTTCTAAGGCTTTTATCCATGAACAAGGAATGATGGTTAAGTGGGAACTGGTGAATTGCTGTGGCATATCATCTCTAGAGCAAAGTGCAGCAGGCATTCTTACTGTCTTTGTTCTTAAAAATCTCCTGTCTTTGTTCTTAAAAATCCCTCTGTACTCCCTTTCATAACAGTTGTATCAATCTTCTGTTCAGAGCACAGTCTAGAAGTTCATTATCTTGTCCCACAGTTAAGTACAATCTTTTTAAAAACAACTTTGCTAGTTTAATTTGAACACAGAAAAACAAATCTTACTCTTCCTGTCAGATTTTGAAACTGTGCCGTATTGCTTGAATTCCAGCAGCTGCCTTAGTTCCCACTAAATCTAAATTGTCTTTCTGATAAGCTTTCTGAAATCACTATATGGGTGATCAAGCTTATTTTGTTCCATAATTGCAAGGTAAAAATATTTAGTGTTCATATTTAAAGTGTTTTGTAGTAATTTGGCTCAGAGGTTGAGATTTTTAAGCTGCCTTACTTAGATACTGAGACATGGAGCTGACCTGTAAATGTGGAAGACTTTCTTGTTTCACAGCTGCAGAGACCTTCTAGTGTCATTTCCTTCTCTTTGCTTTAATAGGAGCTGTGCAGTTATCCCTGAATGGGTTTGATGTAGTTCACATCAGTACAAAGAGTCATAAAATAATAGTTCTCTGCATGTGACAGATGGATGCCTGAATCACTGGAGGCAAAACAATTATCATGACATTCTGAGATGGTTGTTATAGTGGTGTAACTTAAAATAGAAATAAGTARAACTTGCTGCTAGGCCATATGGAGGAAAGGAAATGAGTGACACAGATAGCACTATCATGTGTTGAAATGACCTAAAATGACTTGTTACAGCTGGAAGCCCAACTTGAAGAAGTCGTAGCAGAAGCATCAAAAGAACGCAAGCTCCGTGAGCACAGCGAGGTTTTCTCCAAACAACTGGAAAATGAACTGGAAGCTCTAAAGGTTACATGGTTTTTGACAAATATTTATTCATGGCCCAGAAGCTGTGATAGTTTGGCTTACTCAACTCTTGATACCAGTGGGAGTCTTAAAAAGTACAGCATTACTGGAAACCTGACCTAACCCATCCAGATTTATTTGGCTCTTTTGCTTGAAAGACTTTAATTTCTGGACACTAATGTCTTGAAAATGCCCAGTTTATATAAATTCTAAGCAGCTACTAAATCAATGTGATCCAAATCTGTTATCACTGCAACCCATTTCAACCCCTTATTATAGTCATATAAGCAGAACAGTMACTTCTGAGGCTTAATGCTTGGAGAGAGGCATCTTTTAAATCACTTGGTGCCCAAATAAAAGTTCTTCCAAAGTGCCACCAATTGGACAATTCTGACTTTTGAGAATATTCCCAAAATATAAAGACCATAGCTGCTTCCTGATGGTTTCTTCTCTGGTTCTGCAGTTGAAGCAGGGAGGCCGGGCAGCTGGTGCCACACTAGAACATCAACAGGAGCTTTCCAAAGTTAAGTCTGAGCTGGAAAAGAAAATCTTATTTTATGAAGAGGAGTTAGTCCGACGAGAAGCATCACATGTTTTGGAAGTAAAAAATGTGAAAAAGGAAGTACATGATTCAGAGAGCCATCAGCTTGCACTTCAGAAAGAGATCATGATATTAAAGGATAAATTAGAGAAAACAAAGCGAGAGAGGTAAGCTTTTGGGCAAGATTCCTTTACTATGGATTTCTTTTTGCTGTGCGTATATATTGCATTGAATGCACGCCTGTGCAGGCTGGTATTTCACCCTAACTCTGTTTATTCCTATTTGAAAACCCCAGTCTACAGGTTCAGCAGTGTGACTGTGTAAATGTTTCTGTTGCTTGCCCTTCTCTCTAGGCACAGTGAAATGGAGGAAGCAATAGGAACAATGAAGGAGAAATATGAGCGTGAAAGATCTATGCTCTTGGAAGACAACAAAAAGCTAACAACAGAAAATGAGAGGGTAATTATTTTATTAAACATATAATTCTTACTTCATTACTTCATGTTGAAGTAGTCTACTTACTGATCAGAACAGGATCTGTGAATGTTCAGGCACTGTCTGAATAAAAAAAAAATCTATGTCATATAAATATTAGAGATTTGGCTATGTAGTAACTTTAGTATCTTGGTACTGCTGTTTGGGGGATTGATTCCCACAATTTGGAGGACACCACCCTTTGATTCTTCATGAAGGTTGTGAAGAGAGAGAATCATTGGCACACTGCCTGCCTTCCTAATGGCTTACAGTTAAACCCTGCTCCTCTCTGAATTCTACACTTGTTTTTTATTTTCCTTTGTTTTAGATTATTTGGTGTAAACTGACAGTTCCACAAAAAAGAAGCCCATSTAGTTCTTCGCTCTGTGTTAGAACTCCCAGATAGTCCAGGGTGGTCTTGTTTGTTCAGATTCTAAAGGTGTGTAGGCATACATATATATGAAAAGTCTGAAACTGTCATAAGTCACAAGTGAAACTAATCTTTTGTTTCAGCTATGCTCCTTCGTGGACAAGCTAACAGCACAGAATAGACAGCTGGAAGATGAGCTCCAAGATCTAGCAGCAAAGAAGGAGTCTGTTGCTCACTGGGAAGCTCAGATTGCAGAAATTATTCAGTGGTATGTRTTGTACAGAGATCCAGATACGGCCACTTTCAACTTCTGAATTATTGATTGGCTTTTTATCTTTTTTTAGCATGTAGCTGGGCTTTGTGTCTCAGATCAATTAAAGCATGGTATTTCTGAGTGTTGATTTTGTTGAAATTGCCAGGTGCCACTGAAACAAGCACAAAGCAGAATCTTGCTGTCAACTTTCTTCAGTCTCTAAATGGATTAATAAGTCACCCAAATTGGAATATTTTGATAAATTCATTCAGGAAGTTGATCATGATTTAAAAGGTCAATGTTAACATACAGAACTTCACTCTAGCTGTACTAGACAAGAACCTCCACTTAATTCTTGCACTGTTCTTCCCTCTTTAGTTCACTGTTTTAGCAAACTGTGTGCAAGAATTTCAGTGTGCAAAACAAAAAGGACTGGAAGATAGCCCTTATAAAAATGGAGCAAGTAATATGCAGATTGTATTCCAAACTACAACAGTGAATCTCTGCAGAACTCTTGCTAATGGCAAAAGGGAAGCTTCAGTTTCCCTAGCAACTGCCACAATCAAGAAAATCAGATAAAAGAAAAATCTAAAGTAGACAATTGGAGATGAATTCTGTTTTCTGTTGCTGGGAGAGTTTTCCCTGCTCTGTTTGTTCCTGTTACATCCCTAAACCCCATGAAGATGCTCTGATAATTTGGTGGTACGGTATTTGGTTCTATGAGCCATGAAACTGTTAAGTTACAGGTTTTTGTAATTGCACAACAGGGTAAGTGATGAGAAGGATGCTCGTGGCTATCTCCAAGCATTAGCTTCCAAGATGACAGAAGAACTAGAATCATTGAGAAGTTCCAGTTTGGGGTCACGAACACTGGTAAGGAAATAGGAAATATTCAGGACGTTCTGGGCATGTCTGAGAAGCTGCATTTTTGTGCCTAAAAAGTATTTTTTCCTAATAAATCCTCTACTCTGCTTTTTGGTTTTTAGCTGCTGCTTGCAAATCCAACTAGGTAATCTGATCAGAATTTGATAATTACATGGGGCAGTTRTTTCATACTAATACCTGCCATCACAGATGTTAAACACCATAGAGGAGAGAAGAAACAGTAATAACTTAAACCATTARAGGGGAGTACAAAAATACACCTTACCGTGTTATGTGCAATTGAATAATTTTAATTGCTCTTACAGTGAGATAACAAAGTAAGTTTTCTTCTGTGAAAAAATATTAGCTGATGAAAAAATACTGATACCAATACGAACTAGTGACACACTGAGAGCGTGTGGCATTATTTACATACAGAACAATGTGCAATAATTTTGCCATACAATAGTAACATGAAAAATATAATAGAAGAGCTCTCATAAAGATTTGGTTTCAAAGAGAAAAACACCTGCATAAGGAAAGGAAGAGAGCCATTTGCAGCTTGGCATGGGAGCCCACATCCCTACCCATGCCAGCCAGCAATCTGCCATGCAGAGTCCATCTGCTGCTGGGTTATACATACAAGAAGTTACTCACCCCTTCCAAACCTATGGATATGAGAGCATAAGRAAAAATTTTATTTCTGTGAGCTAGCATTTGTCTCCATCATCAAGAGACTATTATAATATTGAGAGGTTTAATGGAAAGAAAGATTGGATCAAACGCAGTTTCCATTTATATCTTAGCTACTGCCAGAATAAAGAACACTCTCTATTCTTTATATTATAACTGTTTTTTTAGCTTCTACAGAGCCTTCTCTAAGGCAGTTACTTCTCAACATAAGAAGTGCTTTTTGGTTTTCATGACCATTATTTRCAAGTTCATCTATGACTAGATAGGGATTCATTAGGGAATATCAGAAAAGTAGTCCACACTAAAAAATGCCTGGAAAAGCTCAGAATATTAGCTTTTGGGATAGTAGGGAAGAATTGCATAGTGTGTGCTGAAGTATAGCATATGGTACTTGTCAAGCATAAGAATTGCTTAGGCCAATGTTCCAGGTACATTGGGCTTCTCAAGATTCAGATTCTTTCTTCATTTTCTTTTTCTTCTCATGGTTTTGCTACTTTTAGTATGTTCTATATTAGTATGTTTTACATTAAATGTTGACATTTATCTCATGTTTGAAAGTTCAGTGTATCACTTTACACTCTGTTCTAGGTGGATAGTGAAAACTAGTCATTTTCAGTGGGTTCTCTCTGTTTGACTTCYGTGCTCAGTGATACAGCGTTTTGGTTTCAAGCATATTGTGTCAATGGTCAACCAATATTAAAATTGCTCATTACTTTATGTAATGAAGTCTGACTGTTGACTAATTTTTGTGCAGCAGGTGTGCTGCCCATAACTAATTAAAAGAGCATTATCTGAACCAGTGTGAAAGCTAATTTATGTCTTTGGACAAGAACAGAAATATCCTCAGACAGTTGATAGTAATGTTCAATAACTTACTGCAACAGGATCCACTATGGAAAGTGCGACGCAGTCAGAAGTTGGATATGTCAGCGAGGCTGGAATTACAGTCTGCCCTTGATGCAGAAATTCGTGCCAAACAACTAGCTCAAGAAGAGCTACGGAAAGTTAAAGATATAAACATATCTTTAGAAAGGTAATGAGGCCTTTGGTTCTGTTTGGGGTTTAATGTACTGATCTAAACTGCTGATTAGAATAGCAGCAACTTCCTTAAAATGGCCCCTTGTGCCTGCAATATTGGACTTTGCCAGAAAGATCCCATTCCATGAACTACACATTTCTTACACAGTCAAATGGGAGCAGTGAAAATTCCTTCAAGTAAACATTTCACTGCTGTAGTAAGATACAAATCCTGGGCATCTGAGGAAAAAAAGCATAAGAGCAAATTCAGTATAATTTCTTCGACTAACTGGAGAGTTAGAAATGTTCTTGGGAATTAAAAGTCAAAGTACTATTAGAATAATTTGGTTTGGCAGATACTTGCAATGATAGTAGAAATCTCAAGTACAGTTTGAAATATCTAGTCAAGTAGTGAGGTACATATTTAGAAGAAAAGTGAAATTAATCATCCATAAAAAAAACACATAAAAAACCCAGTACTTCTCCAAAGAAAAAATAAAAAAGGCATTTTCCAAAACTCTGGGATGTAGGACCAGAAGTAAACAACCTTGTGTACTGGCATTCCTGCCTTTGAGACATTTCAGATTATATTTTGATAATTTTTTTTTATTTTAGTAAATTAAAGGAATCAGAAGCAAAGAATAGAGAACTGTTGGAAGAGGTAGACAGTTGGAAGAAAAAAATGGAAGAAAAATACAGAACAGATTCAGGTAATTAAAGTTACTGTGTTCTAACAAGAGTTTCTAACCTCACTTGTGATACTGCCTTTTAGCTAAGCCTGTTTTGCTTTTGGTTTTAGGTCTCAAACTTCCAGATTTTCAAGATTCCATTTTTGACTATTTCAACACCTCTCCTCTTGCACGTGATTTGACTTTCAGAGTGAGTTATTACATAAAATAACTATAAAAGTGAGATAACCAAATTATATTTTTACTATGTAAAAGTAACTCCTGGGTGCATTGGTATCTTGCATATTAACCAAATCAGCATGGCACAGGATTGGATGCCCAGTAGGTGACAGATTGACATCTTGTAGAGATGCTTGACATTCTGTAGAGAAGCTGGTACCTCTGGGAAATACTCAGAAGTTCACATTAATTATTTCCCATTCTAGCTTCTTTGTTTAGGTTCATCTCAAACATTTGGCTAAATGAAATATATTCAGGGTTTTTTGAAAATGCTGGCACACCCTGTTACAAGTAAGGAACTAAGTGCTTTGCAGTTGGAAGGTGCTGATTATTAGAGGGAAAAATGTTCACACAGTTCAAGGAGTGYTTAAACAGATATGAAAAATTGTTGGCTCCAGATCTTAATGGAGTGGTGAGAGGGGAAGGAGCTGGGAAGAGAATCAGAGGACCCACAGATGTTGGTATAATAAGTTTATCGTGACACACCCTGTGATCCTTAGCAAACTAATCATACAAATCACAGCTCCAAGTAGGCGTTTCACATTAAATGATTTGTGCATTCCCTGAGGAAGCAGCTGTTAACTGCAACATTGAATCACATTTCCTTAKTTCATGAACTCTTGATCCCTGAAGATTTTTCTGGAGTTTTTGAAAATTTTGTTTTGCAAAGCATAGACAATTTAGGATAAAACCAAGAGCTTGAACTGGAATGAATAATCTATTTAGGATTTCAAGGGACTCAGGTTAACACCTCATCATTCTGCTTAGGTTTTCTAATGGAGACTTGTACTCTCACTTTTTAATTTTTTTTTAAATTGCCCCTGTTGATAAAAAAAGAAAAGGCTATGGACATGCTGTGATATTTTCATACAGTTTGTGTATTTGCACCCAGTTACAAGACATCTATGCTGCCTTTCTGTTGAAGCAGCAAGATGTGCTGTATGGGTGACGTGGAGGGAAGAGAGAGAAGTATGAAAAATGCTACTTTTCAATAATAACTTTTATCTACTGACCTTGATATTTTAAAACATTGCTTTAAAAAGTACCAGATAGACATAAAACAGTAACATGTAAAATATCAAGCCCATAACTAAATAAGGTCCCGTTCTACAGATCCTGAAATACATATATATTCTCTGTGGAAATGCAGGTGGCATTTTCTGATGAATTACATTAAAATCGCTGATGATTGTACTTGATGACTTACAYTAACAATTTTTTTTTCACATGTACTTACAAAGATATTTTGTATCATCTGCTTTGGGGTTAATTTAGTTTGAATGAGTATCACTTGCCCATATAAAATATTTTATTCAGCTAGCCAACTAATATACTATCTGAAGTTTTCCTGTGGGTGATAAGCAATCGTTTTTATCCCTCATATCCGTTACAACAAAGGATTCTGTTTCTTCTTCGTCTACATCTTCTCTGCTAGCCTTTTGGGAAGAAGTAAGTTTTTGCTAGTAGTTCTGTGTCCTTATTTTGTTGTGACCTGTCATAGTAAAAATGGCCCTCTAAAACTAGATATTTTGCTTCCTTAATTTCTCTGTAACTTAATCCACTAAACCTCTTTGAGGCTTACTGTTTTATAGTTTGACTATCTATATAGCTAAAGCTATTAGCATTTTGAAATTTTTCATATTACATAATGTGCAATTTGATCTTAAATGGCCCAGCCCTTCCAATCAATTCGGAAAAAAAACAAAAATAACAAGTATCTGAATGTATTTTGTGAGCTAATTGAACTTGAGACATCTTCCTGTCTAAACTGGCTGGGAAGTGAGTGATTCATTACTTGTTGCCTTTAGTGCTAATTACATCATTGATGTGAAGTCTAATCTCATGTTTGTTAATCATAGTTTTCATGATGTCCTGAGAGTACAGTAATACAGAATCCTGCTTCCACACTCAGCTGCTTTAGCTCTGGAATTGTAGCATACTTCCCCCTTGTGCTGGCAATTAGTAGTTGCTAATTTAAGTGTGAAATTAATAGATGGCTTGTAATGGATGCTAGTTTTAAATATTAGTAAAATATAAGACACTGTGATTAAGTAGACATGATTCTTTTAATGACAGAGGCAAATCATTTTTAAAAAACTTTTTTAAAGATTGAGTATTACTACTTTAAGATTTTTTTTCTTGTGGACTTGCTCRCTTCTGTGTGCTAGAAAAATCCTAGTGTAGTAAGCAACCATGAGAAATCAGCTATTTTAGGGATGATTGCCAAACTTCTCAAACATCATTCCATACCTGCAAGCAAGAGATTAGACACAGCCTTGCTGGAAGAATATGACTGTTAGAGCATTTATGCTGTCTACTGTGAGATTTTGCGTTTCAGTACTCCCAGCTTTTCCATCAGGTGGCAGGGTTTGTTTTGAGGAAAAATCTTTTTTCACAGTGGATGTTAAATGTATGTGTACTTCATATAGAAATCGGCACTGGGTCTTGTTTCCATTTTGTTGACATGAGAACACTTCATCAGATATGTGGTATCTAATCTAATATGTTTGCTGTCACTTTTGCAGACCAGCTCTATTAGTGAGCAGGAAATGCAGGGTCCCAAGTCAGAAGTTTCACCATCTACTTCAGTTGTAACTGCAGAGCAGCAACAAGAAGTAAGAGACCCGTTATTTTACCCTGAAGAGTAATTCACCAGAAAGTCTCTCTGTCTTGTTCATGCCAAATACATATTGCAGCATTCATTATGAAGAAGCAGGATTGAATGCTGCTTATTTGCARTGTCTCAGTGTTAATTGCACCTGCTTTGAGGACAGTTGCAAATGAAATCTTTTTGCTGGCTTTSTGTATGTTGATGTACCTCATTTTCATGTTTTCTGTATTGCTGCTTGTTTGTTAGCGTGCAGGCTTTCCTGTGAGTGCTTTAAACCACAATCTGTTTCTATTAAAGATGAACGGCAATGTTTACAATTATTAAATTTTGATGATTTTCAAAAAGGAAAAAAAAATCAGAGAACAATAAGCTTTGCCACCCCAACCTTGAAACAAATTCTTGAAGCGTTACTTTGCTCAATTACAGTTTCTTGTGATTCAGGAACCAATTCGGCTTCAGAGGATGCCTGCTGCTCCTTCCCCCACCATTCAGTCCATTTCTCTAGCTGTACCAAAGGTAGGGGGACTGTGCTAACCTTATTCTAACAAACAAAGGAAAAAAAAGATATCATTTATAAATTAGCCTTCTGTGTTTTCTTGTCCTGTTTGGGTTTGTCATGTGTATGTTTGTTAGGTCTGTGTTTTTAATCAAATGTTTCCAAATGCGTATCAATGGGTTTTGTTTTGTTGGAAGGGATCAGAAAACATGATTATAGTTTTGGGTTTGAGTGTCTTTTGAAGTTGGAAATGAAACTGTTTGTGGTGTCCTGCAGCACCTTTTACAAGCTGCACTTACATAAARGAAGCCCAGGGTTCATACTGTACATACTACAATGGAGGGTGGTGGAAGGTGGTGCTTGCATTACYTAAGTCCAGAAAATGAAGGTTTTTTTTTATCTGAATGTATCTTTCAGCCTAAAGCTCACCAGCTCAATATCAAGTCCTTCACAAGCCCCACTCAGTGTAGTCATTGCACGTCTCTTATGGTGGGATTAGTTCGACAAGGTTATGCCTGTGATGGTGAGTTGGTGAAACTTTTTTATAAATTTTCACTAAGTCCCTCAAAAAAGCATCCCAAGGCCCTAATGYATGTTAAGGCAACCATTTATTTGAGGAAGGAGTGAATGAGAAAGGTAGCTGCCCCTGGATGATTGTCCTTTCTTCTGCATTATCAGCATATTCCTGAAGTCACTTCAGAAGTATGATGGTGATGTATGATGAAGTATGGTTCCCTTGCATATTGTTAATTAATTCTGCTATCATTAGTGCTGTTATATCATTAGTGCAAGGGAGGGGGTGGGGAAGGCAGGACTGGTTTCTGTTGCTGTAGTAGAGAAAACTGTGGGAATGACCTGGTAACATGAATCTGATTATGTCTATTTTATGCTATTCTGGTCACAAACCCCATATGTTGGGAGGACTATTTTCTAGGCTATTTGGCCTGTAGCTTTCTTGCTGTCCATTAGTTTTACTTAAAATGCTTTCTCTGATGTATGTGTCACTATTGAATTCCATGTTCGACTACATAGAGGATTTTTATTTGAAAATACTTACTGTATATTAATTAGACACGGGAACACAGTTAAATAGGCCACCAATCTGTTGAAGACACTACAATATAAATAACTTTATTTCTGTGCCCAGCATAGTTCTTGCTGGTGGCAGCCTCTCCACTGACACCCTCAGTATCACATTTAGATTGCCTCATCTGCCCTTCAGGGCTTGTTTCCTGCCAGATCTTTCTGGTGGCACTTCTCCCCCAGGAGGGCCTATCTCTCTGCCAGCACTTGCCCTGGAGCTGCCTTTTGTCTCCTGTTGCTGACAGCTCCGAACTCTTGTTTTGCATCTCTTCCTGCAAGCTTGAAACTGTCTTTTTCTTTAGTGTAGCTATCGGCTTCACTCTTCTTTTTGTCTTGTATATTTTGATTAATCTCTGCATCATTAGTTTCCCATTTTGCCTAATCTACAGCAATTCCTGATAGCTGCAGAAAAAACTAAAATTGGTATAAAAATAGAGATGACTCCAATAGAACAAAACTTTGCCATGTTCCATTCACAACCAGTTGCATTTCCTAATTCCTATTTCTAATGCTGGAAACCATCACAAAATACAGCTGCACTTGCAGAAAACTGTGGAATTTACTATCCTGTCTAGGATTTTGTCTAGTATATAACTGATTTAGTTTGATATCCACAATCTCAAATAATYGTGATGCCTCCTTAAAGATCTGAATTTATTACCTGGTCTTGGGGAGCGCCTACAGTACCTTGTTTGTATGACTTTTTCATAATCCTTGCCCTCCTGGAGCAGACAGTAGTTCCAAGAACAAGCCAGGCAACCTGCTCTGGGCTGCCCTCTCTGCCCTCTCTTCCCTCTGGCATCATGAGGAGGAGGTTTGTTGTCCAGTCTGTGGCTGTAGTAGAAGCAGGCTGTTTCCAGGTTTTTTGGAATCCTTTGACACTTCATAATTACAGAACTAGATGTACCTAGGACATCTGCCAGATTTCCACTTCTCAAAATATGTTTAGGAGGAAGCACAGGATAGATCAGTGTCATGGTTCTTTCTTCCAAGCCTATTGGTAGAAAAAGGTTAGCTGGAMTAAACCAAGCAAAATCTCTGTGGAAAGATCTGGCCCCTAAGCTGTGGGTCAGATGCCTCAATATAACACATGAACTCATTCCACAGTTTTTATAGTCTGTCTCATGTGAAGTGTCATATATTATGAGTTTTTTCTGTGTACTGCTTCTGTGTGAAGTGTTCTGTAGATGAGACCTAGAGACCTCTGTCCTTTGCTGGTGCAGCACAAAGTGGTACAAAGTGGTGCAAATGGTAAGAAAGCATGCAATGCTAGTTTGCTCCTTATTTGAACTTAATTGAGCTCTGGGTAATAGATCTGTATGCCTCTTTCATCATGCACAATTTCAGTCCTTGTCCCTGGTATCTACTTTATTTATGCTTTATTTATGTCTATCTTGTGTTTAATAGTTCAACCCTTTCTATTTTTTTAATCAATTTAGTTTTACTTTGTTTTTGTAGTATTCTTGCATACATGGATCAAATTAAACATCTATTACCACTACCCTGTAATTTGTATTCCTCCTTTATTAATACTATTTCTCTTCTGTGACTGGATTAGTTGGTGCTTAACACCAGCAAGGCTGCCCAACTAATTTTCCTTGAAATATGGTCTCAGTTCCTGCCCTTTATGAATGTAATAGGCTAAAAAGAGGAAATAAAAGTACTTTAGAGAGTCTCATAGAGTGAAAGCTGTGTTCACTGCTTCAGCATAATGAGCTATTGCAAAATTTGACTGCCATTTTCAGTGTGATTAATTAATTTGCTGAGTGTAGACTATGTTAATCACCTATGATTGACTCATACACACATTTCACTGTGAATTTTCTCTTTTGTACTTAGTGTGTTCATTTGCATGCCATGTTTCCTGCAAGGACAGTGCACCTCAGGTCTGCCCTATACCCCCTGAACAAGCCAAAAGGCCTCTTGGAGTAGATGTGCAAAGAGGAATAGGAACCGCCTATAAAGGCTATGTCAAGGTAACAGTCTTTTATTCTTGGACAAGAGAAGAATACTTAACTTCACTCACAGCTGTACAGCTTGGAACCTCTAAGTATGTTTAAACAGATCTCCTAAATAGTGCTAAAGCCTTAAGGCTTTGTGTGCCATCTGTGTAACTTATTTAACCTTCGTTACTTTAGATGTGGCAGGAGCAYTTGGTTTTACTACAAGAGCTGAAGGTCAGTAGATCAGTAGCTACAGTGTTCATAAGCAGGGGGAAAAAAATGAACSGTTTAAGAAAGAATTTCTGTCATTGTTGATGTAAGCATAATATAAAAGGTGAACTGTCCTACCATTTTGGCATTGGTGGAATATCCAAGCCTAATATCTTTATACAAGTCTTAGTATATTTATTAAGCTGTAACAAGGAATGATTGAACTTAAAAGAGGAAAAATGATTGCTTGATTACTTGGTATTTTTCATCCTATTTTGAAGGACAAATAGAATGTGTTTTAATTCCATTGATGTAAGTATAAGCTTTTCTAAATGTCCTGCTTTCTGTGTCTCCTATGCTTAYATGCAATAAGCAATCAGTTATTTATCCACAGGTCCCAAAGCCTACGGGAGTTAAGAAAGGGTGGCAGAGGGCTTATGCAGTTGTCTGTGACTGTAAACTGTTCTTATATGATGTGCCTGAAGGAAAATCTACCCAGCCTGGAGTTGTGGCAAGTCAAGTCTTGGATCTCAGGTCTGTATTGTAATGACAGAGTAGAAATCCTCTCTACTTTTTTCTTAACAGTCATATTTATTTCTCATACACAAGAAACAGTGAGGTTTTGAGAGCTCTGGTCTAAGAAGATATGTGTATTCTGTACATAAACTGCAGCTAAATTTAGTCTGATCAAGCTGGCTCAACAAGAAGTCACTTAAATGACTTTATAGTCACTTACACTGCAATCRCCAGTATTTACAGCATTAGTATGCTTCTTTCTAGAATTCCCTATGCATCTATAAAAAGCAAGTGTATATTGGTAGATTGCTTTTCTCATGCACTCTGACCTCAGCATTGACTTACAGATCATCCCATAGCCARTAAGTTCAGGAATGTTAGAAAAATTGAAATAGTCTGCAGAAAAGCACCAACTAATTTGCACTGCAAATGGCTCTGACTCTGCCTTTTCAAGGGGTTATTATTTCATGGGGAACCATCCGAACCAGTGAACACTCTCTACCAAAGATCTGAGACTAACGTTGATCAGCGTAACCAAGGTTTTTTTATTTCATTTTATGGAAATATCAAGAAAGTGGAATACCTTTTAATGTTACAGCACCTTTGTACCTGTGTGGAATATAAAGTTTGCATTCACAAGCAGCTTGATTTATATTTTTTTCCAGACAGTAGTACCTTGGGGTTGCACCAGTCCTGCTGGGCTGTTCTCACACTCACTGGGAACTGTCAGTGTCAGGTCTCTGACATGCTGGCAGTGGGAGCAGGAACGTGGAAGTTTTGCARATAGCAGCACTCACATCAGTACATTGCTTGAAGCAACTCAGCYAGATACTATATACCAACTGTCCCATGCTTTATCTGCTTATTGTAGCTGCCTCTTTGAGGCTGTCATCTGAGGATCCTTAGATGTTTYAAATAGATGTTAACCACCACAGCTATGAATTCTAGCACGGGCAAGTTTCAGGCATTAGTGTCATCTTTTCACTAAAATTGGCAATTATGGTGATCCACTTGGTCAAGTTTAAAAAGGCTAGTGCAGACAAGCCCTCTGGGGTGGAGCACTCTGAAATGCAAAAGTTTTTCTGATGTCTGTTTATTTTACTATAATAGACAATAAAATCTAGCTGTTTTGAAAACCCTTACTTGAAACCCACAAACTATAATTATGTTGCCAAGAGCTTTTTATGTGATTTTTCTTTTTTTCCAAAGGCCCCTCTCTTGCTACACATTGAGGTATGAATTATTCATTTCTAATGTGTCTGCTGGGCTGGAAGARCAATATTTTTGCTTCTAATTGTAGAATAGGTGTGGTTGGGACACCAAAGCTACACAAAGCACCCCACTTTTCTTCAGGTGGACTGAATTACACATACCAGAGACATAACTGAGGCTTGTGAGTCGTTTGAGTCAAGGATGGTTTAGAGGATAACAAAGCACTTGTGACCTCTGTGCAGTGTTAGGAGATTGCAGCCTATTGAAGCAGTGGTTATACCAAGATAGATTTTGCTCAATAATCCCAGTGTGTGCTTGTATGTGATGCTCTTGTTCTCTTTCTCACTAGAGATGAAGATTTTTGTGTGAGCTCTGTCCTAGCATCGGATGTAATACACGCAACTCGTAAAGACATCCCTTGTATATTCAGGGTATGGCTACCAACTGACTCTTACAGAAAATACCAGTTAAATACCAGTGGTTTGTTTTGATAATGGCCTATGTTATCTCTATCTAATGTTAACTTATGCAGAAGTGTAAGAATTTATAAGGGCTGCTGAGATCTGTAGAAGAACAATATGGTACTCCTCTTATAACTGCACTGTAAAGAACAAAATTCACCTTCTTTAGCTGCTTTCTTGTATATAAAGTTTGGATTTTTTTTAAATTTTCTTGATTATAATTCAGTTTATTTTGTCTCTTTTTCCATTGGAATTACCAGATTCTGTTTTTTCTTGCTTAGCTTTGGACTCTTTCTTTAGGAACCGATGCTGTAACAGAATATTCTGAAACTGATCTAGTTTGTTATGTATGATCTTGTATATAAGAAGTACATTTGTAATTTTAGTTTCCTTAATTTTGTAGTTAAGTATAGAAGAAAAAAATAAGAGAAACTAATTAACTCTGTTATACTATCCCCTTTAATGTATGTTCTATCTGAATGTTGTACTTAGTTTTTAACAATAGGAACTTCATTCCTGTTTTAATGTGAATCACATTAAATCTAGAATTCTAAAATTTAGAAAAGGGTACATTAGTAGCCAGTACCTATAGTCCTTTCCATTTGAATACAGAAACTCACTGTTTTTTTTGATCTTCATCCATTTAGAACCAAGTCAGTCAAACACAGAAAGCAAAGAGCTGTCACTCAATTGCAGTCCCTTATCATTTGGTCCTTCAGGATTTTACTTGGGAATTGTCTTTACTACTTGACTGCCTCTGTGTCTTTGCTTTTCTGGTTTCTTGTAAAAATATTTTTCTGCCATGGATTTTCATACTTTCATTTACTACTACCTTTACCTTAATTTTCCTCTTGTTTCTATTTTGGGGTTTGGGCTTTTAAATTCTCATCTGCCTGCTCTCTTCTTAAATTAGCAAATATGGAATACGGTAGGAAAGAACTTCTGAGGAGAGAAAATATGCAGTGTTTAATGATGGTTCCTTCATTTAAGAATAAGGCATCCATATAGTTTAGCCTGCCTGACTTGTTGCTCTAGTTTCTGCCTGCACATTTTAACTGAAAGGGTGTCTAAGTAATAAAAACCACTTTTGTCAAATATCCCTGTGTAAAAATACTTGTGTGGATAGACATGACAAAATACTCCATGGTTTGATCAGATTATGCCCCGTTAAAGAGATGTGATGAATTAACTGGAAGCCTGGAGTGTAAATATATCCATTTAGATATGGGACCAGAGAAGCTGATGAATTACACCTCTTTTCTCAGTTCTGTGTCCTCCTTCAAAAAAAGGAATTTCTAAAACTGGAAACCACTATTACCTGATGCAAGTCTCTCTTCTCAATTTAATTTAATTCTAGATCTGCATCTCGCTGACACAATCACATAGAGTAGCTTGTACACAACAGTTAAAACTGTTAATTCACATCATCTGTGTAAAAATATGGTCCTCCTTTCATATGTGCCATTGCACATAACACATGATGATATTGGTGGCCTAGGAAAACAGATTTTCGTTTCTTCTGGATCTTCCACCAGCAGAAAACAATAACAGAATGCTGCCAAACACGAAAATGTTCTCACTGTGACCGCCCCCCCACCATAAATTCAAGAAGGGGAAGTATTTGTCTCAGATTGAACATTTCCTCTTGGTAACCAGTTTTTAAAGCTGGCTGYTAGGCCATGCTGATATTCAGATACTGCAGTCTTAAGTGCTGCCATCGATATACATTTTTAATGACAGTGTAAGTGTGCTTGTAGTAGAGTGTTTCCATAGCTTAGCAGTTTAAGTTAAGAAGCCTTGAGTTTTGTAGCAAATAGTGGATATTTGTATGATGAATAATGCAATATATGTTACGACCARCTTCTCACTTTTTTTCCCTGTGTTTGACTATCTGTAAGCTGCCACCTTCAAAAGACTGAGGAGTAATACATGGTGGTACTTCAAAGGGAAAACCATTGCTGGAATCTGGTTTTGTTTTGTTTTCTAACTTAAAAATATTACCCATTATGCCTCCATCTGTCTTTAAAATATTAATGCTTAGTTACAKTTTAGACATGAACAAAGCTTTATGCAGAGTAAAATAAGAGCTATGAGCAATTGCAACTGCTCAATTCCTTCCCTACCTTCCTTCATCTTCATCTTGCTTCTGAACTTCTGTCTTTGACATCCTGTTCTCCCAAATTTACTTTCAGATATATTTTGTCCTCAAGATGAGTGTTGCTGTTTAGTTCACTCTGCCAGGAACTGTGTGTGTGTTGCATTACTACAACTTCCATCCTTATGATGATTTCTTATTGAGGCATGTAGACTGAAGGTCYGACATTCCATGTTACAGCCTTCAGATTTGCACTTTCACATCTTCGGTTGCTGTTTTCTATTAATTAACTCTGTTGTTACTCAGTCTGTGGTGAGGACTGATCCTGGTTGTTGTCCTGTTTATGGCTGGAAGCATAGTTCTCATGATACCACAAACCCTTCAGTCTCTTCATGCAGTACACGAAAACAAAATATTAAGAATTACTGCRTGCATTCTTCACTCAACAGAAGTTCCTGGATAGTTTTTCTGTTTAGAACACATTTTGCTTTGAGATCTATGGGATGATTTAACTGAAAATTAATTGAAGCTGTAATGATTTTCTTTTAACACGGGGACGTGGGAGAATGCAGTACTTCAGTCTCAAATACTGCTTTCCTCCAGAGCTTTGAATGCAGATRTGATGTGCTCTTCCCCCATGGACAAATATTTGGAAAATTAGCATAATCAAAATCTAGAATTGATGATCGCAGTGCTTTTGGGTTTAAATGCATCTGGTTCACAAATCATGTGTGTCATTTCCAGTAAGTTGTGGGTGYGTGGGAGGGATCAGGGCAAGCTATGGTATGCTACTGAACTTGTGGTTCAGGGGAGGAAGGAGCCTTTTAGTGCCATGTATTGATTATTGTAGCATTCCTTGCCCAGATTTTAGGATACAGAAYATTTAAGTAAGACTCAATACTTTTAAACAAAAACACTGGCTTGTGCAGGGTTGTTTGGTTGGGTTTTTGAAGCACTATGGCTGTATTAGGTGTATTGTACACGCCCCTCAGGTACATCATTCCCTTGTCATGAGAAAATGTACTTTATTTTCACAGTTCTGTGCGATAAAAAGGGGTTTTATTACTCTAACTAATTTCACTGTCTCTGTCTGTTTAAAGGTGACAGCTTCTCTCTTAGGTTTGCCTTCAAAGTCTTGTTCTCTACTGATCCTGACAGAAAATGAGAACGAAAAGAGAAAGTGGGTTGGAATCCTCGAAGGGTTGCAGTCTATCCTGCACAAAAACAGGCTGAGGAACCAGGTTGTGCATATTCCACAAGAAGCCTATGACAGTACACTGCCTCTTATTAAAGCAAGTTTAGCTGCTGCTATTGTAGGTATGTTTGTTTTAACTTTTATAAGTGTGTGAAGGTTGTTGGAACTTTTAGACAGGCTTCTGTAATGAGAGCACTGACACCTTGAAATAAATTCCTCAGCTGAATTCCTTCATAGGAATTTAATAATGGGTGAAAAATGCTAATCTTGCATTGATATTCAGGTTTCCTCATTCACTTGGAGTAAATAATAGTGTTGAGTTGTTCTACAGGTTGTTTTAGCAATATGGTATATAGCAGGCTTTTGACAGGCTGCGTGAACTTCAAGCAAAATTGATTTCCTGGTRAAAATCTGTTTGTGCAGAAATTTTTTCAGCTGTTCAAAGCAAACAGGCTGTTTTAAAGATAAGATTAAGTGTAGCTGAATTAATGGCCTTTTTTTCCCTCTTGGTTTAGATCGAGATAGAATAGCAATTGGTTCAGAAGAAGGACTGTATGTGATAGAGGTGACCCGTGACGGTAAGTCAGGCCATAATGCATGCAGTAATTACATACAGAATAATGAGCTCCATAACTTTTAGTGCTGCTGTAATATAGGTTGCATAACAGCCTTTCATGTACAGTAAGTATTAAGCACTTGGTTAATTGATGAGAAGCAAAAGTGAATGTGAGGTATAAGCACTAATTTGGTCATTATCATTACATTCAGTTGACTGGCTGAAATTAAWGGGATGAGTTACTGGGCATATTCTGACACATTCTCACCTTAACTGTGTTCCCCCMTCAGGCAGCAAAATGTTTCAGCACACAGAGCATGCACAGCTCACACAGAGTTTGTAGACTTTCCATTAAAGCCTCCATGTCTTCTTTTCTCCTTCTTCCAGAAATTTGACAGCCACTTGTGTTCTCTTTCAGACTRGTGATGTCTAAAGCAAGTGATTGCTTGCTGCTTCCCAATATCTAATTCCTTGACTCTGTGCTTCCTCCTGAACCTGCTGTTTCCTTCCTGTTCTTAATGTACTTTGCCCTCTGTGCAGGGAAAAATGGGATCAGTATTGTCTGCTCTTCCTGAAGTCTTTCCATTCCAGAATGTGGATGCCAAGTCTGTCTAGGTGGTCCCTAATCCAATCCTGCTTCACCATTGGAAAGTCTTCTTTCCACCATTCCTTTTCTCTTGTCTCCTGGGTCAGAGATTCTTGAGTGCTGGTCTTGTCAGTGATTTCCTTGATTCCTTTTTMTGTGTAATTTAGTTTTTTGCTATTTGGAAGTTGGATTTTAGTCATGCTAAAGCTTGCATTTCARTGTAAAATAAAGCAGTGAATGCAGGTTGTTAAAAACTTACTTGACTTTCAAAATTAAATGACATCAGGGATGTGGTTTTGGGTCAAAAGAAAAATGTTCTTGCTTCTTCTTGTTTGGAATAAGATATTGCCCAATTCCAGGAGAAATTGCTTTATATGTGGAGATAGCAGATATTTGAAATTCTTTTTAGCAGTAATGAATGCCATTCCTTTGAGTAAGCCTCCAGTGGTCACGATTCTCCAAGGAGTCAGACATAAACATAACTTGAGATGCAAATAATTCCAGGGATTCCAGTACAGCTTCTTGTATAAAAGAAAGCTATAAATTTAATTTGAAAGGTCATTTCATAAAGGAATGATTATCTGCATCACTGTGTCATATGTAAATGTGAAAATTAATTATCAGTTTTGGTTTAAAGGTAGAGATGTTTAGCAGGAGTTTCCTGTGGCCATTTCTGTGTGTTAATAGCATTTTTTATAAACTGTAATSTGTTTTTCATTTTATGGCAGTTGTAATTTTCAGTGTTAATTAACTGCCAGCTGTTTATAGCAAAGGTCTTTGGTTAGGATATCACTTAATTCTTGACAAATAAGCTGGAGTTGGAGCTAGGAAGAAAATAATTTCTCTGTGGCAAAGCTGGTWATTTCCTAGAACATTTCTTCAGACATTTCATCTATTTATGCATGTGGAGCTATATCACAACAGCACTTAGTGATCTAAATAGCTAAAGTCTTATTACCAAGTTTACAGAATTTTGTAACTTGGCTACATTACTCAACTGGTACTGAAAAAAGGCATAGAATTTCCAATTAATAGTTCTCTTTTCTTTTTAAACTACTATTCACAATTATTTTTATTGCAATCAGCTAGCAGAAAAATTAAAGTTACAATTTGATTTAATTGGCTTATGCTTATTAAGTTTCCTAGTTTAGAGTTGCTCTTCTGTTTTGTAGCCCATGAAATACTGACTGCATTCTTGRAAATTCTTGTATAGCCAAGATCCCCAAAGAGCACCCCTTGTACCTAATGCCCTTAGCTGCCTCTAACCCTGCTTTAAAAAAAATGCATCAAACAGCAAAACTCCCCATGGATAGCCTGACTAGTCCTTGCTCTGAGAAGGGTTTTCCTGGTGCCTGCCTAAACCTTTTTTCCTGCAGCCTGAGCTCCTTCCTTCTTATCCTTTCCCCATCACATACAGCATTTTTTTGCCCTTCCATATATGTGTTTTACATGCACTTACTGTACTGATTTTGTATCTGGCTGAGAGATGTGCCAGCAATTCAGCATTTTRTGTCCTCACTTACAGCATTAAATACTTTATATTTCTTTCCTTTGTATTCTGCTAATTTGTTCTTCCTCCAAAATTTACTGAAGATGCTGATGTTTTCCTTATGATGGGACCCATTTCTGAAGATGCAGCATCTTGCACTGTACAGATAGTCCAGATCTAATTCTATAAAATATTCTTTTCCATTTATCCCACATTAAGCAGCTTTTTCCCACAAAGTGTTGTTGAGATTTTTCTTTACGAATAGAGAAGGGTACAGGAATGCTTTGTTTCATTGTTTGCTCTGCACATTAGTACCAGAGAATCAACCATGTGTAATAAGTGCTCTTCCTCACCTGATACAGGTCTGTGTTTAGATTAATTTTGAGGTACCACTATGTAACACTGCAGTGTTTCCAAGCCTGGTAGTTTTGCTGTTTAACTTATGGTGGCTCTTGTTTCCTTTGCAGTGATAGTTCGAGCTGCTGACTGCAAGAAGGTGTACCAGATAGAGCTTGCTCCCAAAGAGAAAATTATCATCCTCATCTGTGGTCGGAACCATCACGTCCACCTTTACCCCTGGGCTTCTCTGGATGGGTCAGAAGGGAACTTTGACATTAAGCTTGCAGAAACTAAAGGCTGCCAATTGATTACAACTGGAACACTAAAGAAGAGTTCTTCTACTTGTTTGTTTGTGGCTGTCAAACGACAGGTTTTTTGCTATGAAATTCACAGAACTAAACCTTTCCACAAAAAATTCAGTGAAATTCAGGCTCCAGGAATTGTACAGTGGATGACTGTGTTCAAGGACAAGCTCTGTGTTGGCTACCAGTCTGGGTTCTCTCTGTTGACCATCCAGGGAGATGGACAATCTATAAACCTGGTAAATCCTAATGACCCCTCGCTTATCTTCCTCTCACAGCAGTCTTTTGATGCCCTTTGTGCTGTGGAGCTCAGTAATGAGGAATACCTGCTTTGCTTCAGCCATATGGGAGTTTACGTCGATTCGCAAGGTCGAAGGTCACGCATGCAGGAACTAATGTGGCCTGCAACTCCTGTTGCCTGTAGTATGTATATGTTTTTCTGTTGCCATATCCCTGTTGCTGCTTTACTTGTCTAAAAATACTCAGCATTGTATTCAATTTTGYTTCGGTTTGTCTTTGAATATCAAGTTTAAGTTTTATGAGTTAACAGACATGTGGTCCTTCCTRGTGGTAGTTTTGGCCTTGGAGATCTTCGATGCTGCTAGAGATGCTCTGTCTTGTAACAGGACACAGAAAAAGAAATAGTGGAATGCAAAATAACTTCTACAGAGAGCAGGTCTGGATGCATGACAGTGCAAGACTACYTGTCTGTGAAATTCTGTAAAATTATTGGTCCCCTAGAGAGCGTAAATGTCCAGCTGTCTGTAGGGTGTCTTCTGTCTACTCAAAGTACAGTAGAAAGTTGAAGAAGGAATGTAACTGCAAGTCTAAAGGTTCATAAAGATAACAAGAGATAAAAATTTTGGCAGAACTGATAGCATTTTTTAGTCCTTTTGGTTTTAATTTTAGGGTGACAATTTCCAAAAACATATAGGTGGAGGATAATTTTTCAACCACTCTGCTGTTTCAGGAGCACTGGCTATCAGCTTGGTAGAATAGAGGCACATGCAGAGCATTTTTCAGTATTCAGTAGTCAAAAGCAGTTGATGATAAATCTGTTATTTCTATTTGAAACTCAAATAGCAATTAAAATTTATTGAATGATTGAAGGCAAGAACTAGCTTTTTGTTTAAGTAGTACAGCAAGGAGTTAGGTGCATTTTGGTTTGATCAGGCCAGGCCCTAATAGGAATTTGTTTAATTTTATTTGATTTGAACTGAAATTGTTTGCTTGCTTTACTCTGACCTAGTTCTGTACAGAAGTCTGAAGCAAAGTCCCAAGGAAACAATGTAGTGGCAAATTTACTTTAAAACACCATTAGCTAAAACTAATGTTTCCTTTTCCTTAATCAGCTTTACAGGTTTTTTTCATTTCAGCAAACTAGGCTTGCTAGTTAATTGTTTTGTCTGTTATTATTAGAAGTGTTCTTACTGTAAACTATTTTATAACATTTTTGTATGTGCAATCCTGAGTGGTTCTGGCCTAGGGCTGTTTTTGGAGAAAGAGCAACATTTTCTGCTGCCAAAGGAAACTGAATTACTTCCCTTTTCATTAGACTTCTCAGTCCTGTTTCTGTCACTACTGATGGTGGCTTTTTTTAACTATCCCATCAGAAGGTTGTGAAATTACAGAATGGTTTGAGTTGGAAGGGACCTTAAAGATCATCTGCTTCCAACTCCCCTGCCATGGGCAGGAACACCTTCTACTAAACAATTTTCTCAAAGCTCCATTTAACCTGACCTTGAACACTAACATGGATGGACCAGCTTCTTCCACAGCTTCTGTGAGCAGCTTATTCCAGTGCCTCACCACCCTCACAATAAAGAATTTCTTCCGAATATCTAGTCTAATACCACTTCTCTGTTTAAAGCCATTTCTGCTTGTCCTATCACTCCATGCCCTGTAAAAAGTTCCYCTCCAGCTCCCTTGTAGTATCTTTAGGTACTGAAAGATGCTGTAAGGTCTTCCCAGAGTCTTCTTCAGGCTGAGAACAACCCCGATTCTCTCAGCCTGTCTTTATAGGAGAGACCAACAAGTGGAAGTGATTGTGCTGTGGTAAAACACCATGCTCTAGAGATTCTTTAGGATAAAACCGAGAATTTGTGTCTGGRGCATTCAGTGCCCTCACCGTGGCAGAGGGCAGGGTGAGCACTAGCACAGCTCTGTTAGCCCAGATGGCTGTTGGGGTTGCCCCAGCCTGTGCTGAGCCAGTGTGGGTGCCCTGGGGCTGCTTGGCTCCAGTGCAGCCGTGCAAAGCCGTGGAGGCAGCAGCTCTCCAGGCTGGAGCCCAGTGCAGGCACTGGCACGGCTCTCTGGGAACCCTTGAGATCTGGTCAGGCTCATCAGCTCTGACTGGCACATGCCAGCCTTGGCTACAGATGGTGTTTCTGCCTGATGCTCTGTTCTTGTTCTTGATTTGAATATCCAAGCCAACTAAGACCACAKGCAATAAATACTTGACCGTGAATCACTTTTGAATTACATATTTATGATAGCTGTCTAAGGCATTCTGTGAATGAATTTAAAAAATAGCACCACAACTGTACTTCGGTACTTCTAAGAAGATTCTGTGATGTGTTTAGTGTCCTACTGGGTAATTTTCATTTTGTTTATTGAAGCATCTTCTCTCTATTAAATCCCTTAAGTTCCTAGTAACTGCTCTTTACATCAGGAGATACTCTTTACATGAGCAGAAGCATGTTGATACAAAGCTCTAGAGAGCTTTGCTTTTCGTTTGACCTAAAATAAACTTGTCTGCTGGTGCCTTTTATGCTTTAAAAAAAAAAAAAGTTGAAAAGAGAAAATGAGTTATGGGCTTTAAGCATTGTGACGTTCTTCTGTCAACTTGATGAAAGCAACCGATGCATGAATATCTAAAGCTAGAAAATTGTAAGCAAAAGAGGAAGGAAATTGAGAGCAGATCTGCATCATGAGTTCATGACCCAGCTCACAGATGGTGGCTCTCTCATCTCCTCTGCACATAACAGATGTATAGTTGGTTTGCTGCTTCTGAAATGAAGTAATCCATAGCAAAACTAGCTTCTCAGATCCTACCACCTAGGAAATTTGTATGCATCTGAAAACTTCAAATGCCATTTTGCAGTTTCACGAAATGGCAATGTGAAGTTTTAAAAAACTAAAAAGGTCAAATTTAAATCTTTCCGTGATGCTGGTAGCTGTCATTAGCAAATCTATTCTCACAAAAAAAAAATCTGTTTGAAACTGGGGCTTTGAAAATGTGGTTTAAAATGTATCTTGCACGTAGTGGAAAACTTGTAACTATTGAAATCTGCTCAAATATTTGTCAGTTCTAGACTACTGAAATGACATKAGGGTTTCCTGTTTGTTTTCAATCAATGCAGGTTGCAATTCTTCATATGTAACAGTGTATAGCGAATATGGTGTTGATGTTTTTGATGTTAACACTATGGAATGGGTCCAGACTATTGGCCTGCGAAGGGTAAGTAGTTTTCTTTGAGTATTGAACTTAATTGAGTTAATTTCAAATGAGGTGTTTCTTCACAGTGTATGCTAGACTTGAGGTAATTCTCTGTCTCCTTCCTCAAAACAGATCAGACCATTGAACATGGATGGCACACTGAACCTCCTTAATTGTGAGCCGCCAAGGYTAATATATTTCAAGAACAAGTTTGCAGGTGAGTCCTGAGTAAGGGAAGAAATAGGGAACTCATACAAACTGGGTAATCTTCACCATGTTACCTTTGTATTMGATGAATTTTGTGTTGAATATGTCTGGGTCAGTGTGTGCCTCTGTATGTGAAATTGCTTTGTGCTATTACAGCAGGAGCTGGCCTCAGTGTACCAGAAACGTCTGACAACAGCAAGAAGCAAATGCTTCGAACCAGGAGCAAAAGAAGATTTGTATTTAAGGTTCCTGAGGAGGAGCGGTTACAACAAAGGCGGTGAGAATATCTTGTGGTACATAACTGAATATACATGATGACTTGCAGAGACTGGGAATGCTAATAGTAAAAATCATTCTGTTTTTTTAGGGAAATGCTTAGAGACCCTGAGCTAAGGTCAAAGATGATTTCTAACCCAACGAATTTCAACCACGTGGCTCATATGGGACCAGGAGATGGAATGCAGGTCCTCATGGACCTCCCACTGGTAAAATACATTTATGAGGGGTGGATATATATGTGCATTTGTTCATGCTCACAAAAACTGAGAAGATGAGCTCCAGTATTATCTCTGTACTGTATTCTTCTTTAAATCCTTTTGAGAAAGGTGAACCTTCCTGCTGTGCAATGCTTCTAAATCCTGTGTAAGGAAATACGGTTACCTGACTTATGAATGAGATACTGAAAGACAGATATCACTGCTAGGTGCTTGTTAGTAGTTTTGTAAATAATCAGTTTCTCCTCCTTCCTTTTTTTTGTTTGTCTTCTTGAAAAAAACAGAATGAATTTCCTTTCCCCTCATCCTCTCAACATTCTGCTCTTGGTATCACCTCCAACAGGCTTTGAGCACGTCTATCACATGAGCCCTATCTCTGCTGAAATCTCTCTCCAGAGTGACCATTCCTCACTGCAAGGCTTCCCTCTGCTTTCTTCCTCTTCCTGTCCCTCCTCTGCTTCCCTAGCAAGGGTAGGAGTAGCTACAAACTGTTAGGAACTGGAATATGGTATGCTTGTGGCACTTCACCAATTGTAGAGCAATAACAAGGGGAGAAAAACTAATGGAGGTAACTAAAATGCATGCGACTTGCAGTGCTTTATAGCATTAATTTTATTTTGTATTTACTAATACAGCATTTTGTGAGTCATTTTAGTCTTTAATACACAAGAGGAAGATGTGAAGGTACACTTTTATGTTCTGTATGTACCCTCCATTCTAGAGCTGCTAGTCAGGCTTTCTCTTGTCTTTCTCAGATAGCCCAGTTGTGAATCAGGCATTTGTCATTTCAGCAGGAGGAGGAAGGAAAGCACAGCTGTTAGTACAATCCCTGCCCCTTCATAGAGGGTTTGCTGGCTGACAGGTTCTAGTGGCTGCTATGGGGCTTAGTTCTTTCTCTGTCTTTCTCAGGGTTTGTGTCTGTTACTGAAAATATGTGGATGTGGTCAAGTAAGTTCAGTTTTTCTACCAACGCTGGGTTGTAATAGCTTCAAAAGCACAGTGAAGTTTTCATGAGTAACAACTTCTAGCTGGATGGCTTTTGTTGCTGGCTAACAAGGTGTTTCATGTCAACTGCAGAGTGTCCTACCTCCTGCACAGGATGAGAAGACCTGTCCATCTTCAGCTAACCTGTCACGGCAGCAACAGCAACAGAGAAACAAAACCTACATCTCGTGGCCCTCATCAAGTAAGGCTGGAAGCAAGCTGGTCACTTGTGAGCTGTAGCATGGGGTGTCAGCAGGAGGTGTAAACCTGCCTTTTGTCCTTTACTCTCTGCAGGTGGCAGTGATGTGGGAGCAACCATGCCTTCCCGAAGTATGTCCGACCCTGACCAGGAGTTTGACAAAGAGGTAAAAGAGCTTCTGTTAAACGGAGACCGATGATATCCTGTTGGTGTAGATTGTTTTCTTTTTCCAATAAATTGCATTTCCAAGAAAATACTTCAGAAAGATGTTTATGGAGATGTTTTCCTTCCACAAATGTTTTTTCCAGCCTTTAATATATGTTTGCAAGTTAGATACACCAGCACAAAAGCAAAGCTGTGAAAAGATCTTATGGTGATATTTTAAGAGATGTTACGTCTTGGATTAAGCTTTATAGGCRACAGAAATTTGACTAATTGATGAAATGTCCTCAAAGCTCCTAAAAATGTTCTCTGGGATATTAGCATAGAATAACAAAGTAATATGACTAGTTAAGTAATTTTCTGTGCTGCCTTAAGGAAGWCATCTTGTCATGTAACTTGAGAAGGAATCATATTTTAAAATACATAAAACTGCTTTAAGCAAGATTACGTGCCAGTAGTCACCCAATTTAAAATCTCCTGGCTTTGCAAAACTGGTATTCCTGAATCTAAATAGAGAAGATATATGATTTTTGTTTCTGTGATTTATCATGTGTTCTTCCAAGCTTTGCTGAAGCACTGTTTGTTCAAGGAAAGTGTTAGGAATTATTCCTGGGAAGCAAWGTCCCTGATTAAGATCTTTTTTAGTGCTTTTTGGTACCCAGCTGCAGGCCCAARTAATGCTCTGGATTTGGAAGCACGTTTTCCTGAAGCCAGACTTTTTCAGGATGCCTTAGCACACCCCAGGTCCAGAGTTCTGATCATGGCTGTGGTCTAACTTCCTCTGTCACCTTCAGTTAGCCACTAAAAGCACATAAAAATGGGGATCTCTAAACACAGGTATTTTTGAAGCCGTCTTGGTTTTCTAAGGTGATTATGGTGGACTATATTAGTTGACGTAGTTATTCTGTACACCTTTTCCAAACTCCATTATATTCCATKCTGTAATGGTAATTGTTGATTGTAGGCACAAGTAATGAGAGATTCTAAAGGATTTTTTCTCTTCTTGGTAGCTCTTAAAATTTCTTATGACTTCTTGAATTTAAAAAAATAGTAGTTTGAAACTGAGAGTCTCTAATAACACCTTTTGGCTTTATACTATTTTCCCCATGGCTTTTGGCTTTATGAACTGCATCATGTTAGGCTGATCTTGTTATAGATTATTTTATTATTGTTCAAGCCCATGCAAACCTTTTTGAACAGCATCCTGAAGGATGTTACCTTTCAATCTATTTGCTAAACATATATTTCCCTTTCTTGAAAATAACTTGCTGCAATGGTACCAGTTTTTTTTGTGCAGTGTTTCATTAGCTCAGAGTTGTAATTCACCAAAATAGTGGGAAACTTGCCAGCCATCCTGTTGAAGTGAGACCAGCCTGTGAAGGCAAATACCCAACAACTAATCTGACACTGGGGAAATAACTGTGGATAGTCTTTATTAGATATTGACGTAGGACGTACCCACTAAGTCTATTCTGTTTCCAGATCTCGCCTGATTCTTGGCAGCCTTCACTTGTTTGTCAGGCACTTCACATGCTTGTTGCTGTTTTGTAAACAGTTCACATGCTTGTTTCCTTCCTCTTCACCAAACTGAAGGTGAATTGACCATAATTTTTACATGTTTACATGGGCAGATAAACCTACTCTTGGGYTATAAAAATTGCCTAAAAATTGCAGGCTGATAAATTCCAGACAACAGTGAACTGATAGATACATTCCATCAGGAAAGCTTTGCAGTGGCTAAAGGAAAGGAGCCAGAGCTGTAGCAATTTTCACATACTTTACTGTAATTCCTCTTGCATCAGAAGGTCACCTTTGGAACTGCACTAGAGCCTGTTGATGGTAATGGAAGTTCTTGCTTAAATGTTTAACTGGAATTAATTTAATGCACGCTGCTTTGTAGGTGCTGTTCAGCCCCATTTTTGAGTGCCTTTGAAAGCTTTTAAGTGTAAGAATTCACTTCAAGTAAACATAATTTTTTTAATGTTTCTCATTAACAGCCTGATTCAGACTCCACCAAACACTCTACTCCATCTAACAGCTCAAATCCAAGTGGTCCCCCAAGTCCCAACTCTCCTCATAGGAATCAGCTTACACTAGATGGACTGGACCAGTCGACCTGTGAYGCGTAACGCTGCCGCTCTCACCATTCCGGCTCCGGTCATCCACTACTCCGTGGTGTTCAACAGCAGGGCAAAGCTGTCTCAGATGCTAGTGCCAAGACTGACACAGACTCTCTAGTGTTGTACAAGAATAATTATATATCCAGATTGTAGATACAAACTATGGAAATGAAGAAAATTCTTTACTAATAGCAATTGAGCTTTTTACGCAGAATTGTTCACTGCTCAGTTACGGTTGATTCCTTTCCGCACAGCTGTGACACGGTTTTATTGCATAGGAGCATTTAAGGCCACCGGTAAATAGTCTTATTCTTATGGTGAAAGAGAAATAGAGAGAGTTACTGATAATGTTGCTACAATATCAGGAATATTATTTTTCTATAGAGTGACGTAATGTCTGATTAGCAGGAAATCCTTTTAGACAGAATTTGGACTTCTAAATAGGAAATGTGAGCGGGTCTAGTTACATCCTCAGATGAATACACTTTTCCCTTTTTCCTGTAACTGTTTTTTTCCTAAATCTTAAAGGAGAATGGTAGGAAGCTGTAGGTCATTTCCAACATCAATAGAATCACCAGGAAGTCAAAGAAAAGTTGGTTATAGTTTTGTGGCCTTTTAATTCATTTAGCCATTACATACACAGCTGCATAACTGTCTTGCTATCTTTCTACCAACTTTTTAGTCTTGTACATAGGACTATTGCCAGTTATCTCTTTACTCATTCCCTGCTTTTTAGTCCTCATCCATCAGTCATTAGTCAGGGCTCTTAAAATACTGGTAATTACTGCTGTGAAAAGATTTTACTCCTAGGTCCTGCCTTTCTCCTCCTGAGAAGTCATTTCTCCTGGGTTTTTGGTGTAAGGACACACTACGCTGTTTAGCTAGCAAGCCTTCTCRTGGACACATTGCCCTTGGAGTCTGCTTGACCTAAGGGACTGTATCGCACTAAAACATCAGTCTGTTTATTGGTTACCAAAGTGGAACGTGAAGGATGTGTAACTGGGGGTGCTGCTTTTCTCATTAATTGTATCCTCACCTGCATGAAGACCCCATGATTATTAATCAAGTATTGATCATGTAGAAAAATGCACAACACACTCCTGTATATTTTGCGATGGCCCACGTGCGGTGATGTTTTGCGTGTATATTTAATCTCATGCTTCCATGTATTATACATTTAGTAYTCAAAGATTTGTGACCATGTTTCATTAAAAGCTTGTAATTAATTCAGTGGCTGGCATATCCAGTTTGTCATTGTCACACTAGTGTGCCTTCTGTGCCAATTYTATGACAGTTGGATGTCACTTATTTAAAATTCAGTTTAAATGGGCTAATGATATACCAATGGCTAATGTTCTTTTTTGAAACACTGTATAGGACGTGCACTTATCTTTAGTTTAAACTGAGTGTTCTAGTCAACATTTAATCCTGTTACGTTAAGTGTTCGACAGTACTTGCTCTTTTTCTCAGATTCTTGATAAAGGGGCTCAGTTAGAGCTGGACACTACTGCTTTGGGGGTTTTCTGGTTTTTACTTTTTTAATGTAAGTCTAAGTCTTTGTAATTATTGAAATGTGAGAACATTTTTGAACAATTTACATGTCAATAAAGCAGAAGAGGGAGGTTTTAAAGTTTATGGTTGTCTGTCTTGACATCTGAAAACAATSCACTGCTGACACTTGTTTCAGTCTCATGGTAAAATCACTTTGTTCACATGGACCTTTTACATAAACTGAAGATATTTAGGAGCTCCCTACCCAAGCACTACAATTCAGGTGCATGTTGCTGAAGGTAAATGAGTGTTCAGGAGCAATGGAAGTCCTTTTGGTGGAATACGCAGCCCTTGGTTTGTGTTTGAGTTGTCAGTCCATTGATTTGCTGGCCTTATTAATTCCTTTTTAAATGATTTATATGACTCGTTCCTTACARCTGAAGCATGTTAAGGAGGCTGCAGGATCTATTCATGCATTTTAAGTATCATGAAACAATAAATATATTTGAGTTGTTGTCAAAGCAGTAGTCCCAAAGAAAGGCTTAGGCACATTTCAGGGATTGGTATGTGAAAGGTGCAGCCCCTCATAAAGGGTTTTTTTCCTAAAACTCTCATTGTGGTATTTGAGCACCATGGAGCCCACTGCAGCTATACAGTGCCAGTGTCTGCTCTAGGGTGTCCTAGGTAAGCAACCCTCATCCCTTATGGAGTGCCAGGTGTTCCTGAATTGCTTCTTGGTTTGTCTCGCCCTACACAGGAAAGCCCTGGGTGGCTGCTTTGGACCCTTTGTTCAGTCCCGGGCGTGACTGAACATACCTGGGCAGGCTGGGAAGTGCAGCCACACTGTGCCCTGGGGATTGGGTGAGAGCTGACAGGAGGTTTGAGGGCTGTGTGCCGGAAACCTTCTCACAAGTATTCATGTTAATCAGCCTTTGACTTTTAAAAAACRTTTCTCCTGCTCTTGAGCTGATTTTTCTCTGCACAGTGAGGACTTGGGATGACAACAAAGTCTTTAATTATGGGGGTATTAAATCATAGCACTCAGCAGTGCCAGAGCTTGGTTATAATTTAGGCAGGAGAACATTTCTAGAAAAATAAATTAATTGCTCATATGAATACATTATTCTTTTTCCCTGTTTGTCTGGCCAAGCAGAATTCCTTCCCATGTCCTACACTGCAGTCCTTTGCAAATCATCTTTTCCCTTACAGGTTTTGATTCTAGTTACCTAAARAGTCCTCTTGAGCCCTCAGGAAAATTTTCAAAAATGCAGAAATTCAGGATGTGAAATAATTCTCTGACAATGCGCTTTCTTATCCCTGGAGGCTACCAGTCTAGGACGGAAAGTGAGGAATTGAGCTGTGCAAGGAATGAGGGCAATTTGGTCTCTGCCTGTTCCTCTGCTCATTCCATTGTCACAGAGACATGACATCAGGTCCTGAAGCWGGAGTGGTGGTTGTACCAGCCACTGGAACAATTGGTCACTTCTAGCACAGATCTTTGCCTCTAAAAGCTGAGTATTTTGGAATACACCGTGAAATACTTGCCACACAAGAACTAAACTATCTGCCACCATCTCTGTCTACAGAACAGGTGTGCTGAGAATGAACAGCTTCTTRAATAGGTGCAATCTGCTGGAGACTAGGGTGCATAAAAGCTCACTTTGTCTTTGTAGGATAACTGCTTAACACAGCCAAATCACAGGGAGGGGACTTCAGTGTGGAAATGCTGAAGGTGCAGTCACCCTTCTTGTTCTGCACAGCACCAGATTGGCATCCCTGGGAGAAAGCAGATGTGTAAAAACCTTGAGAGCTGGCACTGGTAGCCTAAAGCACCAAGAAGCAGGAAATCATTTGAGGGAAGAGATGGCTGTGGAAACTAAAACTGCACCTTGAGGTGCAGTAAAGCACAGCAGTAGTCAAAGGAAAGTGTTGCATCATGACCAAAAATCTTGTCTTGCTGAGTTTAGGTTATTTTAAAAGAAAAAGGACACATGGCATTCCTGCGTGCGAGGCTACTGGAACATCTCGTGTTCCAGTTTGCACCATCTGYTCTGTTTGAAGAAGCTCTGGCAGGCAGAAGGGAGGAAGACAATCTAAAAATCAGCCTTCACCTGCCCAGCCCTTGCCTTGCACTGCTGTGGCAGCAGCTCTGGCCTGCCCTCTCCTGCCTGCTTGCACCCTGTAAATGTGGCTCCCCCTCTCAGCTTCCCCTTAACATCCCACCTTGACAAATGTGGCTCTTGGCAGCTCATGGGGCTGCTGCCACCCTCGCCTGGTGCTGAGCAGCCCCTTCCTGCTCCCAGGGGAATTGGTGCCATGGGCACAGGTAACACCTCAGGGAGCCAGGACTGAAGGCATAGTGCCAGCACGACCTCAGTGCCAGCAAAATGTCCTAAACATGTTTTTGGGGCCAGGGGGTGATGATGAGACCAGGCATCAACTGCAGGCCGGGTGCAGGATGGCCGGGAAAGCCAAATGTTGGCAAGAGCGTGTCCCAGCGGTGCCTGGTGCTCGGGCCAGCGTTGCYGGCAGGGTCAGCTGAGGACAGGAGCAGGAGGCAGCAGGACGTGCTCAGCCAGCGGGAGCTGCAGTGCTGCGCTCCAGCCAGAGGAGGAACATGGACTCAGCAATCAGCCCCTTCCYTGTCCTTGCAGCAAATGTTTTCCCTGCTCCCCAATAAGCTGCAGCACTTCTTTGTCATCTGACTGCACAGGTTCATGCAGCTTTATTGGTGCTCTCTCACTGATAAAACCCTCAGATTTTTTCAGCCTCGCCTCCTTTGCCGTTTCTTACGCAGTGCCTGCTCTGCGGTCCCTGCGCGCTGACAGACACAGCCGGAGCTCCGCGGCCACCCCGCAGTGCCTTGGCCGGCTCCTGCGCCCCGGTGACACCAGCCCCTGCCAAACGCCCCCCTGCCGCCGCTCCCGCCTGCTAAAAGAGATATAAAACAATAAATTCATTGAGCCAAGTCTGTCTTTAGGCTTGAGGGTATTTTGAGGACTGCGCCGGAGAGAATCCAGGTTTGCACAACTTCTGTGAGCGGCTGTAGCGTGCAAAGGGAAGGCACTGTGATWCCAATTGGTGCCATTAATAGTGTGCAGGTTGCTTTTCCTTTTGAGACCCTGGGAAGCAATGACTCCGGAGATCGTACCATTAACACTAATGCATTTTGAATYAGCCTGTCACAGTGGGGGACCCCTGACTCTCAGGACCAGAAGCAAAACAAAGCCATCAGGTGCCCAGACGTGCCGCGCACAGCCTCAGCGACATAAACCACCCATCTAATGTGCTGCTTACCAAAGATGCCTGTGAATTAAATTCCTTGTTTAGACAGGATCCCAGGAGACACTCGTGTACCAAACCCCCTCACAYTGCCCTGCTGCCTGCGTGCCTCAATGTGTGCAGCAATCACGGATACAATCACGGATACAGCTGTTTTTCCAGCAGCTGTTGGTCCCCAGCATCGCAAACTGACTCCGGTGCTTCATTTCTTTTCTGCAGAGCTCCCCCCTCCCTGCGGCACGTTCTGTACGAGCGAGCGGACGTGGCTCCTGAAGGAAAAGTACAGACTGTGCTCTGCTCGTGCACTGACAAAAATTGATCTGTGCTTTAATTAAAGCCTCTATTGTAAGTGACCTCGAGCTGCTAATGCATTTTAAAAATGAAGCTTCACCAGCAGCAAATCCATACTCGCCAACACGTAGGGGCGACCAGGCGGAGATTCCTGCCGCAGGGTGGTCTGCCTCCCTCCATGCAGGTGACGTGTCCCACTCCATGAGCACAAACCTGTCCATGGCTCACCCTGAAGTCCCTGTGTGCCCAGGCAGGACACAGAGCTGATGGCCCCAGCCGCTTGCAGCTGAAGAACACCATCCTGACACCATCTTGTGCCATGGGTTGCYGATGGGCTGTCTCTTCTCTCCCTTAGCCCATGGCCATGGAATCCTCTCACCTCTCCCCTTCTGCACACTTGGGGATGCAGCCATCGAGACCCCTCCCAATCCTCACATCACAGTCCACACTCACAATAAGTGAGGCCCAAAAATAGCCAGGGAGGGAAGAAATTGGCTCTGAGGTGAGGGGCCAGGGCTCCCTGAGGGTCAGCCTTGAGCCYTTTCCTTGTGTGGGCAGTGCTGGTGTGATGGGCAGTCACACCACATCAACTGTAGAGAGATAACTGCTGGGAATGTGTGAGGCGGGAGGAGACTCAGGCACCTGCAATGAACCAGTGTGAAAGGGGGAAAGAACACAGAAAGGCTCTCACAGGCACAAAGTAGGGATGGAGCTGGTGGAGGATGTGGCTGCTCTCATAGGCACCACAGGAACACCATGGCTGCTGAGCTGCACCAAGCCCTGGCCATGCACTGCTGTCTGGCCCTGTGGGGTCAGCAGGAGGGCTTGGGGTGGGTGAGTCTCCCCTGGGCTCACATCTCAGCAGTGACTGTGTGTTGSGAGAGTTTTTGGGTCCTGGGTCAGGGCTCCCCACAGTGATGCCCTGGTTGTAGGACCATGGGATGGGGGGATTGGGTATTCCCAACTTACCCACATCAGTTGCTGCAGGCTGATGGCTTCCTCTGCTTTTTGGCCTGGCCAGTGACCATTTCACCCAGTGTCACATGCCTGATGGGTGCAGCAGAAACTCCTGCCCAGGAAAGTTGCTTTTGGTCCCTGTACTGGTGGAGAAGCCCCTCAGGAGAGGTGTTCACGGAGAAATCCCAAATGTGTGCCCTGAGCACAAAAATCCTCCTGGTTCTGTCCCGACTGCAAATTCCCTGCAGTCACCAGGAGCTCAGAGAGACCCTTCCCTGTCTGCCTCGTGCTCTTATCCTGCCCGTTTCCAGAGGCCATGGCTGGTCCCACCACCAGATGCTGCCTGTTACCCTTYGTCAGGGCTCTGATGCACCTAATGATGAATTCCCAGGCCTTTGAGAAGGGATTATGTCTTGCAGAGACTCGAACAAAATATTATAAACTTAAAATAGCTGCTTCCTTATGGAATATGCCAACAAGCCCTACTGAACACCCAGCAGAGTGCAAATTTGCATCCATTTGCATACATATCCATAATTTCAGCCTCACCCATCAGCCCTGCTCCATAATGAGGCACTGCCTGACATTGTAGGCAGATGAGGGTGTTTGACACAGACCAGCACTAACGAGGCCCCTCAGTGCCACTGCCCCCACCCTCATCAGCAGGTGTGACAGGTGTGACTGTCCCCAGCCCTCAGTTCCTGCCTGCCTCCCTCCCTGGGAACCCCAGCAAAAAKCTTCTTTCCCTGTGAACCATGAGAGGACTTTTTCACCTCAAGGAATAGTGGAATAAATCCCCAAAGATCCAAGAGAGTTTCTTCCCCATCAGCCCAGGCACGGAGGGAAGGAGCTCCAGAAGCTCATGACTGCACCTCCCCAGCACCCAGGGAGGGAGTGAGAGGGRGAATGGAGACCCTGAGCAGAGATCCCCAGCACCAGCTGGAAACCAAAACAACCTTCCAGCTAATGGGTCCAGGCCCCGGGGGCTCTGGGTCATATTTTGCAATGTGTTTGAATGTAGGGGGGCTTCCTTCAACCTGCTGTGTGCCCTGGGCAAATCCAGCACAGAGCTGGCTTATGCATGGGGTGCTGAGCAAGACCCAAACTCCTCTGGATACCACCTAAGGCCCARATCTCAATGCTGAACTATCTTAAAAGAACTGACACCTGCAAAGTGCAGTTTAAAACCCAGAAGTAACACCAGGGAGGCCACACCCATGTGACTGAGTCCCAACAGTGAAGGTCTGCTATGGTTTCCTTCACTGCACGGACACTTTTATTGARGTGGGCAGAAATCCCACCAGGAGTGATGCGAGGAACTGCGAGGGGTTGTGAGGGCTGGGGAGGTGGTGGTGTCCCCAGGAAAGTGGTGTCTGCCCCAGCATGAGCCTTCACCATCAGGTCTCTGTCTCGCTGGCGTCATACAGAGGGTTGAGGTAGAACACCTGCAGGTCTTTCAGTGCCTCCACTCCAAGGTCAGCACCTGGAGGCTCCTGCAACAGCACRAGAGGAAAAACAGCCCATGGGGAAGAGAAGCCAAACCTTGGCAAAACCCACCCAGTGCTGAGTCCCTGTGGCAGTCAAGAGGCTGGTGACCTGGGGGAGGGTGGGAATGTCCCACAAACCCCTCCTGGCCGGGGGAAAGGAGAACGCCTTCCATGTGAACCCCAACAGGCTCTCCAGAGTGTCATGGCTGGGGCCCCAGCAGCTCCTGCCCACATCCTCGAGCATCCCGGTGTCCCTGGCAGTGGGGACTCACCACATTGAACATGGGGTTGTTGAAGCCTTTGTCACTGGCTGGTGCAGGGGACGCCGGCTCCTCCATTCTCTCCCAGGGCCAGGACGGGCGCAGGACAGGCAACCTGGGGAAGAGCTGGRCATCACTATCCCTGTCCCTCCCACCCCTGGGAAGAGCTGGAATTACCACCCACATCCTCCCACCCCTGGGAAGGGCTGGGCATCACCACCCACATCCCTTCCCTTCCCTGCAGCTCCCCCAGCTGAAACCCTGCATCTGTAAGAGGTGGATGGGAAAGTGTCAGGCTGTCACTGAAATGGGATATTGGTACCCTTTCCCMGGGTAATCCAGCAGAAATAATTAAGCCTGGAGATCTGGGAGCTGCATTCTGGGGAGAGGAGTTTGCAGAGGCAGACAACTCCAGCACAGGTTTTACTTTGGAGCCATCACCCCCTCCCAGTGGCCTGAAATGAATTGCCACAGAGCTGACACCTGTTCCCACTGCAATCCCAACAAGCACTAATTACTTTTATCATTACTTTTATGAAGTTACCATTTTTTTCATCTTAATCACCATCACTGGCTGTATTATTTTCTTCATTACTCCTASCCTAAGGGTCCCAGTCACTGAGCATCCTCCCCTGCACTGGGCATCTGGTGCAGTTGGCTCAGCAGCAGGTCTGTGCAGCTCACCTCAGGGGCTCTGAGGGAAGCTCTGCCAGGTYCTTTTTGGTGGAAAAAAGGGGGATCTGCAGCAAGAAGGGGTCGGCCAGGGACAGGCTCTGGGCTCGGGTTCAGCTCTGCCTCGTGGAGCTACATGAAATTCCCCCCTGCTGCAGACAGAGCTGGTTTCAAATGCCTGTCCAGCATCCAAAGAAGCATCAGTGAAAGATAAATCACCAAGTAGCAATTATGGGTCTGGGAGTTTTATTTAGAAATTAAATGAAGGCAGGGGTTTAGTGCTAGGAAATATCATGTCAGCATGTGTCGAGCAGCAGGGCAAGTGTGCCTGGCCAGGGCCACTGCTGCACGGTGACAAAATTGCAGTGGAGGAAGTGGGAGGGCACAAACAACCTGACTTGTGAACCTGTGACATAGCAGTCCCAACACTGGGGAGCTCAGCACCYCCTGGCAGACACAGGTGCACTTTGCACATGCAAATTTCAGCAATTCCTGGCCCCTGGTTATAAAATGTTTGAGGTCAACCCCACTTGCCCACAGCTGGGTGAGACAACCCATAATGGCTCAGCAGGCAGCCAGCAAACCCCTGCATTTGTTTTTGGATGCTGCCTCTCCCTTGAGTGRTTATGGAGCTGTGGGACAACTGTTTTGCATTATTTTGATGCATTTCTATTTAGCAGCTGGCAGCTCCAGCCCTCCACAAACTAATGGTGCCAAGGAACAGGAGACACCACCAGGCACCAGGGCTGGGCTGTGCAGAGCTCCAGCCGAGCTGCAGCAGCCCTAYTCCCACCAGAGCACGCTGCACAGCCCCTCCTGGTTGTGGAGGAGAAGGAAGAAACAGCCCAAGAATACAGAAGTGCCTTTCAGCCACCTCACCTCCAGTAAACCATGAGGAGCCAGGACAATGGATTAAACTGACAGAGGACAGGTTCACATTAGATACTGGGAAGAAATTCTTTACTGWGAGGGTGGTGAGGCACTGCACAGGTTGCCCAGAGAAGTTGTGGATGCCCCATCCCTAGAGGTGTTCCAGACCAGGCTGGATGGGGCTCTGAGCACCCTGGGCCAGTGCAAAGTGTTGCTGGCTGTGGCAGGGGGGTGGGATCTTGGAGGTCCTTCCAAGCCAAACCATGTTGTGGTTCTGTGGACAGTGATGCTGGGGGCAGCAGGCTGCCAGGCCATGCTCCTCTCCATGGCAGCTCCGTGTGCCCTGTGTGCCAGGCTGGAYGCACAGCCTGGGCTGGCAGCTCTCCCAAGCAGAGGCACCCCAAGTATTTGCTGCAGGCAGAAGCCCCATCCCTACCTCAGCTTTCCCCTTCTGTAGAGAAAGAGGATCCCTCCAAGGAGCAAGAGACTGAAGAGCAGCCCCATGACTGTCCCTGCTGTGATCCTGCTCGCTGGGTAGCTCCCCACTTGCCCGCTGGAAATGCTGCCAGTGGCCACCTCCATTTTGCCACTTGAAATGCCAAGAGCTTCACCTGGGAAGAAACAGGAATGAGGATTTTACAGAGCAGCATTTTACAAGCTCCCATGGCAGAGGGAGCTTCAGCTGGGTCTGACCTRGCCTGCCTGGTTGATTGCCTTTCTCTGGGAATGGGGATGGGATACACAGGTGGATGGACTCAACAGGGACAAGCCCTGTGTGYCTGCCACCCTCACAGAGACCGTGAGGCCCCCTGGCTGTGACCTGTGCACCCATCAGCACCTGCCAGCTTCCACTGGCTGCCTCCCCAAGCAACATTCAGAGCTGCTCTGCAGAGGGGACCTGGGGCTCCTGGCAGGCACCAAGCTGGTCACGGTCAGACAGGGTATGGAAGCACACCAGTACCCCAGGCTGCACAGGGACAGTGGCCAGCAGGACAAGGGAGGTGACATTCCACTCTGCCCTGCCCTRGTGAGACACAGCTGGAGCACTGAGCCAGGCTCTTCTCTTCTGGTGCCCAGCAACAGGGCAGATACTGAAGACGCTAAATTCCACTTAAATGCCTGTATTTATCGAAGTCTTTATATACAAAAAACTGGTTTATGCAAGGACAGTCAGTTATGCAGACAGGCTGCCTGGAGAAGCTGTGGAACCTCCACCCTTAGAGACATTCAAACCCCATGGGCCTGTGGCTGCTGGCAGGGGATACAAAACCCTGGCCAGCTGTGGGTCCGGGTGCACCTGCAGGGGACGCAGAAGGGGACAGGGACCYGAGGGGGACAGGGGCATTACCGTGCTGTGCTATGTCCTCCATGATGGCTGCTGCCAGCTGCTCTGCGGCGGTGCCCATCTGCACTCCCRCTCGGTCATCAACCAGCACGATTTGGATGAGAGGAGTGGAGCTTCGGGGAAGGATGCCCAGGAAGGTCTGTGCTTTGTGCACCTTGGACATGGCCATCTGCACACCAGCATACTTGGGCTTTCCAAAACACGAGATGCACAAAGCCCGTCAGAGAGTAGGCACAGTCACCTCTGCAGACAGCCACGATGGGGGCAGCTGCAGGGCTCACCTGGATCTTCATGTGAACCCCATCCCAGAGCTGCCATCCCTGTCACTGCAGGGACACTGCATTTCCCAAAGGAAAGGCTCACTCGTCCCTTCTCTCCCAAGCTGTGATCAGCACCCAGCATGCAGTGAGCCCCCACGGAGGGGAGCACACTGAGAGAGCAATTTCATGTTTCACACTCATTAAAAGCTGTATTAAGACATGTAAGGAGGGCAGGCAGACAGCTTTCAGCTCGGGATCAATAAAGCAATACTCTGGTATTGAACCTCCCCATGCAGCTCAGAGCACACTCCTCCCCTGGCAGCCCCTGGCAAGGAGGAGCGATGTCGTGCTGTCTGACACGCAGCAGCAGCAAATGGTGCTTTGTAGAGCATCTGAGAGCTGACCAGTGCCAGTCACACACCCAGTGCTTGCCTGCTGGGGGACAGAAAAGCAGCTCAGAGCTGGCCAGAGGCCAGGGGATGCTCTGCTGCAGGTCTGCATGGTCCCAGCTGCATGTGCTGAGCTCCCTCGTTACCTGGACCTGACATCCTGTGTTTTCTGGAGCAGAGTTTCCAGCAAGTCCCTCTGCATCCTTCCCCTTGGCATGCAGGCAGCTCCTCCTGCCCTGAGCTGGGTGGAGTGGCTGTGTGGGGAGCGAGGGACCCTGCCCCACAGCAAACTGGCACATCTGAGAGGTCACACAAGCAGGGTGGGCCCTGCAGGCGGTGGGGAATGAGCTGAGCCCCCGGCACCGYTGGGGCCGTGTGCCCACCCCAGACAGCTCCACAGACAATCAAGCCACCAGCAGATGTGGCCAGTGGCTTGTGGTTTCATTAGCCCCTGCCAGTCTGACTGGCTGATGTACCTGGCTCAGCAGATCTTGGACCAGTCTGTCCTGGTACTTCTGCAGGTCAAAATCAGGAGTGAAATCCAGGTTAATGGTGGCCCCTGCAGCCGGAAAACAGACAAACAATCAAGATGTCACCACACGTGAGCAGAGAGCTGTCACAGCAGCACAGCTGGGCACTGGGGACCCTCTGCTACCCCTGAGCAACTGCTCTGGCTGGTCTCARAGAGAAACCATCCTTGCTGCTCTTTTTATGATCTGGGTTGGATGAAAGGCTTTTGGCTTTCCAACATATCCTGGACACAAGCTTTCCCTGGAGAACTTTCTCCCACTTATCCCTCTGGGAACTCTGGATGTCCCTGGTTTTGTCCCACAAGGCTGTGGGTCAGCACACTACCCTGATTTGGGAGGAAAGGCTGAGAGGAGGAAACACCTGTGCTCCCGGTATCACTCAACTGCAGTCATGGAGACAAATATTTTCCTTGGAAAAAATGCAAGAAGGAWTTTGTTGAAATATTAAATTGTCCTAAAGGCTGTAAGGGAAACATACAGTACCATTTTAATGAAYTTGGTATGATGTACCAAATATCAGATATCAAGTATCCAGGTACAGCTGTGCATGAAAAATTCCTCCTAGCAACCTCCCATGCGGATTAATGGAGTAGCACCCATTGCAGAGGCAACGCTGTCAATGTGCGTGTTTTTATTTTAAATGACATGAAACAAGCTGGCTGTTGGGAAGCTGACATTACGGTGGAAAAGGTTGCATTTCCTCCGAGTGTTTCCGGCTGCATAAACTCAGCAGAGCCCTATTAGCTTGACGAGCTGTGACATTCCGACAGCATAAATCAGAGGCAGGGACAAAGGGCTGCGACTCAGAACAGGCTCCCAAAGCCAGGATGAGGCTTCAGAGAGATGTGCTAGGAAGGTGGCACAACGGGATCTGCACATGGGATCTGCAGACGGGACCCTTGGGAGCAGTGATACAGCAAAACTTCAGCTTAGAATCAGCTGCAAGCCCCCCCCGCACCCAACTCCCCCCACGGAGCCAGGGGAAGCAGGCTGGGGCAGCTGCCATAAGAGAGGAGGAATAGGGCCATGTCCCCCACTCACCACAGACCCCACAGCAGTGGCCAAGGGGCTGCAAAGGGCTCGGGCACGCTGGCTCTGGGCACTGCCTCCCTGCCCCGAGMAGGGCTGCGCAGATGCGGGGGCCATCCTAAAGGAGAGTACAGAACAGCATCAGTCCCTGTCCCACAAACCGCGCTGTGACCCCAAAATGGGAAAGGGGACAGACTCACCGCAGCGTTCCCGCAGGCACAGCCAGACTTGTCGGGACAGCCAGCGCCTGTCACCTGGAGAGTGGCATTGCCATGGAACTGCAGCGGGGCAGAGGAGCCCCGCAGGTACCCAGCCCAGGACTCTGGGGTGTTCAGCTCCTGCACAGGGAAGAGCAGCGAGGTGGATAAACGTCCCAGGGCAGGTCTCAGTGCTGTCCCCAGGCCCCCAGCCATGCTGCTGGGACACCTGGTGTCACATCTGATGGCCATCACCCCATGCAGTGGTGCAGCAGGAAAACCCTGCCATCACACCCATTCCAACTTTCACCCTGGACCAACAGAAAAACTCTAAAATCAAAAACAATGGCAATGAGATGACTGGGCCTTTTCTTCTTCTGCTTTCTGTCTTTCTGCTGGCCCAGGGAATTCAAGTGACCAGCTTTTCAGTACTGGCAGGAAGGGGGCTGGATCTGAGCTGTTTCCCCTCTATTTTGGGAGCATTTCTCTGTGTTGGGCATTAGCAGAGGCTAAGCTGGACTGAGCAGCCTCATCCTGCCAAGCCACCAGTGGTTCCCTCACCCACTCTCTTCCACAGGAAGCGTCTCCATGCCCTGGCATAACAGGCAGATTTCTCAGGCCCTGGGGTGAAAATAGTCATCACAGAGCACAGAGTAGGCTGGCTACAAAGGGATAAAGAAGCTCATGAGTTTTCAGGAAATATGCCATGATCGCAGAAAGCACCTTCTCCTTCCATCTCATCACTCAGCAGCCAGGTTTGCCCTGAGGGACAGCCAGCAGCAGTCCCTGAGGGGGATGATGTGCTGTGGAGTAGCCCACAGGAGCACCAGCATCACTCTGAGCACCCAAGGGCACCCAACTCTGTCTCCCTGGGGCCACGTATGCCTGGGGTGAGCTCTGCTGGGGCGCTGCCTTGCTCAGACTCGCCTGCACCCGCCTGGGCACCGACCGAGTCTATTACTCAAAAAGCAGCTCCCTAATGCCTGGCCCCGAAATGGCAGATCCCAGCCAGCGCAGCGGTAGAAATAATAAATAACTTATGAAACGCCTGCCGCATCTCCCACTCCTGGAAGGAGCCTGTGTTTACTGCTGCAGCGCCTGTGATCTTGTGCTCCCCCGACCAGGAGGGACAGGGCTCAGGGAGTCTGATTCCCGGGCTCAGGCTCAGCAGCCTGCCAGCGCTTCTATAATTATCCCTCCAATCAATTAAAGAGCAGTGCTGAAGCAAAGCTGGGAGACGATCACTGGGCCACAGGCCATGTTAAGGTCGGGGGCAGGAGGGAGGTGTCCCCAGAGGGTGGCTGAGCAGCAGAGCTGCAGACACGTGCCTGGGAAGGGAGCGGCCCCTGGGAGCCAGGGAAGCTGCCATTTGCTGYTGCTTTGACCCGTGCTGCTGCTTTGGCCCTTTTTTAAAACACGAATAGTGAGACAGCCTGTGCTCCCACACTGCAGGGAGGGGGGTGATAACAACCTGGCCGATGCACGAAGCCATCGAGGCCATCCACAGCAGCAGCAGCAGCCCCACGGGTATGCCCCATCTCCCCGTGCAGCGCTGCTCCCCCGTCTCCAGCAGCTCCTTCCTCGTCTGACCCACTTTGGGGCCGTGGTGAGAAGGTGTGGAGCGGGCTTCTCACGCTGCCACCTCACCTGGCCCATGACAGAAATGCTGCGGAGGTGAATCACGGCCTGCGCAGAGTCTGTGTTCACGCGGAAGGAGGTTTCGGGCGGGAACACCACATCRTCGTGGCGGCACGGGACGCGCTCCTCATCCACGGAAAAGAGGGGCCCGCTGGGCTTGAGCTCCCCGCTGGGAAGGACATCCTGCCACAGTGTGGGGTCAAACCATGCGTGGTGCTCAGCATCGGTGAACCTCACTGTTCCACCTGGGAAAGCGACAGGAGAGGCTGAGTGGGACACAAAGCCACAGCCCCAGCAGTAAAACCGGCCTCAAGTGAAGGATCTCACCTTGTAAAACCAGGCACTGTCTGGCCTCAAGTGAAGGATCTCACCTTGTAAAACCAGGCACTGTCTGGCCTCAAGTGAAGGATCTCACCTTGAGGGCAGCGGGCCAAGGGCTGGCCCTGTTATCAACCTCTGGGCAGCCATTGCAGGCACTTCCCAGAGCTTGGCAAAGCTTCCCAGCCCTCACCCAGATGTGGGGTCTCAGCCCAAACCCCACATCTGCAGGCAGGCTTCCAGACCCAGATCCCTCTCCCCTCCATTTTAAAACTCACCCTTCTGGTTAAGGAGGAAAACAGCTGCCTGAATGCTGAGCAACAGCTAAACTTGATAAAAATGGGTATGATAATTCATGTCCCAGTTTCCCAGCAGCCTGGCAGGTCTGCAGAAATGTGACCAGCCCTATTCCCTGCAGCAGSTAACCCTAAAGCCAGTGCCCCATTTAGCTATCAATTATTTAACAATTGACCATTTCCCTGCTGGTTAGTCTCATAATGCAGTGCTCTGCTTTCTTCTCTCCCTTCCCAGCAGCTGAATTTTTACCAATTCAGCCAGCATGCAGGTGCTTAGTGACTCAATTATTTGCATTCATTTTGAAATCATGCTTTAAAAGAAGTCCATTTGCRAAAGTTGCCCCAGAAATGCCTGCTGATTTCAGAGGAGCAGCACATGGTCAGCAAGAACAGTCCAGAGCAAAGCACAGCTGCCAGAGCATCCCTGCTGAGGGCCAAACAGCCCCAAAACAAAACAAAAAAAAATGATAGGGATGAAGGATTTCAAAGTGGSTCCAGACAGTCTTAAGCTAAAATCCTTCCTCTGGAAAGACAGAAAGACAGATTTGGGCTTTTTCTCCCCTTTTTTTTTTTTTTTTCCTCCAGTCACAATGCAGGCACAGGCATGGATTCTTCCCTGTAGAGGAACTAAAAAATTACTTGCCACTGAAAGCACGGGGTTACTCTTAAGCACCCAAAATACACCTCCCTAGAAAATAGCTTTCAGATGATAGCAGGCACCAATGACACAAGCCTGCTGTCTCAGCTGGAGGCTGGGAGGGGAGGGGAGGATGAGTATGTGGGGCCAAAGGCCAGCTTGCTGTGATGGCCATGGCACAGCTCACCAGTGTGTAACTCCTAACTGGTTTTCTTTAGAAACAYCATGGCAGAGAAAATAAGGGCTTTGATGTGGCTACATGCTTAACAGGCAGGGGAAAATACAAACAATATTTGCCTCTCTGCTACAACTTCAAAGCCTTCCCTACTATAATTACTTTTTTAGAAGACAGGTGATGTAGCAGGAGGAAAAGATCTGATGTGAGGGAGGTCATCAAAGAAAAGGTAAGTATTGAAGAGGAGTGATTCACTTTGCTCTGAGGTGGGGCCTTTGCAGAGGTGTTTGGGCTGAATTAGCATGATTCACGAGGGGCTGATGGGTGCCTGGTTGGGGCACAAAATACCTGAGTCACAGCCTGGGTCCCAGCTGCCATCGAAAGCGGTGAATCCTGCACCAGCTGCCAGCACGAGCTCTCCRTTCAGGGGYAGGTACTGGAGGAAGGGATGAAGCRTTACTGTATGGTTCCCTGACAGCCACCCAGGTTTGTCGTCAAATAACAGTGCTAATTATTGGGCTGCCATTACGCTCACRGGCTCTGAGGCACTTCACAGTTATCAGGAGCTGCCCCTGCCGTGCCCCATGTAAATGGGAAAGCACCAGCTCCTGGTTTTAGGGATGTGGATGCTGCAATGGGGAGAGGCAGTTTGGTGTTATCTTCCACAACACAGAAAAGCATTCCAAGAAGCAAGAACATGAAAGAACAAAATAAGCTCTTTTGACAGCTTCTCCCTCCTTCTGCAGATACTCCCAGCAGCTCAGGAATGGATTTATACATTGGTGCACCATGAAAAACCCCATCTCACTCTCTAAGTGCCAGAGGTCCCTTCCCTCAATGGGTTCCCACCTCCAGGGGCTGTGCTTGCCCTACAGAACATAATTCAGGGGCTGAAGTTATGCTTGGTGCAGTGTCAGGTAGCGAATCTGCACTCAGCACAAGCTAAGGGAAACAYACAGTGGCATTTGGAGCATTTCTGGCCATAGCCAGACCCTCTTCCTGTTGGGTAGGATATCACCAGCAGGTAATCAGGGTCATGGTACTGGCCTGGCTTCAGCCTGGCCATGGACAAACCTCAACAGGCACAGCTCTGCCATGGCAGCATTTCCAGCTCCCAGTACCTGGGTCACCCGAGTCACCAGCCAGCACTGCTGACTCTGGGTCAGACCCTTGCAAATGATGGAGTCAGGAGACTCATTCCCAGCACCCAGGTTATTCAGCCCAGCCTGTGTTATTTTACATTTAGAAACTGCAGAGGAAAAGTCAAGGTTTCTCCCAATATTTTCCAGTCAGTGATGCTCAAGGCTCCCTTCTCTAATTCAGGGTTTTAGCATCACTCCCCAGACAGCAGCTAGGAGCCCTCCAGGACTGCATTATGCCGACGTACTGGGGCCTGTGCTCAGGCAGAAAACGTTAAATGGGATTTTAAGGTTTCATCTACTTAATTGGTATTTAAATATGTATGTAGGTTAGAGAAAGCAAGACTTATGACTGACTGCTGCAGGTGGCTGTGATTGCTCTCCATCCTRGGCCAGTCTTGCCTAAGGATGCTCAGTCCCACTCAGGGGCCATCATGGGGCAGGCATGGGGGAGGGGGGCATGGCAAAAAGATCATCACCCCCAAACTGCACACACCTTTAAGAAGTTTAGTGCCTTGGTGGTGCAGTGCTTTGAAAGCCTTAAGCCAGGTGCCCCTCTTGTCAGGAATCATGAGAAGTCAGGATAGAGAGCAGAGGGTGGCTGCCACTGAGCAGAGCCCCACAGTGCCCCTCAGGAGAATCTGCTTCAGACCCAGCATTGCCATACATTGGGCTGGACAGGAGGAGATGACACTGGAATAGCTGAGGGCTGGGCAACACCTGCCCCAAGGGTGTGGAGTCTCCCCCAGAGCTGGGAATAAGCTTTGTCTATGGATGCTGCTCCCTCAGACCGCAGCCTGTGTCCTGCCATCAGCTTTTGTGTTTTTCTATTACTTTTGATTAATGCAAGACAGGGGACAGAATCACCTCATCTCCACAGATATGAAGTTCAGGAGCAGCCCTGTACATCTGCTTTGTCACAGGAATTTCTGGGGCTGGTCCCTGCAGCCATGGCTCCTTGCCCACTGCACATCCACTACTAGCCCTCCCCGAGCTTCTCACCACTGGGCAGCATTTCAGGAGCGTCTCCATAGTCCAGTGGACCTTTGTAAATAATTTGCCCTTTCTTTTTTCCTAACGTAAGTTAAGCATCTCGGCTCACTGCAGAGGACAAATGGAGACTCTGGTTGGGCAGTGGTTTTCTTCCTTTGGGAGTTCAGTACAGAAATTGCATACAGGTTGGGCCACGATCCAAGTACATTTTGAACTGAACAATGACAGGTACCAATGGACCAGAGCCAAAAAGCTGGCAGTTTCATCTGCTTTCCCTTTCTCCTGCCAACCTGTGCTCCAGGGCCATTAATACAGTGAGTGTTTAGAGTCCCATTAGTCATTTCCCATCCCTGATACAAGTAAATCACTTATCTCCTCGGTTATCATTATCAAGTGCAATGACAACTGAAACACAGCCATCATTTTTCTTACTAAAGTCAGAAAAAAATAAGGAAAAAAAAAGGGGGAAGACCCCATATGGCACTTGGCCCAGACCCAGCACTGCACCACCAGAAGGAATCTGCTGCCCTGATGCACAACTGAAAATGAAACTAACCTCCAAAATTATGAAAGAAAAAACTAGCAAAGTCCTGAGAGATGGCTTTTCAAGTGGATGGCTTTGAACCAGCCTCCAGCATGTCCTGGCTCTGCTCAAATCACAAGCAGTGGGCTGAGATGACTGACAGGAGAGCTGTGACTGGCATGTCACCATCATCAGCACCRGAAAAATGCAGCACTTGTGCTTTGAACCTGGGTGAACAACACTTGTGATTGCAGCTGGGTCTGCTCCCAGCTTGGTTTTCATGGCTGCACCAGCGAGCAGGGCAGCAGCATCAGCCCTCAGGTACATCCCCTYGCCTGGCACCCAGCCCAGGCGCGGCTTTAGGGCGGATCCTGGTGCCCTCCATGGAAAAACATCACTGGGATAGGATATGAGTGGGCTATTTCCCCAACATGGATTGCTGTAACCTACCACAGGCAATAATGCTCAAGGGAAATGATTTTTACATCATCTTTCCCAGTCCTGCCCTGCTGGGTCAGYGGCAGCCCATGGACAGCAGCAGGCAGGCCCTGCCCGTGCTGCCCACAGGTGGGAATAGCAGGGATTTTCCTAACGCCTGCTGGGGCTGGGGGTCTCAGCACAGCTGTTGGTGGTGCCTGGGTGGTATCCARCTGTTGGCTGACACCCCAGAAAGGCACAGGGCCAGGTTCTCTCACAGGTGAATCCCTCTGACAACTCYGGAGCAGTGCCAGGGGCTCGCTGGCAGCAGCATTGCTTGGGTTCATTACTGAGGCTTCATTTGTTCGCTTTCTGGCCCAGGTGAAGCTTCCACCGCCACCCTCAGGACAGTGTCCTTCCCCCCAGTCCCACAGGCCACCCCATACCCCCAGTGAGCTGCCAGCACCAGCCTGCCCCCACCACAGCCCCAGCCCCAATCCCACACAAGTTAATCCAGATTCTTGTGAGGCAAAATGACCTCCTGCCACCCCAACCTCTGTGTGAGGAGTATGGGCCCAGCGAAAACCATGGAGGGGGTAAAAACAAACAACAGACCCAAAAAGCCCATTAACTTGATTGCAGATCCCCACCATACACTTCTCGTTTCAGTGCCAAACAGGCCCCAGCAGCGCACGAAATCAGGGGACATGGAGGCCCCTTGGGTAGCTGAAGAACTTGAGCTGTGGATGCAGAACACACAGAGAGGCTTCGAGCCATTTACCAAATCTCTTTCAGGTTAGTTAAGCTCCTTTTCCTGAACTTTCCTCTACAGACAAAGTCAGAGAAAGCCAGGGGGAGGCTCGGGCAGGGTGGCCAGACCCGGCAGCGAGGGATGGCAGACGGTCCATGGAGCAGCTTCCCAGCCAGACGGGCTCCAGCATCCGCTACAGCCCAGGGTGCTGGCAAGCTGCTCTGCTCATCACAGACTTTAGTAACTCCTCCTGCTGGAAACCAGCCTGAAATGAGCAAATAGACTCGGAGAAATAAGTGCAAATGACTGTTTTACCACACTCCTTTCCTAGCGCACACCTTCTGCGTGAATGCTGACACAGGAAAGACTGCAGGATTCCAGCTTGGAATTACGTGCTGGCACACACTCCTCTAAAATTTTTTACCTTCATCTCAGGAGAAGGAAAAATAATCCCTTTTCTGGTTGTCTCATTACCCTGCTGTCTGGGAAGCGGTGGGGRAGGGAGCACCGGTGCCTGGGACTAGCGCGGGCTGTGGCAATTCATTAGAGCCGGTGCCCCTGGAGAGCAATTGGCATTTCGAGATCAATCTCTGCCAGGAACCGAGCGGGAGCATCCTGCAGCAAAGCCGAGCACATTCTGCTCTCGCAATTAGGCAGCTAAAAATATAAGGCTGGGGGAGGGGTCCCCGGTCAGACCCCAGTGCCCCGCACACTCCGAACCCTCACCCAGCCCCGCACCCCTCGTGGGGCAGGCAGGGAGGGTACGGACAGCTGCTGCCCCACAGCACAGCTCAGGGATGGGGCAGGGCTGCAAGGGTGATGTCAGGGCTGCTGAGTGACCCAGCCAGTGTCCCGACCCTGGGGTGAAGCAAGGCTGCTCTGTCCACGTCAATAAACCCAACTCCTGCCACCCCAAAAATAGAAGCGGCAGCTCCATGCCTGGCCCGCACGTCAGCGCTGGCAGCTCAGGCACACACTGCACAAGGGCTGAGGTCACTGGGGCAAACACCGGGCTCACTGTGGCAGCCCTGCCCTGGCCTGGCTCCCTTTGGGAGTGCAGCCATAGCCAGAGGGTCCAAATCCCTCACAGGAGTCTTTCTCCCCCATCAGGAGCACAGTCTGCCTTGCAGACTGGAGCAGCCATGCCAGGCAGCATCACCTCCRTTTCCATCTTTTCTGCACGTTTAGTCTCAGGCACCTCCAAAAGCTGGCTAAACACTGATTTGCATCTTTAGGCAGCTAAATACCATACAAAATCCGGCCTAATCACACCAGTTGTGCATCAAAGCCACTTACGCTTAAGCTGGATTTGGATGTGGTGTGTGACTGAATTAGGGATCCACTTGAAACTTCAAATAACAGCTGAGCTGGGCGATCAGTGGGTGAGCTCTGCGCCCCAACAGTCCCCTCCCAAGCAGGCACCTCCCAGCACATGGGACTCATGGGGAGGGGAGCTGCAGAGCTCACCATACAGAAGTGAGCTTTCACATGAATGTCCAGGAGAGGAGCAGTGGTGACACCTGACGCTCCACTAAGCTGGGGAGTTGGGACAGGAATCTCACGCTGTCCCTCTGCCACCAGCACCGAGCATCCTCCCCTACACTTGCCACAACAGGCACTGTCCTCATGCAAATCAATGAGAGCCCAATCCCTCCTCAGCCATGAATTTCCTTCTACGCTACTACAGCAAACAACATTCCGCTTTTTTCTTTTGGCCAAACGCTGTAAAGCATCTCCATGGTGACTCTAAAGCTTAATGTATTCTTGCTGATTTAAGTGATTAATGCTCCAGCGCRTGTGGCTGGCAGCCGAACAGGTGCAGCCCAGCCTCTCTGCAAAAAGCCTCATGACCAATTCATTTTCTAACCAGCTGGTTGACCAAATTTCATGCCATTTGCATGAGTGGCAGCCCGGCTCAGGTGGTAGGTTTCATTCCTTTTTCATCCCTAACCTTGGCAGTCCCTGTATCACCTGGTGACAGCAAAGCACGGCAGTGAACGGGAGGGAAGTGCCTGAGCTGAAATGAAAAAGCAATGATAACCACCTCACTGAGGGATGGTTCATAGGGAATCGCTGGGGCAGTGATGCTCAGAAGGAAGGTGTGAGCTGCAGCACAGGTCACAGCCAGGCCTGGCTGCTCACCTGCAGGGCAATTGGGTGCAGGAGGAGCATGGTGTCCTCACGGTCCGTGCGATGCTTTATTCCCCCATGGATCCCCCACAGTCCTTCCCTGCTGCACAGGGACTGTAATTTTACAGTCAGTGGGACTGTAAAATTCACTGCCAGCAGTGGGGACCCCAAGAAACCCCARGGCAGCAGAGGGTCCCCGGCCAGAGGGGCTCCTGCCAGTGCTCTGGATCCTTTGGCTGGGATGAGCCAGGGGTCACTCGGGCACCCCATCTCTGTCACAACAGGAGCCAYCCAGCGGAGCAGGGGACAGCGCCATGGACGCTGTTTTGTGTTTGTGCCTCTGCTCGGGCTGCTCAGCTCCACGCTCCAGCTTGGCTGTGGGAGCCTCAGCCATAATGACTGACGCTGCTCTGCAATTATGCACTTTGCAGGCCTCTGATGGAAGTACTTTAGAAATATTATACATTCATCTGTAAGTAAAATCAAATCTGCTGGAGTGGTATTTTGCTCTTTTCTTCTCTGGGTAAATTCCACATCATTTATTACATTATATTTGTATGTATTTTCCCAGTACATTCTTTCCTTCAAAAATTCATATTTAAAATGCCATATAAATAAAGTATCTTCCCCAAATATTTGTAGAGGGATTAAATGTGGCACATGGCGTTATTAAAGCATCAAAACTATTAGTGGTGTAGACAGCCTGAACAAATTACACCACATAAATTTCAAGGGCTTCTTCAAATTTAATGGCCAATAAAAGAGCAAAGCTGCCCTAAAATAGAGAGGGGAAACTTGTCCTCAAGCTTATCGGTCTAGAGGAGGCGGTTTTCCAAACAGGATTCAGCCCATCTCTTTCTATCTAAGCACTGGGACAGGGTTAGTGGTGACCCACCCCCCACTGGCCTGTTGGAGCAGTGTGTTTGCTTTTCCCTTTAATTCCTCCCTGTTAAATTTTACCCTGAAAGCCAAGGAGATTGAGATCCCATGTTTTCAAGGCTGCCTGTCAACCTTCTCTGGGCAGAGTTCCTCATCTGGGGCAAAACCAGGTTTCTGAGAACCCCCCCTGAGTTGAGACCCCCAGTCTTACCTCACTCAACACACACATTTCAGCAGGGTGTGGTGCCCATCCTGCCACAGCCACGGATAATGGAAAATGCCACAGAAAAACAGAAAACCCACTGGCACTTGAAAGAAAATTTCTCAAGCAACATTTTGGGATTTCCCAGAACCGTTTGTTTTCATTTCAAGGTATTTTGATGTCAGCTTCACTTAGCCTCTGCCCAGGGCTAGTGCCTGCTCTGTATCAGAAATGTTGTGGGTTGGCGCTCCTCAGCCAACCACTGCCAAGGTCTCCATCAAATGGAGGGGGTTTTATCCCTCCTTTGAGGAGAAAAAAAACAATTTCTTTCAAGTGAAATTTGGTTTTGTTGTACTGTCTCTCATCTCCCTTAACTGAAAAAAGAAAAACAAACCAAAAAACCACAGGAATGGGATTTTTGGTTCCATGGTGCAGAGAAACCCAGGCTGCTGTAGGACTCCTGTCCCCTGACCCAGCTGAGGCATCCTTGGTCTGGATGGACCAAGGAGGAAAGTGCCAAAGTCCATGGAATGACTTTAAACTGACAGAGGACAGTTTAGATTAGATCTTAGGAAGAAGAAATTCTTTACTGTGAGGGTGATGAGACACTGGCACAGGTTGCCCGGAGAAGCTGTGGGTGCCCCATCCCTGGAGTTGTTCAGGACCAGGCTGGATGGAACTTTGAGCGACCTGGTCTGGTGGAAGGTGTCCCTGTCCATGGCAGAGGGGTTGGGATTGGATGATCTTTAAGGTSCCTTCCAACCCAAACTATTTTATGATTCTGTGGAGAGTGGGACAGAGGAATGTGCCCCAGGGCTGGCCCTGCCCTCACCCACCCTCAGCACACAATGCACACCATGCCTTACCATATCCGTCAGCATGTGGGRAGACCTGACATAGACTGAGACGACCTGTAAGAAAAGCAAAAATACACTGTGCTTTGCCCTATCAGGTGAAGTGGCTTTTCCAATACCTGATCAGCCTTTTGTGAAAACTAAAATAAAAAGAAATGAAACATGTCTATACCTTGTCCTTCTCGAAGTGAATCTTATCGCTGGCACAGGGGACTCTGCCTTTATCCCAGTTGGAGGAGGTTTCGAAATTGGTGTTGGGGATCCACTGCTTGTACACAGCAGCACTGGCAGCTGGGAGGAAACAGAAAAATCAGTGTAACAGTCCATGGAGGCACCGGGAGCCTGCTATGAAATGTACTTTAYAAATTACAAATGTACTTTACAATTTACAAATGCTTGGCCTTTTTGGGACAGATTTGGGGATTTTCTACCCAACAGCAGCTCCTGAGTTTTCCCAGCTGAGCAGTCACAGCCCTTCTCTGTACAGGGGACTTTTCTGGCTGGTTCTTACCCACCCAGACAGGGAGAGAAGCAAAGGACAAATGCTCAGCAGGCAGAGGGAAGGCAGGAAAGTGTCCTGCAGGCAAAGGGTGAGAATAACATACACCTGGTAGTTAAGCAATCCTTGCAGGGGGGTTTGTCGTCATTCAGACTAATTAAACAAGTACAGATTCCTCAGCCTTTGTTTTCCAGAAGGTACGGAGTGAGCACACAGAGCTGGGATACCACAATGACAGGGCAAGAGAAGAAAGGACATTTGCTATGGGACATGTAGCACAAAACACGGGCTGGTTTCATGTGTTTGGAGCTGGAGGGGGAGGATTCAATGGTGTATTTCAGCCTGAGACATAAACAGGTTGAGAAACAGGGTTCTTCCCCTTGGGGTTTGCTGGGGCAGTGGCAGTCCTGCCCTTGGGGCCCCACAGGGATGAGCCTGCTGGCCAGGAACAGGACATGGCAGAAAGTTTTCACTCTGACCTCTCTGATTGCACAAGCACAGCCCCACAACCTGAAACTGCCCAGGCTTGGCTGCGGGATGCACGTTCGGTTGAAGATGAATAAATCTCCAGCAGCCTGAATTAAATGGCTTCAGGCAAGTGTGTATGAAATAGAAAAAGAGAAAATGACAAAACCCCCACACACTTCCGGCCTTATTATGGATCATATTTTCTGTAGGAGAAGGACCCACAGATTTAAAAAATATGTAGAAAGTCAATGGTGGAAAGGACTGGGGCACTGGAGGGGGCATGGAGAGAAGCTCAGCCTAGAGAGGGGAGAGGGTTCTGACAGAGGAAGAACTGCAGAAACCCTGAGCCCAGCTGCTCCAAGGGATGGAGAGGGATGTGGCTGCAGACACTCTACCAGCACACGACCATCGCCTTGGGATGCCATTTGTGCTGTCTCGCTCTGCCGAGACCACTGGCTCCGGTAGCCTTCTCCAGATGAACACGAAACGATGTTTTTAACCACAAAGAAAGTCCCGGAGCCCAGGTAGAAGGCGCAGAGGGGCTTCCCTGCTCTGTGCCGGGCTGAGGGTGCATGAAAGAGCCCTCAGGCAGAGCAAACACACCCGTGCCGTGTCCTCTTGGAAACCTTCCGAGAGCGGAAAAGACATTACCAGGGATAAGAACTGGAGCCAAGCAGCTGCTCGCAGTGTTGTGAGCACAAACACACCTTGCTGGTTCAGAGCCGAGAAGAGCTTAGAAGGGAAAAAAGCCCCCAGAGAGTAATGGCAAGGAGTTTTGCCCTCGCTGCGGCTCCCTCGGGTCCCTCCCGTCCATGGAATGGGGAATGGAGAGCTCCGAGCTCCAGCCGAAAGGCTCGGACAGCCCCACCACAAAAAGCCTCACGTCCCGCAGGTCAAGCGAGCTCATCCCAGGGCACACCCTGGAGATGGCTCCGCATCCCGCCCGCTGCGGCACAGCTCCTCCGGGCGGAGGTCAATCCTCCTGCTCCATCAGCAGCGCTRCGCATTCCTGCACCCCCAGCCCTGGGAATATCAGTGTGCGATTTAATCGCCCGTCTCCCGGGAAGCGCAGCGCTCGAACATCAAAGCTACRTTGCATATTCAACAGGGAACGTGTCCTGCAGCGCTGCCGACTTCAAATGACAGGCACAGCACGCTCCGCACGGCTGCCCCAGCCTCGGTCCCTGCCTGCCTTCCCTGTGTCCGCCTGGAAATGCCTTTTCCCGTTTGYCTCACAGGTACGCTGTTCAACGCCAGAGCCCGCAACTCTGCTCCGAACCAGGGCTGCCAGGAGCACGCCCCAAATGCGGAGGTCGCCCAGCGGTCACCCCTGCTCGCCACGGCGGCCGGGAGCTGGGCGTACTCACCAAGGAGCTGCAGGATGCCCAGGAGGAAGAGCAGGCGCTTCATTTCGCAGGCGGCTGCCATCCCTGGGCTCCGCGATCCCTGCCCCGCTGGACCTTGCACCTTCCCAGGGCACGTGATGGGCTCAGCCCGGAGGAGGCTGGAAGGAGCAGGGAGCAAAGCAGCATGGCAGGCAGGTATCCGCAGCACCAACCGCAGCCCTGCTCTGTTCCACAAGCTGCTTCGCGCTCAGCTCCTTTCCCAGTCTCCAGTTTCTTCGGCATCCATGGGGAGCCTAAGAGAGCGACTGAGGAAATACTGCAGGAGGCAAGAGTGGGGTGGCCCATCTTGGCTCACCAGACCTGGCCACCCACACTTGGCTCCCAGAGCTCGCCACACCCAGGCCCAGCTGCAGGGTGAGCACGCTACGTGCACATCCCAGGCCGCTGTGCCCCGCTGAGCAGCGGCTACCTCGTAATTACTGATAATGGTCTCCGTGTATTTTCAATTAGCTCGCTTGGAAGGGAGCAGCTCCCAGGCACGACTCGTAATTGTACTTTGGCCACCAGCTGATTTGCTCATTACCCGGCAGCGCCGGCACAGCCCCATGCTGCTGCAGTGGAGGCTGCTGGCAGCGGCACCAGTGCATGGCATGCAGCAGGAGGSGGGAACGCGCCATCCCCATCGTCTGTCACAGCGTGGAGTGGCACTGCACACCAGTCCATGTCTTTACCGAGGGTGTGTGAGGAGCAGGAAAGGGTGGGGGAAGAGCTGTGGCATCCTGGGAAGGGGACAACATAAGGGTTGTGACAGAGGCTCATGCCAAGGACAGAGCTGTGGGGCTCAGCAGCCCTTCAGCTGGCTCTGGTACCAGCAGGGCAAGGGCAGAAGATTGGTGAATGCAGGGGTTTACTGGAGACCAGGAAGAGTCTGGAGAAGTTCTTGGAAGAGTCATCCAGTGGAGGGGTCACAGACCACAAGAACCTCTGACCTAAAACCAGCAAGGATATAGGAGTGCAAGTGTGGGAAGTAAACCATCCCCATCCAACCCTTCATGCTCCCCCTGCTTCCMAGCTTCCAACTTGGCAGACAGACCAGGGTGCCAGGAGAGAAAGATCCTGAGCAGCAGCTCTCAGCTTGGGCATTGGCCAAAACACAGTCAGCACTTTCTGCCCAGGGAGCTCGATGCTGAGAGATGTCCTCGAGGTGAAAGGCTCCTGCACTCTAATTACCACTCACAAATCTCTCCCAGGGGACTCTCGGGGTGAATGCTGGCTGCAGTGAGATATGCTGTATTTTAATAGAGGGGGGAAAGTTATAAATCATGGATACCTGGCAATGAGAGCTTGGAGAAAGCACTGCAGTGTGCAGAGGGCAGCCTGTAACCTCAGCTTCCTGCAGCACAGCCAGGATGGGAGAAACCACTCATGGGGCCCTCATGGGAGCAGTGCCACAGCCCCTGAACCCCAGTGTACCCCACATCTTTAGTTTTGCTTTTTGTACCCTGCAGCTGCTGGGTTCCTCAGTGCTGCCTGTCCCACTAAAGCTGATACTTGATTTTAAATGAGCTGGGATTCATCTGGCAAGCAGGCAGAGGTCAAAAATCCCCAATCTGCCTGTGAAACCCTGCTCAAGGATGACAGTCCCTGCTCCAGCATTAGGGTAGGACAGYGCAGGGTAGGGAAATAGCAGAAATTCCTGCAAAGCTTATTACTAATGCTAGGTGCTCACCGTGGCATCGCTGAATAACCCGGTCAGAATAACCCAGCCCTCGTTGCAGGTCTCTCCCCATGRCTGGAGAACGCTCCTCTCCATCCCAGCTTTTGTCACTGGGAAATCAGTCCCCAGAAATGAAAGCAGCTGTCCTAATGCAGAGATCAGTGCATTTTGCTCCTTGCTGCCCTCTTGTCCTTTTGCTCCCTGCACTGGCTGCCCACAGTGCCCCTGGGGAGGGGAGAACATCACCACCACCAAGGGGAAACTGCACTCAGTGGATGCTTGACCTTCCCAGCACTGAGTTATAGACTGGTATCCAAGCCAAAAGCACTGTTTTCCTTAGCCAGCCAGCAGAGCCACCTCCTAAAGCCCTTCARGGACATCCAGCACCTCTCAGAACATCCCTGTTGTACAACTGCATCTCTCCTCACCATCTAAAACACTTGTATCCTGCAACACAAGGGAATTCCCCAGTAGGAGACCTCAGCCCCAGCACTTTGTACCTGGAAAGGGAGCCCAGGGCTGAGCACCAGGTCCCAAGGTGGATGATTGCCCCCCCCCCCATATACACTTCCTGCAGCCTTCCAAATAGCCAAGCAACAATGGCACTGACCCCAGAAAACCATTAAGCATGGAAAAATTATTCTATGGCAACCTTGGCCTCAAACAGAGGGGAGAAGGCAGAGGTRTGCCAAAAACTGGCTCCAAACCCCAGTGGGGAAGCTGCCCCCTGTAGGGGCTGGGCTGGACCCAGGCACACAATGTTTGGCAGCCTTCTTGGCACRGTGCARCATCACTTGAGGTTTGAACATGAAATTAAACTTGAATAAATGAGGATAAATGCCCTGGCAGGTGACAGCCACGGTAGCTGTTATATCCCTTAAAGCAGGAAGCCCTTAGCATCAACCAGAGAAAGTCCCCATGTGGGATTTCTTTTAGTTTTTTACAAAAAGATAGTATTGGGTGCAACAGCACCATCAACATTGCCAGAACCAATCTCTGGTGGTAGAGGAGCTGTGTGTGCTGCCAAGAGAGGCAGGGCCTCATTTCAGGGCTGGTCAGGAGCTGAAGCTGAATATCCAGGCAATCTGTGGAGTTAAACTCTCCTTGGAGCTCCACACTTCAGCAAGAAGAACTCCCCCTGTGCTTACAGGGCTCCAGCAGCCACAGACACCTTCCCCTGAGGGCAGCACTGCAGGAGAAGTCACGGAGGGGATCACAGAGATACCAGTCAGAGATCTCAGGAAGCCACGCTCCTACTCACTTCTTGTCTTGTGGTGTGAAGCAGGGGAACAAGAGGCTCCTGTTAGGGGTGAGCGCAAGGAGCCAGGTCTGTGTGGCTGTAGGATGCCAGCAGCCACACTGGCTCTCCTGAGCCCATGAACACTGGAACCAGCCCACTCCAGCCAGCCTGGGCAGGGGAGGGATTTCCTTTCATCCCCTGCAAACTGAGTGCCTCTTACCASCCATCACTATTGTCCCCGGGGACACCTGCCAAAGGAGCACGGCTGGGGACAGGCTCACGCCTYGCCTGTCCCTGCGGGCTGATGGCACAGGCTATGCCGAGGCAGATGCTGCTTCTGCCAGCCAGGTAGAAATACCTGGTAAAAATCCAAATAATTTCCTCTGCAAAGCTTCTGCGCTGGCACAAATCAGCCATCAAGTGTCCACAGCAGTGCCTGCAGACAGCTCCTGCCTCCACTCACACAGCCATGCTGCCAGAACACAGCTGCACCCAAAACAGCTGTGCCCAAACATTACCTAACCCAAGGTCCTGCCCGTGGGGTGGAAGTCAGTCCCCTGAGGTCTCTTCGGTGTTTGCCAGCCCAGCCAGGGCAAATCCAKCTGCCAGCATGGGCCATTCCCCATTCTTGTGAGCCTACAGAACACACCAGAGCACGGGCTGAGGTCCAACGCTCACTGCCAGACACCAGCCTGAAAGAGCAAGAGGTCTGAGAGGGCTCAGCCTCCCCGGATGCCACATTTGTCAAGAGCAGGAGGGAAGACACTCAGGTTTTCACCTGTTTTGGCCAAAAAGCCAGACACATTATTGACAGGAACAGCCTCCAGGGCTCAATCCAGGTGTGCAGGAAGAAACCACACAGCTGAGTCATGAAAAAACTGGCTTTGGGGAAGGTTGGGGGAAATCACCTCTTTCACCATTTGTTTTGATCACTGGATATTTCCCCATTCCTCAAACAATTCCAGGACTTGGTCACATGGAAGCAAACAGAGAACAGGATACACAGAACTGAGCATTTTCAAAATCTCTGACTTCTTACCAGACAGCAAGCTGACCCAAGGCTTGAAACTCCAGAAAACTTCCCAAAAACGTAAAAGAAACCCTGCAGTTCTTCCAAGAGATGGCCCTAGAAGCAGGTCCTGGCTCTGGCAGCCCTGGAGCCCCTCACCCTGCTCTCCCCAGCTGCTTGATGCTCCCAGMGCTGGCACTCTGCTCCTGTCACCCTAAGTACAGATGGCCCACTGGGGGAAAAGCACCCCACGAAGCTGACAGTCACCTTCTGGGACCTGGCATGAAGGAGAAACCTTTTATAAAGACTCCCTGGGCTCAGGAAGGGCATCAGTGCCATTTCAATTACGATTCTTTGCCAGGGGAGGAGCAGGGAGGCGAGGAGAGAATTAGTGTTTGCCTTCACGTTGAAAGCAATTTGTTTCCTCTCTGCCTATCCCGCTGCTCTGTAATGACAGAAGTGTCACATCTGAGCAGCGCCAATCACCCCAATTTAGGAGGAGGAGTCTCCAAGAGGATTCTGCTGGAAGGTTAACCCACTTCATTAAGACAAAGCTCACCACCCCTTCACAGCAGAGACAGGAAGAGCTGCAGGCAGCGCAGCCTCACGTTGATGGTGGGAGCGAGTGGGAAGGCTGATAAGGACAGCGGATGCTGCAGCRGCTGGAGTCACACACAGCGACTGCATTCAGCAGCGAAGGAACTTCCACCTCAGCACATCCTGCATGAGATGAGCATGGCACTCCTCAGCCACGCTCCCCTCGCTGTGCCCTCCTGCCATTCCTCTGCCATTCCTCTGCCATCCCTGTCTTACCCAGGGAAGGCAAACTCGGCCTGTTCCAAACACTGAACACCAGTACGGGCTGGCCAGGCCATTCGCACATTCCAGCCTCTGGCCAGACACTGCGGTGCTGTGTCTGAGCACAGGAAGGACATTCCTGCATTGCCAAACCCAGCACTGCCGCTGCAGTGACGGGAAAGAAAGGAAATGCAGTTTCAGTAAAGGGGTGGGACGGACAATAGGAAAGAAACAAGTGTGGTGCTCGATAGAAGTGGCCTGCTTCCTACAACACCCCAGGGGAACAGSGTTCTCAGCACTAGGCTGAATCTGAAACATGATGGAAATACTCTTGCTCCACTCATTCCAGAACTGTTTTTACAGACTGCATCACGTTCCGTGACTTCAAGCACAGACCTGATGTGCAGTTCTGAGTTCAGAAGAGTCACTAATGACACCACAGAAGAAAAAATAAGCAATCTACATCTTTACACATTCAAGCCACGCTTCAACTCTCCTGCACCTCTTTGGGAAAGCAGTGTACCACAAATGCATTTCATTTTTTTCTACTCTGTTTGCATGAGAGCTCTCAAATCATCTTAGGATGAACAACAYGGCCTGGTTTATCTCAGCAGTCAGCACACGGAAAATAGGACTGACAATGGTTATGGAAASTTACTTGTGCAGAGGATGGGAAATGCTACACTAAAGCTCTCCAAGGTGCGTGAGCACAAAGCACTGAACAGCCAACCTGCACTGGGCTCGCAGAGGAGAAAGGGCACACCCTGGCCATCTGCAAGTCAAGAGCAATCATTCAAATTCAACAGACCAGGTTTTTTTTTTTTTTTAAAAAATATGATTTCCTACTTATTTATTTTTTCCTTTAATAACACAGTTTAGCATTTCAGAGTTCAGCATTCTACACTCTTACACACTGTCCTTGTTTATTAGCATTTAAACACAAAAAGACATAGCAAGACCTCCAAACACAAATAAATACAAAAATACAATATACAGTAAACTGAAATACAACATAGAATAATGCTATTGGGAAATTAAGACATGTTGCTAATTTCTTTTTTTATTATTATTATTTTAACAACATGGTTATTGCTGAGCAATAAATTATACATTTTAAAATTGTTTTTCCCCCTAAAAGAAAAGGACGAGAACCACTGGTTACCAGATCACTTGCACTGTATCCTTACAGCTATTGATAATTAAGACAGGCAGAATATACACAATCAAATGAGGCTGGCCTTCTTTGGTCTTTGTTTTTGATCATAAAACTGAACACAAGTGTACCGTTCACTGAAGAGTATGAGAATAAAGAAATGGATACACAAGTTTCAAACACATTAATTTGTACATTATTCTCAATCACTGATGTCTTTTCCATAGATAGTTCTCACAGAATTTCTTGGAAACAAATGTCAGCTTTAGTTTTCCCGATTATTATGTTGTTCCATGCATCTTAAAGGTTATCCTACTTGTCTAAGAGAAATGGACCTACATTTAGCCCATCATCTCCTAATGGAGTATTTTTCACAGCTCTCTAGTCACCACTAATTCATTGGAGTTTTATACCTTGTAGAAAAAATCCTGAACTTCCCCATTTTTTTTTCTATAAAACTGAAAAAGAAAAAATAAATAACCAAACAATAGGTATAAGAAAAACAAAATAGGTGGATTACACGACGCATCAGCAACRATGGAAGCTTGTACCTTCCCATTCCACAAGTACAGATTACACAACTCTCTGCCAGTGATGCAGGTCATAGTTGGAAGATGTGTCCTTTCAGGTGCGAGCTATATTCAAATACTAAGCTCAGAACACTATGCAAGAAAATGACCTTTACGAATGATAATGCTGGTTTATCTCAGTAACCCTTAGACAGAGTCAAATTTTATCACTACGCATCGCACTGCCAGCAATGGAGCGTGTGAACACCGGCATCGCTAAGAAGTTAAAAAGTCCTTGCAGAACTGGCAACCAAATTAAAAGCTTAGTTCCAAAGGACCAAAAACACAAACACCATATAGAGACAACAAACCCTTCCCCAAACGGGTAGGTTAGTAAGCCACAGAGTTGGGATCCAGATTTGAATTCCAGATCAAGTCTGGGATGTTTGAATCCAGGGTTTTGGTTCAGGTGCTTCTCTGTGAAATTCAGAACTTATTTGAACCCTAAGGAACTAATCCTAACTTGGAGGGAAAATAATGAAAAAACACAGCCTAGTATCTACACTGACATCATGAAATGGAAGACAGAAGCTGCAGTCTTGACCATAAATTAGAAGAGAAACAGGAATAGTCAGATCCCTCATGTGTTGTATAASTCTACTCTTCTAAATCCTAACAGGATATCCCTGAATCAGCAGTCCAAAGTTTTCCACAACCTTCCTATCTGGTGCTTCTCTGCAAAGGCCTGGATTAAGAGGCAAGAAAGAACAATTAAGCCCTCCAGATTTTGATTTACCGAAAAAGGGAGAAAGCCCCACAAGAAGGAAATGGTCAGTCACACTGACGGGTGGAACAAAGATGAACCCACTGCATTGTACAATGGTATTCTCCCTCCTCAGTTAAGAGGAGCATCAAACGAGACTGATTTTGTCAGATGATGTGAACAAACAGAGCAGGACACACGTTTGCTGCTGTTACTCACACGGATGTGCTGTGCTGGCCTTCCCACCRCACATGTACAACCCCAAATCATGACAGCTTGTATGTTTAATTCTAGCCCTTACTGTCCTGATGGGGGTCTTCAGGGTATGTCAACTTATTTTCCAGTTCCTTCAAGGGACAAGTGTATTAAAAGACAAAAACGTAGTGATTTGGAGATAACACCAGGGAACTGGAACCTCTCATTCAGTCCCAGATCCAGGAGATTCCTTTTGTGACTTTTTGTGCCCTTTTGTGGGCAAATCGTTTCACATCTCATCCTTGACTTCCTGTTTCCAAGAAAAGACAAATAGCACTTGCTATACACTGTACACAGTGTTAAAAACTATTCTCAGATTAAACTGCCAAACCARTCACTGTTATTGCAGTAGCTCTGACTTCTAGGTCAACCAGAATATCAAGGTATTGACTAAACAGGACARGAATTCCAGGCAAGAGGTCCAGCTGCTTTTTATCATCTTTTGTTCCCAAATTAGAGGAAATAATTTGCAATTAAAAAGTTGCCCACCACTACAGTTGTTTAAAACACAGGAATCTCCAAAGTATCAGAGCATGATGTGTCCTAAATTACAATTCAAAGTCTTCAGAAAAGCTGAGCGGAGTGTTTGCTACATACAGGTCTTCAAACCTGAAAGATATGAAACCAAAGTTTGCCCTTAGCTAAGATCCTCCCTTAGCAGCAGCAAGTTATATCTGCACCAACTGATCAAGTATAACTTGGAGGAAAGGGTTTTATTTCATCACTTCCACATCAAGACTTTGCATATTTATGTGCATGCATGTCTGTGTGTATACGTATGTACCTACACACATACAGGTAATTCACAGAGCAAAATCCAAGAGATTAGGTATGCAACCCAAGAATTTYCCCCCCTCACCTATTTGTATATTTGCATAGTTAAATCATGTCAAGGCATCAATACTGCAGCCACATTTTTCACCCTTCTGCAATGCAGGCAACTTTTCCTGTCACTCCCTACACACTTCTCTGTCTTGGACCAAACAGCACCAGTGTTTTAAAAACTAAACAAAATATCGACAGATACCCTGCACTGTTGGTGAAATGCCTATCCCAGGTGATGGAATACAGATACAAATAGGTGGTAGCATTTAAACTCCATCTCAGCAAGCCATAACTGCGGCAAGCTGAGGAAACAGAAGCAATACAATCACAACCTAACATTCATGGGTTCAACACTTAAATTCCAGCTAACACAAATCTCTATTACCTTTGCATTTGAGAAAGTCACCAGGCACAGAAACAGGCACATATCTTCACGTTTCCTTTTCCAAGTAGAAAACAACATGGAAAAAGGAAATAAACTGCATTTCAAATATTTTTTTTCATCTTTTTAAAAAAGCTAGCATGTTTTTTCCATCAAAATTATGCCACCCGCCATTCCCTTTTCCTATTGCACATTCTCTTTGTGAAGAACAACATTTACAGTACAAGGCTGAAAACAACATTGCATATTGTAAGTCAGCAGTCGAAGGTGTACCGTGTAGACAGGAACTGAAACAAGACCCCAATTAATTAGCTCAGAGAAGCAATGCAGACATGGTCATGCATCATAATCAGGTTGGTCTTTAAATGCCCAAACAGTTTCATCCTGTTTAGGATTCAAGACTTTCTAGGTAACAGGTGCRCTCACTCCCTGCTGGAGAGTGCACACAAAGGGCAACATCCAGATTGTCACACACTGGAATCTCCCTAGAGGAAGCTGGAAACGGAAGAGGTTTGTACATAACTTGGAGTTTCACCGTGAAGAAAACACCAGCAAGAGACTTCAGTTGTGCGCTGCTAAGAATTACTAAGCAGAAGACAAAATGGTTCTGTTGAAGAAACTCTGTTCAAAGCAATGCAAATACTCTGGGACCCCCTTGCAATGACAATATCCCCCAGGAGTTGGCCAGGATTCAGGAGTATTTGTGGGGGCAGGGTGGTGTCCCATGAATCACTTTGAACAGACAGTCCCTAGAAAACTTTGGATATCTCAGTCAGGAACAAAGAGAAAAAGGATAAAGGGCATTTCAGCGATGAGGGAAACAGTTAAATAACTTAAACGTGTTGAGTAAAGCACCAGGTATCTTTTCCTTTCAACTTAGAGAATATACAGTGGCCTTGTTTTCACAAAATGCTACATACTCCTTGCTGGAAAGCAGAGGAAACCGATTTCTATGTACACAGTAAGAACTCTACAGAGATGGCCTGTGAGTTCTGCGGAGAAAGGAGTGTTACAGTCAAGGCTTCAGGTATTCCACAGCAGGCGGTGTCTACATTTGTGTAGCAAGATCCTGGATTTCACAGTACGCAGGGTTGGCAAACTGGAAATTCTCTGGCAGCTTCATGTAGTTTTAAAAAATAAGTGCAGTAGGCCTCCGTTTTATTAACTGTGATAAAAAGCACATATGCAAAAATATTTTTATATCGATAGCACATTACTGCATTTATAAAAGCTGCCCAAGTGAAGCTGAAGATTCTGGCAGCTGGTGCTTTTGGCACTTGGGAGATGTGGAAAGCAGCATAGAGATCTGTGAAATACAACAGTGACTGATGTTTCTGCTACAGTGATCGGCATTAAGATAGTTAGCAGTGTTCATATTTGAACTTCTCTGTGAAGTTTCTGAGTCAATATCCCACCAAGACGAGATATTCAGATCTCTTAAAGCTACTAGTTTAGGCTGTGTGCAGACTCAGGAAGACTTCCCTATTGTTTTTACACAATCGCATGTTTCAAAGTCCTCTTTCAATCACSAAGGCTGGAAATGCTTTTTTTCCTCCTCTTTTAAGGAGCTTGGATTTAGAAGCGCAATTCTGTCACAGAAGTTGGAAACTGTAGTCACAAATCTGCAGAATATGCTGGGCCCTGCTTATACTAGAAATCTCCTCCAAGTCCCAGATTGAAACACGATATAAACTGTTTTGAGATGGCCAAACGGTTTCATTTAATTTTACAAGGCATGCATTAGCAATGGGAGGAGAGTCCTTTGGACATTTCCACTTGGGAATCCTGTTTTCAGTAAAATTCTGTGATGCACAAACACAAAAGCTCAGCTGCCTACATTCACAATTATTAAAATGACACAAGTCGAGCGAACCTTCGCCCTAAAGCGTTAAGTGATGGGTTTACTTATGCAGCCTGCATAAAACTGCAAGTGCCATACAATTATATCTAGAGATATAGATGCACATATATCTATAGATATTTATCTCTTGTGCAGAACATCCTCCTTCCGTGCTAGAAATCAGGCGCTAGCACGTGCCTCCATATTTGAGCTTGCACCTGTTGACAGCCACGTACCATAGAGGGAGTACAGTACCCGGACAATGGAAGGCAAGAAAAGGAAGACAAGTTGCTGCTGACAGTCAGGATGGTCAGCAGCAGGCAGTATTCTAGCAGGTGCCTGGAAAACCCATAAAGACCACTTAGCATGCATTGTATATCCATAAATACTTCTTGCAGGCACTGTGTGTGAAGGCACAGCCAAAAAAGACAACGGCAAAGACAAGCTGAAATACAAAGGCATGAATTCAACTGCACCTTAAGACAAAAATTGTGACTATGCCTCAAAAAAGCAGAAAACTTATACAGCCTGACATTAAAGGCTGAGATGCAAAAGGTTTTTTTTCAAGCCCATGAGGGCTGAAAACACAGTGGTGCAAATCTGCTCTGCTTAAGCAGGAATTTAAAGAGCACCGCAGTCAGGCTGTCTCTAGACTTGCTTGTCACAGGCTATTAAATAGAAGCAGATGAACACAGCAGGTTGCAATCAGCATGTTTCAGGGCTAGCAAATGCTTTCCACTACAGTTCAGGCTGTTACAAGAAAGAAGCCCATGCATTCCCCATTAGGATGCTTGTCTGCTATGAGAAGCTGCCACGAGCATCCAAATTCACAGCCCCAGAGTTTTCAGATGGATTCGTTTCAAGTGATGCCACCTTACAGCCACAGGCATCAGAGGAAAATGTCGCCTGCCTTCACAGTGGCCATGGAGACTGTCTAGTCCAAGCTCCATAGGAGCACTGAGCATAACGTTTTGGCACCTTAATAGGATGGATTCCACCATGGCCACATCACAGAAGCTGCAGAAGCCAAAGGAGCAGGCTTTGGCTTCTGTTTTGTACATTGCAAGGTACCTAAGGGCTCTGAAGACAAGGCTAAACATTATGCCTGAAGTCCAATTAAACTACCATTTCAGATATCAGAATTAATCTGAATAAAAAGCTATGGTTTATAAGCAGCACAGCACATCTAAGGCACATGTATGCATGCAAGCCACCATCACTGTATTAAGACATTGCTGGTTTGTCTTGAAGCAATGGCTGCTAGTACAGAACAAACATAGAGGCTTTTTTCAGCACTAATCCTCCTCCCCAATACTGAAAATACTATATACTGCTGACAGCATAATGTGCAACATATATAGCTTGATTGGAAAGCATGGGGCAGAACTTTAAAAAATGTACAGGATTCCGTTTAGAACTCCAAAGTTCAACAAATGCCCTATTTTAGGGTGAAAACAATTATAAATCTGATAATGATGCACAGCATCCATGAGTGATTTTTCCTTAATTTTGAAATAGTGTCATTAACTACGACATATATTGTAGGTTTACATTTCTAAAGAGAAATAACAGAATTGAATAGTTTTTTTTTCCTATCACAAGTGATAACCAGTGTTTGATATCTTCTATTTTTTCTTCCAAGAAATATCAGTCTATCAACAGTTTTAAAATAAAATGTTTTCTGTAACAATAGAACTTTAAATAAAAATATGATTTTGATTCAGATACTTTTGAGAAGACATGGATACTTTTCCAAGATCTTCTGACAAAGTAATTATTAAAACAGAGACCAGATGAGGCCTTAAAAAGACAATATACCATATTTCAGACAAGATTGCACCTCAGTTTTTCAAAGAATATCATAATTGCAACATTACTTCATCTTCTTTTAACATGCTGACAATTTCCAGCTAGCCCACGGGTGAAGGGTTTTTTTTTTTTTTGTATTCTAGCTTAAAAGAAATAAAAGTCAGTAATTGATTCAGCACATACTGTATATGTCTTTTAACCTCCAATTGACTAGATCATTAATAAGTTAAAAAAAATCCTCTCTGACCATAATCACTATCCTCATGAGGGATAAGTGATTCTTCAGAGCTCAAGTGTTGCTAGTTCTATTAAAAAATATACCATGGTATGATTTCTTAATGTGTTGCTACTTTCGCAATTGGACCCTATGCAGTTATGCCTTCAAACTCTTCCGTCTGTTCCACAAGGTGGTTCTGTGAGCTTTAGGACCTCTGATTGAAGACAAACTGATACAAAACCCCCAAACGGAGTTGCCTTCTGTTTAATCCGCCTCCCCCAGTGTATGTCAGGGGTCTGGTAGATCCGATGTATCCACTATGACTTTAATAAAAATAGTATCATCTTTAATATACGTTCCATTCTCTAGAACAGTTTGAGCCACGAAGACCGGACAGCCGGACGCAATGTTCATTTCTCCAGTAGGCTTCTTGAAACTGCTGCTGTTTGGATCTGGCTTGAAAGCATCTCCCAAGTGGCGTCGAGATGGCCCCTGATCCATGAGCATGAGAGTCACTTTCTGTTTAAAGGGCCAAGGAAGCAAAGCATCGTATTCTCCACGCATTATGACAAAAAACAGAGACAAGTGCGTCCCCTTTCCCATGCCATCTCCGTTCAGGTAAACTCTGGCACACATCTTGTAGCCAAAGTATCCAGTATAAAAGGGCTGGCTGTACAGGGACAGAGTCTTCCCCATGACTGCTTCTTGCTTCCGACGTTTGTAATCTCGGATTTTCCAAATCAGCACTCCGTTGTAACTGGCGGTTTCCAGGACCTGGAAGCGGAGGTCCATGTCAGCCAGCCGAATGTCGTGAACGCTCAGCATCTGATCGTGTCTGCTCAGCTGGGTCTCCAGCAGGCCTGCCAGGAAACAGAAAGGATGGGGGTGAGAAACGTGCTGTTTTCTAAAGACTCTCAAAATCCACTGCCAGTGCTGCTATTGTGAATGAAAACGCTTTCCTCCTCGAGAGCCAAAGTGCATTTGGGCACTGATGAAGGAATTTCCACAGGCTCTAATTTGCTGGCTGGTGTCTAGCTGGGACTTTTACAAACRTGGGTGTTAATCGTACATGCAGTGGAAGTCAAATATTTAAATTATCGAACACATTTTTCCTGGTCACTAAACAATATAACTACAGAGGCTTCCACTTTGTGAAAGGAGGCTGGGTAGCATTATGTAAATAGCAGATTGCTATTTAGCAGTGAAGACCTTGGAAGCAGTTACACATCCTATATAATCCCTCAGAAATTCAGAAGTGCCACTGATCACTCAAACATTCTTTTTAGAAACTACTTATCTCAGAAGCACTGAAGCAGTGCTGTTACCATGTCTAAAGTTCATAAAAAATAACAACAAATTGAAGCTTAGATCTGTATTATATGGTCATTTATTTCATTTGGAGGGAAGGCTGGGTCTTCTGTGTTCCCTTTGCTGTTACTCTTTGTTTCTGAACACTGGCAAAACTGGCCAGCATATGACACTGAGAAGCAGATGAATTCATACAGGCAGGTTTATCTTATCTAGGTCTATTTAAATTCTTTGTCATAATCATTTAAACACTTGCATAGGATCTACACTATCTTGCTAAATTCCAGTCTTTACTCAGAAGCAAAATAACCTTATTTTTAAGGCAATTTTCTTAGGATCAAATAAATTTGTGTAACAGAATGAGGACAGGTGGTTTCAGATGGGTAAACCATACTGTTGATCCATTCACAAGGGAGAAGAGCAGTAAAAGATGTCAATACACCAAGACTATATTTAAAGAAGCTGCTGAAAGCTATTAGCTATCAAAGATCAATTGAGAAACTGTTTATAATGAACTAACAATGCAGGCAAGACTCAATAAAACAAAACAGGAGACAAAAATCAAGCCTAAGAAACAGTATGGAAGCAATGCCACACCATCAACAAAGGAAATACACAATATCCTACTCAAAAAGCAGAAGAACCAGCATTATTGATGTTTCCACATAAAAGTCACAATGGGAGTGCCACCATTTTCCTTTCAACAGCACCTCAGCYCATTGTGCTTTACACTCACTTGTGTTCCGAGCTCCTTGCCCTGCAGTTTTATCAACACTTTCCAGCTCAGTCACTCTGTTCTGGAGGGATTCCACACTGCTCTTCATGCTGTCAGCCTCCTCCCAGTTCTGTCGGAAGGGACGGATTTCTTTGTCCAGTTCTTTGAGTTTCTCTGCTTGACTGTCTATCACTCGCTTTATAAAATAATAGCACAAAATAACACAAAGACATTAATTTATGCAAATTAAACAAAGATTATACRTTGGTGGTAAGATTGAATTCCCATATAAACAAGTTTTGCTTATATCAAGTATTTTAATAGCATAGACCTCAAAAATTTAAAGGAAGAGCCCAAGTATTAATGAAACACTTAAAAMATATTTAGTGCTGCATAGGCAGAGCACTATTGGAATTACCAATAGATTTATTTTTAAAAAAGAGACTTATTAGTGTGCTCTTGTCGAAGGTGGTTTGATTTTTGGGTCTGGGGKTTTTTTTAACCTTTCAATGTAGGAACCACATTCTGAATGTCTCTACATTGGTATTATGGGCTGATACTTGTTGGGTTTCGTGTGAGAGTACTTAAGCAAGAAAGTATGGGCACAGCTTACTGTGGTGTGGATCTGGCTTGATGTATGTACATTTATACTGGGTTACAGAAAAATAAATTATCCTTGCAGAAAAACATCATTTCTCTTGCACACATGGAACATGAGTACACACATATGCAAGCTCCCAGCTCGCATAAATCAGTCACCAAAGCCTGATTATGTGCCCATAACTATATCAGAAGCCATCAAGAATGTAAGCAAAACGACCACTTCTGTCCCCTTAAGCATCTTTAAAATTCCTACTCTTACTTCCTAAACTGAATAACCCATGCATTCTGAAGGTGCTTTCTGTTCAGCCTTTTCAAGAAAACAAAGGAAAAGAAAGTCCAGTTGATTTTGGAAAAGCATGGAATGTAACACTCAAGAAAGAAATACACAGAAAGGCCAGTATTCTCTGAAAGAGGGACATTGCAAGCACTTCAGTATCTTACAAATATAAAGAACATATTTCCCAGTCTACCTCAAATCTGATGCAAGAAATACACAGCACTTCACATTATCACAGCTAATTTGGACTGCGATACAGTAAGTGCAATTGAAATTAGCAGGAATTTTAGCCAGAACCCCATAATCAGTTGTGATGTTCAAATGGTAACAAAAATTGGAGACAAGAAACTACTTTTGCTACCACCTACAGTTAAATTCCAAATCTAACTTTATAGTTTATCATCATATGGTGCCAGCATACATTAAAATGATTTTTCATTTCTTCACAAAAAATAAAGTGGCAGTTGAGTACAAAATAAGAAACTAAATTTATTTTGCATCTGCCTTCTGGTTAGCCATGTGGATTCAGTGCTCCCCACTGATGGGGAAAACCCCTCTGCCTCAWACAAACTCTATTTCCCCTTTTAGCCATTTGCTTTTAATCATGTGGTTTCAGTTATACTGAAAGTCTGTAACCATTAATTGAAGGTTGTCAATGGGATGAGCAAAATYGGGTTCTAGGAGTCTTGTTTTGTTGTGTCTCAAAACCACTGAGCAATCTAACATGTTTCAGGATTAAGTATTTATTTCTATGTTCATGTTTTAAAACAAGTTATGTCTCTCTCATTTCCAGAATTAGGACTTTGTGAAGGAAAGCTGGGCACTGAATCATAACTGCCAGGGGTATGGGCCCAGTAAATATAAGAAGCAGGTTGCCTGGACTTACTAAACACCACCTACCAACAGTCACACCCTCCCACTTAGGCTGATGGTAATCAGACAACAAAGCAGGGAAGGGCTGTTAGCCATATCTGTAAGGAAACACACCACAAAAGGGCCTGACTGCATGTTGTTAAGAGCAGAACCAAAGATTTGGCCACTAGTTCACAGTTAACATCTAGAAATAAACTCAAAATATTTTCCTTTACATATATTTTTCCTTTAGTCATACCAAACACGAACTYTCCGAGGCAAGAACAGTAACATGGCTGGGGTTTGTGCCGTGCCTAGCACAGCTTGCACCTCTTTGGACTAACACTGCATCAAACAAAATAAATGATCACATTTTTACATGAACTGGGGAARTGCTAAACATGCAGAAGGATTGTAAGCTATTCTTTTGGGAAAAGTTTACCAGAAGCTGTTACTAGGGACCAACTTCTCTCCACCAGCCTGTGCAACATTCTACCTTTGTACAYGCACAACAGATTCTGGTTCGGCTGCTTCATTGGCAAATGTGCAGTATTTTTATCTCCTGTACCTTGACGTGAGAATTCAAAACATACAAAATATTCAGAAATAAGACTTCTATTTAATTTTTAAAAAGCAGTGGGATCTCTGTCTTTTTGCCCTACAGGGAGTCAACCTCTTCCTGCTGCGAGATACTGATGTACTAAATCTGAATTTAATGCAGCAGTGGAGATTTTCACTCTAATTATTCCATTAGAAAGCAYACAGATGTCTCACATTGTACTCATAAATTTTCAAGTAGATATCAATTTTCTGCATGCACTTTTGATTCTAGCAACTGACCTCTCCAGATCATTAATCCCAAGTTATATGCTTGGCAAACCATTGTGGGCTCCTTTTGATGTTGATTTTCATATAGGTTTTGKTTGGTATTTCTAACAACTTCCAGAATTTTAGCACTATACTTACTAAAAGAATTTCAGAAAATGTCATGAGGAATCCAAGAGTTATAATGGACCTTTTCATTGCAACTGATAGGGCAAAACTGAAAAGCCAGAAGAGAGACTTGGAAAGGTACTACTTGACTTGGAAAAGAAATCACGTGTTCTTCTCCTCTGAAGGAACATTTTTCTCATCAAGTAATTTTACGTTCATAAGGCCACTGTTTCTTTTGTCCTCCAGTACCTCATGTCCCCACTCTGGGCTTACTCATATGCTTCCATTTCCATGTGAAAGACTGCACACTGCATGTGAAAATCCCTTTCCATGTGACGGCAGCCAAAAAAAAATCACATCCCTTTGGTAAAACCACTTTCCCTAGAGACCAGCACGTAGAAAACTGGTCTGAAAACACAACATCTGTAGGCTGAGATTGCTGCCAGAGCCCAGACTGCCCTGATGCATTTACACTGGTTGTGTCAGATGCCTCACAGTGCAAGTGATGCCCAGTGATGCTGCTGCTGCTCCCGCTGCCCAGCCAAAAAAAACATCACCTGACAGCCACTACTGAAACTGTACTGGACATCACTAGAATTTGCATGTCTTGGGGGACTAAGCAAATACTCCTTGCCCCTTGCCCTGACCTGAACTGGTTGGTGCAGTATCTGTGGCTCCCRTGTAACCAGGGCTGCTCAACACAACCCAGGGAAAGAATGGCTCCCAAAAGGTAACTAATTCCTTCCACTCCTGGGGGGCAACAGAACAAGACTAATCCTGTTGTCTAGGAAAAAACAAATTGAGGTGCATCTCCAGGATATCCTTAACAATCTGTCTGAAACAGGAAAACCCACTAAGTGGAAGGAATCAGGTTGAAATAGCTTTAAAAACCAGTTTGGCTTAAAATAACTGAATTGGAATAGCTGGTCAGAGGAAGTAAAGAGCAGGAGGGGAAAAAAAAAAAGAAAAAGAAAAAAAAGAAAAAAGTGCAAAATATCTCCAGTACTTATTACCACCACACAGCCACCTGTTGGAATCTGCTGTTTTGTAGTGTTTTGGGGGTTTTTTTTTCCTAAACAAACCATTTGAAAATTGATTTTGCTAACACTTACAGCTCRCTCGAGGAAATCAAAGATATTGCAATCTGTCATTTAAGACAATAATGAAAAACTCTGCTCTATGTTTTTTCCATTTCCACTCTCATTGCTGGCCATTGAGACAGCATGTGTAGAAACTCCAGGCTCACAAATTAACTTACCTCTGGGTAGATTCAATCAGCAATATCAGTACACACAAGGATTAGCTCCCCAGTGTCAGAATGCAATAGTGCAAGCAGGCAGCCATATCCCAGACTWTCATCAGACAAGAGACAATGACTAAGGCAGGCTAAGCTGGGCACTACATGGGCAGGCCACGGAAAGAAATTACTGCTCTAAGGAAAAAGGTTGCATTTGCAAAATGTGAAGATTTCCTTATAAACCATCATCGAGGCTCTCCAGGCTTTGAGCTGAATGTACCGCCCTTTGAATTCTAGCTGTTTTGGATACTTTTATCTTTCTCGAGTATCAACATCTGCAGTTAGTACGTGAAGTGAATATTAAATAAAAAAGATAATTTTATTTACATTCCTTTAAGGTGGATGCTACAACAGGTATGTGATATTCCAGCAGCAGGCATACTCCATTAATGTGTAAATGATACCTCCACAATTGCTTGCTAAATATCTCCTGAGGTTTCCCTAATTGTGGTTAGTATCATGCAAGCTAATACAAATTCCCAGCACCCACATTCCAAGTCAGCTCTGAATACAGAGCGGGGAATTTCAGCCACCATGCCAGAGCATCCAGAAGATTTCTAGTTTGATGCTGGCTTGCGGCCAGGTCATTCAAAACACAGAATATGAAATTCAGACCTACAAGCAAAGGAATAACTAGATACATTTTCTTCAGAAGGACAGCAGAAACATGGATTTTTAAAAAGTGTATTTAAATGTATTATGCAATGTTTGAATTAAATCCACACCATACTGATGTCACTCATCACTCCTCTTTTTTTAAAAAATACCAGCAAGTAGGAAAGAAATATACATTAAACTTCACAACTTCAAGGTACTAATCTTGCCCTCCAGTGTGACAGTACTTCCTTAAGCAGGTTTTTTTTTAAAGCAAAAAAATAATTATGATTTTATTCTTCAGATAAGATTTCTATTTTTGTTTTCAATCTTTTCGCATTTTGAACTTTTTTTTTTTTTTGCTTTAACACAGAATAGGCAATTGCAGTGTTTTAGTGAAGTATCTTACCCCATTAAACACAACAAACCAGAAGTAAATCAGAATGACTTTTTAATAAAGTAAAATCTCTCCCCCCCTTTTTAATTAGACCACCTCACTACACAARTGTAAAGGCACGGAACAGAAGCTACCACCATTTCTGCTTTAATGGGGAGATACTGGATTTCTTACCTGTAAATGGAGTATTTTAGATTCATTATTCCGCAGCATTTCCTTCTGTCTTTCAATTTCTATTTCAAAGCTACAAATCTGATTATGTAAAGTTTGTATACTCTTGTTCTTTTCCAAACTTTCATTCTGGAGCAAGGCCACCTGGAAAAAATTCTACAATTACTCCTGCCAAAGTTTATTAAAATACCTAGAACTTTGTYAGTTTAAAACTATCTTAAACACATGAAAGGGATGAGATCCAAATAAAACCTCTCTCCATGTCTTGCAAATAAATAAATAAAAAAATATAAAACCCAACCTTCTGATAGCTACTTTTGTACTTCCAGGGTATGRAATTGGTACAACTTGGGCTTATGAAAGTGCAGATGGGACACAAAACCAGCAAAGAACTTGTGTTTAAATCTAACATTTTCTTTATTCACTTGTTATTTAATGGCTTGGTTTCCTGGTTTCCACCAAGTGACTTGGGAGTTGCTTGGAGTTTGGAAGAAACAACCTAATTCACTCTAGATCAATATGAAGAATTCAAGCCCTGCACAGAAGGGACACCAGAGACAAGCTGAGCTGGTTGGATCAGGGAACACTGATCTCCTTCACCTACTTCTATCCTGATCTACAGCAAATTTAAGGAAAAATGTAATCTACATGGAATTGACTTCGCTTAAAATAATGTGATGGTGATGAAAACTCTTGAAATGAGTGAATACAAAAGGGATCCATGSATTCGAAGGAAAATCCAATGGTGCCTACTAGTAGAAAAGACCAAAAAGCCACAGGCTGTGAATTATATTCTCTTTCTGTATTGACATTGTATGAATTTATTCATTAGTGACTCATTCAGTTTTTAAAACATGAGCCTTGTTAAAAGAATACTGTATTATATATCTCCTTGGGGATGAAAGTGATACAGTAAATATTTTCTGTCACAGTACTGAGCGCTCCTTCATTAATGTGGTTTGAAGAAGGGGGCTGCTTGGTGGTGGTGCATTGCTTTTTTGAGAAATCTGTTTTTTTCCCTTAGGCACCATTATTCAGCAGCGAGAATGCAGAAAACAAACACTTGGCAAAAATGATGTTTGGACATGCCCTGACTATTCTGCATAGAGATCTTCATATGGATATGAAGCAGCACCATTTTGGACCCAGAAAAATCTTGATAAATGTTTCACATCAAGACCAATTATTTGGATGTTTCATGTTCTCAAAAAAATCTACTCCCAGCTCCTATTACAGGTGCTACCTTGAGGTTAAGCCATCTTCACCTCTGATGTGGGTGCCACTGCAGAATTCCATCCCCCTAACTGGCCTCTAATCAGACCATACCATCATCAAATCCCTAATGTGTCACTGCATTCCTAACAAAATCTAACCTGTCTGAAAAGGTAATTAATCTCAAATCTCTAAACCAGCTTAAACTAGACAAAGTAGTATCAAAGTCCACAGGTATTGAGGAAGTTCATTAGACAGGAGCCCAAAACCACAGAGATACCATAATATATGTGTGGGTATCTACTTTTCAAGATAGYGTAGTGTATTTTGTGTGCACATACACACATGGGCTGGTTCTGCACTTCATACATGGAACAACCAGCAAAAGGAACTCAACAGAAATGAGACAAAGCTAAGTCTGTCAGTGCAGAGAGGGAAGCAATGTTGAAGCAATGCACRCCTAGGTACATGAAAAAATTTTCAAGAACAAGTTTAAATTTAAACCAGTACCTCTGCCTCCCAGATATTTAAGTTCTGCTGGGCAGACACTTCATTTTTTGTATCCTTCATTTCCTTGATGAATCAGAGTTTTTTAGTTAATTGTGATCTTTACATTTCCCTTTTCTCACTGTTTCCTCCCCAGGCCTCCCAATCACAAGGCAGTTACGCTCTGGGTCACTAAGCATTACATTTCCATTTTTGTTCAAGTTATAAAATGTGGGCCCATCTTGTACTGAGTTTCTCCATGCAGTTTTACAGAATACAAGAAAAGCAGGATTATGTCCTGCAGTCCTTAATCATACAGAACTGTCACTAAGTCAGCAATTGTAGCTTGGTTGTGATTTGTGAATTAAAAAAAGAAAAAAAATAACACTAAATAGTTTCCCAACTATAGTCTCAGCAAGGGCAAAGGAAATAGAGCATCTATTTACAAACTGCATCAGCTTCCTCTACTTCCTTCTCATATTTGGAATACTCGTAGGAAAAAGCATGTTCTTATTCAGCAATTATGTAAATTAAGCCATTGCTTACTAAAGAAAAATGGTAAAAACCTTACRCAACAAGAAACTGTATTATAACAGATACCATATTTGTGTCTTATTAAAAAGAGAAAACAGTTTATATCAGTTTTCTTTAAGAAGGTGATGAAGCCACAAAGTTACATTCACCTAATTGTTTCCAACACTACAAAATTATGAGAGTTCAGTGTGCAGTTCTGCCCCCTCACAGAGTGGAAAAAGCACTGCATTTTAATTCGCCCCACCAAGTTTTGATTCAAGATTTTACATCTGACCTTCTCTTACTACTCTTTGCCAACAGCACCATTCAATACCAAACTCCTGGCTTAGCAYAACCTTTGCAGCTCTGAAGGCTTTCAATTTGCCTACTCCACTGTTAAAGAATGTGGTGACTGGGAGAAGGCAACTCCTCCTTTCCCCTCCAGATGTATCACAGAGAGAACCCCAAATGAAATCTTGACCCTACACAAACTAAGAAGACTTCCACTGACTTCAGCAGGGCTAAGATTCCTGAGACACCCATCAGCCAAGCTGACTTTGAACTGCTGTTCTTCAGTGAATGGATAAATTTTTTCCTCAAAGAAGAGCACAGCAATGAAGTTACAAATCATTTTGTCACCCTTCCCTAGAATACAGTCACTGACATATGACATGTGGTTAGCTATTCTGGTAACCTGGCACTGGCTTGGGATTTCCAGTGATTCAACTCTTTATTATGAATAGGAAGAAATCTACAAAGCAGGAAGTAAAAAGCAAAAAAATGGACACAGAATGATAAGCAGTTATGTCCTAAATGAAAGTTGAAACAAAAGTCGAACATAAAACAGTAGTAAAGTGCATATTCTCTAAGGTCTGTAAGAGACAAACATAGAACTGCTGGGCGTTTTTTAAATGACAAAGCATCTCTCAGGACACTGACAAAAGGCAGAACATGATCTATTATGCAAGTCACAGGAATGTGGGTGTTTTCCTATGATGTAAAATAAATTGTGTAGTTTTAATCAGACTAATGAAAAATKAACTAAGGATATGAATCTGTATCTCTCAAAATCAAAAAATGTGAAGTTCCTACATTAAAAAAGTTCCACATGCAAAAGCTAATTTAAAGTAATGTTACAGATCGTCAAGCTAAGACCTACCTAACCATGTAGAAAAATTCTGTCTAAAAAAACCTGTATTGGACCTCACCCAGGGCAAATGGTTTCTTTAAGAGGCTTCAAGTTCAAAACCCAGCAGTTCAGGAAAAAACATGCTGGGGGCAAAAACCGTATTATCTTGTTCCAGTTAATGTCTGCTTTAAAACTACACTTCCTGAAGCTGCAGGACCMTGCTGGAGACCCAGGCACAAGAAGGGAATATTCTCTGTGCAGGGCAAGAAGAGAATATCCTTTCTAGACAGAAAACCCTAAACTCTAGCTTGTGGTCTGCTCTGAGATGACAGAAGTCATGCCCCAAGTGCCACTGAGCTTACACTGGAATTGCTACTTAGGAACTCATTTGAGTAAAGTCTGAAGGGGCTCCTGACTCTTCTGCCTGCACTTGTAGAATAGTTTAGTAATTCTGGGAYCTTCTTTGCACTAAAAATACAGAAAAATTATTTTGTTGTCTATGTATGACTTTTTCAAGAAAATTTAAGAAAACAGTAATTTGTTCTGAAGTTTTGTATTTTTAAATCAAAGCCTTGAATTTTATTTGCAGAACAGGTGGTTAAGTCATTCGAATTTATTCACAAGATCATAGCTGATACAACTCCCAGCATCTCCCAAATCCCAAACAATTTAAAACCTGGAGTCCCAAGGAAGCACTGCAACATGAACTTCACTCTGGTCTAGCAATAAAGCAGACTTCACCATGCCCATGAGTTACAGTACATTTTACTTAATTAACCTGTGCAGGTCTTTTATGTTTGGAGAGCAAGAACAAAAYCAAATGAAATAAATAACCAGTTTATTACACACTTTTAAAGTTATGTCAGGAAAAATGATGAACTAGCAAAAATACAGCTCATAGGGCTGCCATGACTTTCTGAACTCTGTTTTGTAAGAAGGCAGCTCAGAGAGGAAACATCATACTAAACTGTTTATTTATGTGAAGAAAGTGTTTCCATTAAGCAATCAATGAGAAAAATTGTCCATGGAGTTGTGAAGCCAAGTTTCTCACAGCATTTTATTATATAACCGAAGTACAAAGATATGCTAAACGGCTTGATAGCTTTTGAAGCCTACTAGTGCTTTGGCTGCAATGCTGAACAGCTGTGAAACAGGGAAAAAGCGCTTCTTCCAGTACTTTTATATGATTTAAAGAAGTCAATGAAAATTAAAAGTGAGTAGAAGATATACCTTATTTTCTAGAGCATTGCTCCACTCTTTCAATAAGTTAACATGTTGCACTGCTGAGCTGGCTTCATGTGCTTTAATTTGTTGGTTTGTTCCCTGTGACAACAAAGAATTTATACATTTTAGCCAATTCCACTTCTTTTAAACCTACAAAGAAAGAGTATATAAAGACATCGAACCAACACTACATATTTTGGTTCACGGGTGCATGTTGCAGAACCGTAGAGAGAAGGGAAATCTATTTGGGAACTTACAAAAATCAGGAATACATTTAATATTGCAAGTGTTTTATACAACTGCCATGTATCTCCATCCAGTGTGCTTGACAACTCAGAAACAATAAAGATGAACAAGACTTAACAAAATGAATTGTATTTTTGGGTCTTTCGTGTAGCTTTGAACTAAACAAAGCACAATAAAACCCTTGAGTCATATAAAATCTAAAACTTCCCATTCCACTAACTGTAAGTTAAAATTTCTGTTCTATTTCATGAAGAGCTTCATAAGCAGTACATTTTCTTCTGCTGAATATTAGAGACAAAAATTTAAGACAAATTTATCACCACTGGAAACTGCCAGGTTTTTAAACTACACTGAGAGTTATTACWATGCTTAGTTTGTCATCTTTTAAGATGTCACCATGATTGTTCCGCGATATTCAGGTATGCTGCCTCTGCACAACCTACAAGTGCTGTTACAAATAACCACTATATAAAGAGTTTACAGAACACACATAGATTATATACAGAGTACATAAGATGCAGACCACATTACTTACTTCATTTGTACGGTGTTGCATTGCACCTACTTCAGTAAGTGCTTTGCAATGCAGAGAATATTAGCTTTGAAGGTGGACAGGCTGCAAAGCAACTGTAAGGGTTTCAATGATCCTCAAGGTATGTACTCTATATAAAATACTAGAGATATATATGTGGATATATGTACATATATGCACACATATACATACATAAAATGAATGGCGATACGTACGACATAACAGTGGGCAGGGTTACAGCACTGATCAGTTCTACCACTGAGAGCATCACTGTTAGCACTTAAAAAGATGAATGCTCATTATTTAAGAACCTGGAAATACCTGCAGGACATGGTCTATGGAGAAGTGTTGCTCCTTTAAATAGCCACGGGCTAACAAATGAATCAGTCTATCAGATAAACTCTGTTTTTTCCTGTCAGCAGTTTCTGAAATGTCCTGACTAATGTTTTCATTATATAAGCATCCAAATTCCCCAGAATATATGCTAAAGGAAGCAGAATATTGGAAGAGACTGGACTAATACTACTGAAACTAAACTCTGAGGTTTGACGGTTTTTATTTCTTTAATATTGCAGGGATTGCCAGGATTAAAATCTAAAATTTTTTAAAAATACATTTCATGCTTTGATTATACACCTATGTGCACAAAGACATAATAATGCACAAAAAACCCATGTTTTAAGTGTGCTAACCTGTGTTTAACCTCAATTAAAAATACTAAGACACACAAATGAGAGAAAATATAAACATACTTAGTTCAAGAAAATGCTTTCATAGAAACACTGAAGTTACTAGTCTGTCTACTGAAGAACTAGAGACTTTACTCTTGTCCTAAATTAACAAGTTCTTCAAATGTGTCATATTCCTATTTCAACAAGATATACCTAATAACTGAACTCCCAAACCACTGCAGGAATATGTGGGCTTTCCATGTAGTTCATTTTTAAAATGCAAAATCAAACATCTCCTGCATAATCACTTGGTGCAACTGGATCATTTTCTTAACCGAAACTAGAGAAGTCCAGAACTTTCATGTCAAAGAATTAGGTTCTATTTGCAGATTTCATCAATTGGGAAGTATAATTGTTATATACTGACCTGAAAAGTGCAGCCATAACGCTTAAAACTACAGGTACTTGGGGCATTAATACATTCTGACAAATGTGCATTCAACTGCAATAGGAAAAAAATGTGAGTTTTGGCAAAAAGACTTTTTGCATGATAATGCTCAAAACATAAAGGGCAGAGGTTATMAGGTTTGTATTGTGTGCCATTTGTAGAACATACAACACACATGTGTATATTTTCTCCAGTCTGATCTCAGGTGCAAATTCTGTATATACACATATGTAAACCACACACACATGCCAATACAGTATACAGTGTGATACACTTAATATACAGTGAAACTTCTACTAAAGACTATTTCAATAGGCAATCCAATTTAAAAAAAAAGCCAAAACAGAATGAACATACTCAGAACATACTCTACAATTATAGGATTTCATTTGACTTTGGCAAATGACTAATCTTTTCTCAAGAAGTGATTTATTATTTTTTTTTTACTGGTGCTCTGAACAAGTCTTAAGATCAGTTTCACTGTAGTAAAGTACATTTTTTTCTAATCCTAATTTCATGAGGAACCAACTTTTCCAAACATAACATGCAATTCTCTGTGCCTAAATTTAACAGTATATAAATATTACACAAAAAAGACTAAACAAGTACTGCATGAAACAGACAAAGCGTTTTAGAATAGGTATGGTTAAGTAACTTTTAAAAAAATGCAGTACACAGGATTAAAACTTATTAGTAAAATGCCTGCATTTTTCACAGATTGAGATTTAGCCCAGTATCCTGGATTACTACGAGCACAGACCACTTTTCATTTAAAAATAAACCAATTCACAGAAGCATATACAGATATACGGACAGCAGCAGCACGGAGGGCAGCAGCTGAGTGCAAACTGCCTAAAGGTTGGAGCAGAGAGACATTTTTGGAAAGGACAGCGCAACAAACACTCTCTTCAAAAACAGGGTCTGCAGTTTGTATTTCCCACAAAGCARACAGGAGCTAGAGCCTGGCTCCTCAGCTGGCATCACTCTTTTGGGTTTCAGAATCTCATCTGAAATTCCCACACCTCAAGCCCCACATGACTCAGCTCATCCACCTCCCTGGAAAGAAGTGGTGAATCAACACTGCTTTGAACGTGTAGCTCTGGAACAGACAAGACAGTCTTTAAAATGTCATCCCGAGATGCCATCAGTCACTCATCTCTGATTCACAACTATTGTGTTCTAAGCACTACCTGTAGAAATTCACAGTATAGTTTCAAGAAACRTGTAGTTGAGAAAAAATAAGAACAAGCAAGAAAGGCACATGCGGTCTAACAGGTTTTACGAGAATGCCATGTTTTTCAACTTCTCAAAACCAGAAGTCTGACAAGGAGTTATGAATTAAACATGAAAACTGCCTTTTATTCTACCCTAAGATATCCACCTGTACATTACAGAATTTTTTCAAACTGTAAGCAGGCATTTTCCCATTTTCTGCATTAGACTTGTTGTCCCTAACCATGCAGCCAAGTAATATATACATCTTCAAAGTATTAGAAAAAAAATTAAGCAACATACAGCAACAGATGATGCAGAGCAAAGGGCTGTTTAAAGTTCTGTTTCTGCCCATGGTTTCAGAACCCAATTCTGACAGTGTGTGTAACAACCCAGGCTTTAATGGTTCCATTCTTACAAGCACTCAGACACACATCTTCTAAAAGTAACTGCTGAAGTCAGGGTTTAAGAATAAGCCAAAGTGCTCCAGAACCAGGATCTAATCTTGGAAGTAAGCACTGGTAATGTTGGCCAGCATATGTATTTTCTCTTTTCTTAACCACTAGATTTCTCTTAATAAATACAGTATCTATCATATATTTTGTATTTCATTATCTTGGAGGAAAAGACTGCATTAAACTTTGGCAGGAGCCTTATATGCTTTGTGCACTCTGCCACGATTAATAATTTACAAGTGCAACAGAAAAATTGTTTGAATCCAACTCAGGAAGCAAGTAGCAGAGGAAAGAGAAAAGCTCATCCTCAGATCAGAAACTTCACTTTCCTTAAAAGAGGCTTAGTGAGTGATGAAGACTTCAATACGTTCTTCTCTACCCTTGGTAAGTAAGTTCTACTTTTAGGGGAAAAATTAAGTACCTCAATTTTTGACAGATGCTACTTTTATCTTTTCATGTACAAGAAATGGATCTCTTCAAAGCCAGGCTTTAATTTTTTTTCATCTACATATTACTGGAAGCTTCTATACATTAAGAGAAATTTTTATGCATTGTTGCATCTGCTGTTGGAAGTCTTGTACTCAACCTTTATCTTACACCATTTCTCTTAAGTATCAGCTACTATTTTTTCCTCAAATTTAACAGAGTTAATAGTAATTAAAGTTTTATCATGAAATTACACATCTGTATGATTTTTGTAGTCTTCACTAATTCTTGCCAAAGTGCACTGAATTTTAATTGTGTATTTTTATTTTAATATAAGTTAACTACCCCAAGACACTGCTCAATATTGCTGAAATGAGGGAAGGGCAGGGAGAGAGCTAGTAAACATGAAAGCAGGAAAGACATGCGCTRATCTTGGACAAGCCAAGAGTAATAATGACTCAAAATCAAATTGTTTTCAACACTTTTTCAAGAAATCATTAAAAATATTTGAGTGCCATCACACTTAACTGTGTGGTAGAAAAAGCTTTTCTTTGGATCTCACATTTTAACAAGGAAACGGCTTCTGGCAAAATTCTTGCGAGATCTTACTAAACACATTATTTAATTTTTCAGCACAACACTAGGTATGACTTCTTACCTCGCTCCTCATGAGTGTTTTAACACTACATTTATGAGGACAYGAAACCATGACACATGGGCAATCTGTATCTTCATGTTTCTACAGAGGAAAAAAAGCAAACAAGCCACAAATCAGTTCTTACTCTTTAATTAAGAGAGGACTTACCTGCAAAGAAAAGCATCCTACAATAATTAAAAATCCCACAAGACTTTTTCAATGTTATTCCCAATTGCACAGTTACAAACTGCAATTGCTCGAACATCAGTCTATATTTTTGATGGAGGTGTTGATATTCTGAAGCAAAACCAAGAGTTTCCTTGTGTTTTCCCTCACAAAGCAAATCTATTTGCTTACCATTTTATTGGTTTTACTTTAAACAATGAAACAATAGTAAAAGTCAAGTTTTCTTCCCCAATAATTGCTCACAAAATCARGCATATTTAAGAGCAAGCAGAACCAATTCAATGTCCTTTTTAGTAAGGGTATATAGTGCATGGAAAAGCTCTTCAGAAGTGTACACTGCCCACTCTCAGAGAATCTCTTTCCTATGTATGGATATTCCTTTCCAATTCTTTTCTAATTTTGATTCCCAAACATCTGATACTAAATCTCGCTGTTGCACATCACGATGCTGGGCAGGGGTTTTAATCTGAACCCAGATGTCAGGTATTTCAGCACAGCTGTCAAACCCTATCACCCCAGTGAGGGGAGAAAGTCAGGCCCAAGATAACTGAATTTACATTTCCTCTCCATTTTCTCAACAAAATGAAAAATTCGTTTCTCRTCAAGTGGCACATCCCATTCAACTTGAAACACACTGCTTCACTTCTGGTACTGACGAAAAGCAAAGGAAACAAAGCTCTAAATTTATAAGTTAGAAAAGGCAGAACAAATAGCATGACCCTTTTTGCCCAGTAACCGTTCATGGTTTTTGAAAAAAAACCAAGATATAAAGGAGTTCTGATCTCCAAGATGTGAGCGGCTTTGGTCAGAATTCTGGTGTAAATCTGCCACTGTTTAAAATGGTGTCTCGTCCTATTAAGGCAGACCAGCAGGCGCTGTCCTGACCCCTCTGCCCTGCCACGCTCCCCATTCCCACTCGCTCCCTGGGCAGGGCACACRCAGACAGTGCCAATGACAGGAGCCAGGGACAGAGCAGGACAGGAACTCAGCTGTTCCATAGCCAGGGATGGTTCCTGAGCCACCTTCAGTCCATCACCACCAGGGAACCCAGCCAGGAGCAACGCTAACACCTCTCCTCAGAACAGCCAGTCAGGGTAACAGCGATGTTCCTCTCACAGTCACAAAGCACCACTCCTGGTCAGAGTCAAGAGCTGGACCTGGGACCCTCATCCCAAACACATCTGCAATCACAACGCAGGGAGACAGCAGACACAACCAAGCGGCTTTAGCAGCCTAATGCCCTACATGCTTAGTCATGTATCAACTACTACCCCTTCTCATGTTCATTCCCTTATTGCAATTCTCTCTGTTCTTTAACCYGCCCAAACCATCAGATAAAGGCTGTGACACTGAGTCTTGGTTCATGATAAAAAGGCAACATGCAACCTCTCAGCATTCTCTCCAGTTTTGCTCTTCACTCCACATCCTAGTGCCCACTCACTGAAGCCAAGGTGAGCTTTTCCAGCAACTTCAGGATATACCWGAGCAATCCCAGTCCAGTGGCAGAACTCTGCTCCTACCAACTCAAATTCACACAGTTGAGCACGTAAAGACAAACACCACATCCAGTACAAACCACAGGTGGCACCACATGCAGGGCTCCCAGTACAGATGAAGACAAGGCAGGGTGTTAACAAGGCTCCCAGAAAATCCAGTGCCACATGAGGAACACGTCTGGCTCCAAAGCAGTGACAGGGAGCAAGGGACAATGTCTGGGCTCTTCCCCAGTAGCTGTCCCAGCTGTATTTCAGCCACTGGGCAGAATCCACCCTATCCTGACAGGGTCTGGTTTGTGGCCAGGGTTTCAGGGAGGAGCCCAGGCACCAAGCAAKGCTGTCCCCAAGTCACTGTGCTGCTGCCCAAGTGTCAGTTTTACAGGACAAGCACTCTCAAGTAGCTCTGTGGATTACACACAGAAAAATACAGTAATCCAGAAGCATTTCAGGCTTCTAATTTCCATTCCAACAATGCACCATCTTTTTCTCTCAGGAGAAACAGGATGGAAAAGGTAGATTTGTGACAAAAAGGAACCCTAACTTTTTAGACGGTTTGAAGAGAAGACATTAGGGGCCAAGTCACCGAGTGAGCATGCAAAGCAAACGCAACCTCAAAAAGCATTCTACTGACAATGTTAACTTGTTGGAGTCTGCCTCCAACAACGGGGATTTCCTACCCCACGGGGTCACGGGATTCTATGAAGACGTGAACCACATGTTCTCCAGTAAAATTTTTTGTTTCCATTTGCATACCACTTTTCTCAGTCTGCTCCCTCTATCTCCGTTCTCAGTTCAAGTCACTGAGGCCAGCTTCAGTCATTATTACATTAGAGAAAATTCTAGSCTACAGAACATAGAGATGAGCTCAAGTTCATCTCTAAAAACCCAGTTTTGTCAAAGGGGTGACAAAACTCAAATGAGAAGTCAAAAGAAACCTTACAGTACCTAAAGGAGCTTACAGAAAGCCAAAGAGGGACTTTTTACAGGGGCATGTAAAGATAGGACAAGGGAAAGGGCTTTAAACTGAAAGAGGGCAGGTTTAAATTAGATATTAGAAAGTTCCAGACTGCGAGAGTGGTGAGGCACTGGGACAGATTTTCCAGTAAACTGAATGCTCAGTCCCTGGAAGCATCGAAGGCCATGTTGGATGTGGCTTTGAGCAGCCTGGTGAAATGGAAAGTGTCCCTGCCCACAGCAGGAGAGCTGGATTGAGATAAAGTTTAAGATCCTTTCCAACCCAAACYATTCTGTGATTCTAAGATTCAAATGTATGGTTTCATTAAGCTYCTAATCCTTATTACTAAAGTACAGTGAGGTAATACTTTATCAGGCCACAAAAAAAGCCCATCTGCATTTCTATAACCACTGAACTTATAAAAATCTGGGCAAAAAACCCCAAACATATCTCCAATCCAGTTTGCAGAACACATTTAACATTCACTGATTCTGCATGTTAAGACACTACACATCTTTTAATACCACTTTTTGCCTCATGTCAATCCCCAGCCCCATGATAATTCTGGGAGAACAGCATCCATAATCTACCTAAATACACTTTCACCTCTGTCTCAGAACGTACAAGAATAAACACAGGGCACACTTAATTTTTTCAGTGTATTTTCATGCCTTATTCTAGGTAAGGCACAATTATTAAACTACCAGAGCCTGCAAGTGTGCACTCAATTAACTGAAAGGCAAATCTAAACCAGAACTTTGCAAGTTCTTGTCTATGCCTTTTTGMAACAACATCTGCAGATCAAAGAACACTTCTTAGTGTTGTGAGACTTCACCTAACAAACAACACACAAGAACACAAATGAAAATGCAATTTTCATYATTCTCACTATACTAAGGTGTGAGATCCAAGACCATCAAATTATGGAGACTATGTACTCAGAATTCTTTWAAAAAAGATAAAATTATAGCAAGATAGGTTCAGCATGATACCTTTCAATGTGAAGTAACACAGTCAAGCTACACTTGTGTGTAAAGTAAGCATGATTCTCCCAACCTCTACTCAGTAATTCTAACTCTCAAYATGCTGCTTATCAGACCAGCTACTCTGATGCTAAGAACAGCAGCAACTCATCCTGGGCCTGCCATGTACCATTGCTGGTTATGGCAAGATACAAGTTACTTTTACATTCTTCCCTTYCTCCCATAAAAGATCACACAGTACTCAAGAAGCATTACATAGAAGATGCTCTTTTCCCAGTCAATTGCAATGCTTATGCTTTTCCTGCACATTTGATTGTTATTATGGTAGTTGCATTTATCTTAACTGGAAAAAACCTTAAAAGCATAGAAAAATTAACTTCAGTATCAATACTAGGCAGTGGATCTGAATTTAAGTGCAGTATCTGAACATCAGAATAAAGAAAATATTTCCTATTCAAAGCAGCTTTTTTCACGGGAAAAAGACGTGTTTTGAAAGTCAGCCTATTTTCCTTTTTGAATTATTAATTCTGGCTGGGAGGCCAAAGTTCTTTTGGCAGCTACAGAGAAAGACAAGAAGAGTTATTAGTCCACATTAATATAGGCACTCTTGATGTACATAGACAAGATAATACTGCACCTGCAACATAATCATTGGGACTTGGCTTTTACAGTATTTACAGGTTGTCTCCCGGTATTTACAGGTTTTCTCTACATGGTCTGGCAAATCTTTTCTCAGTATTTTTTCTTTGCAATCAGCACGAGGACATGGGAGTTCTTCAAACTGACAATCAGTTCTCAAATGCATCTGAAAGATTGAAAAAAAAAAGAAGTCGATCCGACTAAGTTCCATGCAYGTCTTCCATCCTTTGAAAACATCCAAGATTAAATAATTTCAGAACCAAAGTAAGGAAAGTTATTTTGTGAACTGCATCACAAAATATCAGAGCAAACACTGACAAATCTACTCCTTCACTGGAAGTATTCTAAAGTGCAAAAAATTCTATGCAGGCTATTTAAACAAAAGGTAAGCATTCTTTTTCTAGGTATGTTATTCCACATAAACATAGATGATGCTTTAAGCTGTTCAGGTACCTGAGCTCGCTCACTCCAAGCAACAATCTACACATCTTGCTGCAAATTACTGTGCAACCACACCACACAACTGCTGCATTACAAAATCACTGATATCTCATGCCTTCACCAAAACAGCTACAGGTTATTTTGCACAGCTCTGAAGAAGTTTGATTTTACACATAAACACCACTTACATGCAAGGATTAAGATGAATAAAAACATACCAAAATAGAAATCAAATTTCTCACACTTGTCAAGTACACATTAAGATTCTTCACTATTTTATTTCTCCTTCCAGTTCTCATTTGGTTCACCCATTTACATTTCCAAGCTTTAGTACTGGACAATCACATGATTTTTTACAATTCCTTACAGTTCATCAAAAAGCCAAGTTTCAAAACAATTTATCATAAAAACAAATAAAACAAATCTATCATAACATTTATAAAACAAATTAACCACCAGTGTGAGCAAGTTAAGAATTTGACTGGGGTTTTAATTTGTAAGAATTTTTTCCTCATTCTTTCTTTAAAAGGAAGCTTATGATTGTTAGATTAACTTACCAGTAATTGACCCAAAGACAGCTGTTCCTTACAGCCCTTGTTTTCATTTCTGCAGTATATTTCAAGGGCAAGCAGTTCTCTCCTGCAACAATTATCTTTAAATACCTGAAAAATCAAAAATCACTTTATTTTAGAAACTGAAAACCACTCAAGGAGATGCAAGTTCAAATAAAGTAGAAGCTATGCAATTCAGCTATAGCAGTGTCATTCAATTCTAGCTTCATGTGCCAGAAATGAAATCCTGCTATTCAATCCCTCCAGAATGTGCACAACACAGAGGTTACTCCACAACTTTCACTGAAGCAGCTCAATGAAAGAGAGCACTCTCCTACTGTTTCAGTTTTACTATAAATACGATAAAGGGAAAGGTACAAAAAAGGCCCAAATTTGCTGCTATTTGCTTGCCAGGCCTGCACAAGACAGAACTCTCTATATTGTTTGGGGAGCTGTTGTATTTGGCACAATACCATAAGGCAAAATAAACTCAAAGCMCAGTGGTTCAGAAGGGAAGGGATTCATGGATGGTGGTCCCAAAATTACTACACTGGTTGACTGCAATACCTACTTGCACTTCAGTGGTAATACATAATTACAGGTATTTTCCAAGGTTTCGGACTGGGGGAGGTTTTTTAATTCATAGATAAGCAGATTAACTAGATTAACTATCTCTCCATTTTAATGCTTACAAGCACTTTCAGCATTTTTTTGTCTACAATAAAACTGCAAAAAGTTACAAATAGAGAGCTTGGGGTTTGGGTTTTACAGCTTTTATGGGAGATCCTCCATAAAAGAGACAAGACAGCTGAAGTCTCAAGTAGCCAAACTGTGAAGGGCAGGAACTAGAGAGAGATAAGAACTGAAGACGATTACTACTATGTTGAAGTCCAAAACCAAAGAGATAAAACCTTCTAATTATTTTTCAACTGCTTTAATGGCCTTTAAAGAAACACCTTAGGAATCAAGCCCAACCTATGACTGCTTCTCTGATAAAAAGACTCCTGTGGCACTGTGAAACCTGCAGCACTCCCATAATTACGGAACAGTTCTGCATGCTTACACYTAACCAAGAATTATGATCACACTTGCCCACAGTGACTGTGAATCTATCCCCAGTATCAGGGAAGAAGGCAACACTGCCATCATTCTCTTCTGATCTCATCTGACACAGGTCACTGATTTCTATTTACTTTTCAGAAGCGTACGGGAAGTTTAATGGATCCACAAACCAAATTTAAATAATCAATTGCCTATGCTGCAGTATCTTTTCTGAAGTAACTCACAGGGTTAGTATGCAGAGTTTTGCTGACTGAAGTTAAGGTAGGAAGACAACTTTTCAAGTTTTTCAAGGACTATCTAAAATAATTTCTGCAATTTYGGATTTCAGCATTTTGTGGGAAGAGAGATTTCCAGTTTCAYGAAAAACAATGATTTGGACAGTTAGTGTAACAGATATTTAGTATACACTGGCCTTCTTGTCCTCCTGTTTTAGAGATACTTTAGGTTTCACAACGAAAGTTCATATTTATGTATACTGAGAGCCAGAAAGTCAGAGTTAAATGAACAAATAAATTAGGCATCATGATTATTGGTCTGAGCTCCTGGAGACTCCATATTCGTTTCCAAACTGAATTACTCTAAGCACTGTACAGAGAACTGTTTTTGGTTAAAACAAGGAGAGATTAATGTACCCATTAATMTTTTCTTGAAAATTGTTGTGAATACAAGTATTCATTTAGGCAGGAAGGACCATTAGCACAAATAATTAACACTTCAGCAATATTGTAAAACCACATAACCATGTACCAAGCCAGGAAGAACATCTTCTTCCCTCAACCTTTCAAAGGCACCAAAAAGTTTTGATGTGAAAAACAGCGAAAAGGGTATCACTGAAAAAACTTACTCATATAAAAAGTATCTGATTCTATTACCATTACTGTAACAGCCCACTGTCATAATTCCAGTGTGGTTCACTGACTACCACGCTGTAAAAGAGATGAGTGAAACAGCAGACAGTGGTCTAGAGCCAAATCAGGATCAGTGTTCACCTAGACCTTTTACATCCCTGCATCCACAGGAGCTGGAATGTTTCTTGTCATCCTCTTGGTTGACGGGAAGACAACTGTGATGTGGTGCTGCAGCTTCCAGCTGTGAATATGAGATRTGACACCTGTCTGGACTTTTTGGGATGAAGCTGACATGTTTTCTACCATGAGGTTAACAGGAAAAACAAGCCACCTTCCTCTGTAAAATACACAGTTTAGGTTTTACAACAAAGCTATCTTCCTCAGGCAGCTCATTAACTTTATGAAATAATTACCACATAACAGTAACACAACTTATGTAGCCACACAATTTAATACTGTTGAAAAAGAAACAATTTCAACAATACCTTATCTTTTACTATGCTTTCTTGACACGCTGTACATTTTGGACTAGAAGAACTGAAGAGAAAAGAAAACAGAAACTATTTTAGCTCATCTGAATTTTAGCAGTACATAAATTTCTGTTTATGAGGCACTCAGTCTTGATTATTTAATATATTCTAAAACCATTAGAAGTGGACATAGTTATTTACAAGGAGCAAATACAATGTTATTTCAATAAATTTGAATGTTTGAGTTTTTAGTGGACAGTATTTGGCAGTCCCAAAGAAAAAAGACCACCACAATGTCTCCAGACAGCTGCACAGTGGCTTTCATACATGGCAAAATTCATCCCCTATTTTTCAGCCTGCACCTGATCCTCAACTGTTGTCACTTTTCAATCTGTGCAAACAGGCAAAATATTGTCTCTTCAATTATCCAGTTCTTTTTCAAACAACACCTTATGAAAATTCACTTTCTCTGACAGTCAATGATACATCCTTTTAGGGTAAAAAAGTAYGTCCATCTCTTTCAAGTCCATTCTGGTTTTAGCACCTGTTACAGATGCTCACTGCCTCCTTTATCTGAACTACTGCCTTGTAGCTGTCTTGGTAAACTAATTACCAAACTTGTGACCTCTTGGACAACAGGCTGGACCAGGAGCAGGGCAGACAGGAAACAGAAACTGGAGTGTAGAAAACTTCAGTTCCTACAACTGTTTCTGGTTCTGATCTGTCAAGTGTTGCAGTGTAAACCCCTTAGAATCATAGAATGGCTTGGGCTGGACGAGAACAAAGATCATTTACTTCCATCCCCCTGCCACGGAGAAGAACACCTCCCACCAGACCAGGCTGCTTTGTTCCTTTTTAGCTCCTTTTGCCCATGTAAAATGGGGACAGTCAGAATGATCTTCCTAGTAAAGCACAGAGACCAAAAGCACCAGGTAAAAGCTGTGTGAATTCTTCCATGAAGCAACTCACTGACAGGCTACCCAAGCTGTGGCTGCTAGCAGCAGGGCAAATCAATGTAAAAGGCTGGAAAAGTTCAATTATGTTGTATAATCTGTAGGGTTATTTCAAATCATCTCACTGGCTTTTGCTCCTTGAACCAAACATTCTCTACCTCATCATATTTCTGAGCATCTTAACTACCTTGAAGCTTCAATATCTGTAATGCTTTTCTTAAGTCAGAAAAAAAACCCCAAGGAATCTAAACTACGTGAGGGCATATAATGTTTAATACAATGTCACGCTTTCCTTGCTCGTACTGAATTCACTCAAGCATCCTACTTGCTTTTTCAAACTACTCTTGCATACTGAGCAGGCATCTTTACTGCTTTATCTCCACTAACTCCCAGTTYCTTGTCCTCAAACAACCTGGAACAGAAGCTGCTTGCATATAATCAGTGTGTTTCTGTATGCAGCAGTGTATCAACACTGAATGAAAAGATTTTGTGCCAAATACAGGACCAACATAAACCTATTTTGCTTTCAATTTTATGGCACGCTTTTTATTAAAAGAAAAAAAAAAAAGAGATGTAAATTTAATTTTAATAAAGGATTTGTTTGCAAGAAGCACTTAAATAGAGTGAAATAACTCAATGGGCTTAAGCACATCTCCTTTTCAGTAACAGACCAGTTGGAAAGTCAAGAAGATAAAATTATACATATTCTAGCTGCACTGTAATAAGCACATGTGCATGTCTCACAGCAGGGAAGGAAAATTGCCCAGACTCTAGCAATGCCAGAATTGTTACTGCTTAGACTGTCAAGGATCTGCTTTGTCCACCTGTGCACAACCAAGCATGGCAGGTGTTTGATTTTTTTATAGTTTGTKATTAACCATGGAAGAGTCTTCCAAAAACACATACTGAAAAAGCAATAACTGCATTTCTTAAATAAAAAACATACCYCACTTGACACTGTGTATCAAAAGAAAAGTTGGTGATGTTTTTTGTTGTTTTAAATTTGAAATGCTGTAGGCACAAAACCTAGTGTGAAGAAGTGCATTAGTGTGCTATGGAGCTTTGTGTTTGCCCAGTACAGAGATTACTTTTTATCATGAGACCGAGAATTGTAATAACTTCCACTCTCCTTTGCCATGCTGCATTTAGTCTCGACCTATATGAGATATCAGATTACAATAATTCCAAGTGACATATAAACCAGTATCTACAGTCAGAGTAGTCACAAAAACTAAACAGATCACCAAGACTTCCAAAGTCGAATGCTCTCTCTGATAGTAGCCCAGTATGCAACATTCATCAAGCCAAATACCTTCTGCATTTCTGCTTTTCCAGCAGTAAATGAAAGTATTAACTGCTTATGCAACCCAGAAGATTAAAGTTTGCTGAATCCAAACACGACAACAATTTCTGAAATCACATTACTGAATACAACCACCAGCAATGGACCAAAGCTGAGAGGCAAAGAAATGTACTTCTGATGCACAGGCACTTAAAACCAGATACTCCCTGAATGAGTGCACTTTTATCTAGACTGGGAAAGATTGCACCTCTCAGCATCCATTTTTACATCTGTATCATTCACTCACTTTCTGCACTCTGGTCCAAACATCTCAGYAACAGAGAAGCCAGCCCTTCTAATGCTCCTGCAATCTACACACCACAGAAGTGCCACAAAAAACACCTGGAAGGGCTACAGGRAAACTGCTCCACAGGCAGTTACATTTATCCAAGTGTCCCAGCACCCACCTGCAAGGCCAGYTCCCCAGCCAGGTTAGGGATCACCACTCTAAGGAACATGTGCAAGCTCACTTCCTCACMAAGACACAATTTACTGTGTGTATTTGACACCGGAATACCCAAGTCAGAAATCTGGTGAAACACCTACTCTATTTGGCCTCCAGAGGGAATGAAATTCTTAGCTAACACAGGATGACACCACCTGAACAACTGTTCCAACAATTCTGATGGAAAGCTCAGTTGTCTTACCCTGACCCAGAGTAGAACACAGGTAAAATACTAAAGCAAGCAACAGTGGAAGGCTCAACATGTTCCTAAARCTACAATGGTGTTCACACTAATGTCAGCAGTTCACAACATTTAAAAGCATTAACATGCTCTACCAGAACAAACAACATACCTCAGCAAGGCATTCATGCAGGTTTCACAGAATCTGTGTCCACATTCAGTCTGTTTGGGATTGCATAAGATGAGGTGACATTTTTCACATTTGTACTTATCTTCCACAGCATTTACAAATTTCTCTTTGTAGCCCCCTTGCTCAGGAACATAGATGGATGCTGATGGAGCGCGGTCAGGATTGGCCCTTTGCTGTACCATTTCTACAGATAAAGGAGGCTCTGAYTTCTTACTGGTGTCCATGCTCTAAAATAGTTTCTGTAAATCAAAAGTGAGAAAAACTGAGAAATGAGTACCTCTTTTGCCATTCAAAWAAAACAAATTCAGCATCTGACAGACTACATAAAACCAGAAAACAGCAAGAACAGATGTGTGTCCACACACCACATGACATAATRCACACATGCCTAAGTATATTAAGCATAGTAAATCTGTAAAATATTCTACATATTCAAAGGRTATAGAAGGCAAAGTAATTAAAACCTGCACCTGAAAGCAAAGTGTTAATTATGGCTATCACTCTTAGGAATACATAAGGGTCTTTTTCATACCTTTGCTTCTCTCCCTCTCAAAAGTATTGCTTAATATTGAAGTCCAACCACCAAAGGAAGCAGCAAGGGGTGTGTTGAAGAAGGTGCACTGGTACAGCACCGCACGTGATCCTGCTCAAACGCTACTGCAAAAGCACACACCCACCAGTCCCACACAGGGCACCCAGAGCCTAYCCAGGCCCCCTGCCAGCTCTTCCTGTCTATCCCATGCAACAGCAAAGTGCAAGACATGATGATTTAAATCTGTTTTACAAAAACACAAAAGGGTTTTACATCAGATACTGTCCAACCTTTTCACCGCACATCTTCACCTAAGGTGATCAGGTGAACAAAGTCTAACAGACAGCACAGAAGGGCCTATGAAACATGGGCATTTGATTAATTTACCAGGACTAAGCACAACTGACAGGYAGCTGAGAAAATAATTAATGCAGCTGAAGAGTAAATTACAGCACCTATTATCTCAGACAATGCATCTTCCAGGTCWGCATACAAAGCATCAGCAGAGCCGACAGAGGAGTAATGTCCCAGGTTCAGTTTTAAAATGTGTTTTCAATCATTTGCTACCTAACACCATAGTCAAACAAGCACAAGTGCTCTTAGAAAGCCTCAGCACATAGAGAAGAAAGCACAGYTGGAGGATCAAACACCTATTTACCTTTGAGAAATGTCTGGCTATCTACAAGAGAAGGGCAAACTTCAATTCTCTCTCCATGCTAACTGATATTTTAGATACAAACCTGTTCCACTGCTCTGGAGTTGCCTCAACTGCTATAGTTATAATTCAATATTTATGGAGCAGAATGAAGGAATTTTATAATTCTTCTCAATTATAAAAGTATGTCCACMAATGCCACAAAGGGATTCACATGCTTCACATTCCAAATACACAAATCCTCCTGTACACAGTTTTTATGATATCTTATCTTCCCTTGCTAAGCCCAAAATCATGTACTTAAAATGAAATGCATTTTCTTGTAGATAATTTCCTGATCTATAGTTTTAGTACAGAATTCTCAATGCACTCTAAACAGGTAGGGCATTTTCTTTGATTTCTGATGCCATTATTTACAGACACAAAAGACAAAATCATTGTGACTCAATGATTCAAAACATTTCATGTTTTTCCAATGCCAGCTGAGCAAGGGTAGAAGTGTTGAGTGAAGAATCCTCACTTCATTGCCCCCTTGCCCAGGGGAAAGCCTCTCTGTATCTCCATCAAACACAGAGAGAGCCCAGGGAAACCATTATCATAACTCACCACACAGACCCAATGATTGTGTCTTACTCAAAAAGCAACAAAACAACACACAACTCCCAAAAAACAAAAAAACCCAACAAATTCTATGAACTGAAAAACTACTAAAAATTCTGATCCATAATTTGAATTGTTAGTCTATTCAATGTCTGCTCTTCAAAAATTGCAGAGACTTATGTCTTGACAGAACARTATGTGAAAGAACCAGAAAGTCAGGGCTGAACTGAAAGCAAATCACACTTCTCATTAATGAGGAAATTCAGATTATTTCAGACCTGAGCTAGAGTTTCACCAGCAAGCATAAAAACCCAACAGGCAATAATGACACTGAAGAGGCAACTCGAGATTGTAACCAGCATGCAAGAAATGAGATTGGGGCTCAGAACATGACTCAGAYAAGGAGGTTCAGAGAAGTGGCATGAATGAGAAAGGAAAGCATCTTACAGAAGTAGTCCAGATTTAGAGACTGCCCAAGGCATGACTGATGCTGCTGAACATCAGTACCTGGACTTGGGGTAACACAATCATGAGCTTAAGACCTGACACTTATCTGTGATTGTAAGAAAAAAGGAAATTAGCAAGAGATGGAAAACAGCATAACTTCGCAAGTATTCAGACTGGTGAAACTTAGCTACTTATTGACTTCTTGTGTGTGAAAAGCTTCATTTAGAACTCGCAGTTTAGGAATCTGTAAAGGTTTCAGTTCCTCAATTTATAGATACTAATACCTCTTTTCCATCTACACCTGTAAATTTTTTTAAAAAATCATATTTAAGACCTCAACTATTCTGTCAATTCTTGAAGTCAGAAGCCAACTTCAAGCACGTTGACTTAYAGGAACAAAACAGGGAACATTACTTTCCTTGAAATGACAGAATAAAACAAGGCAGGACCTGCTTCTGACCCACAAAAGAAACACAGAAAAAGAGGCACTAAAAGAGATGCTGACAGGAGAGTTGGCAAGTCAAGACAGCACCAAGTTCCCAAACTTGCAAGTCACAGTCCACAACTACTGAATGTCTGCTTCCCCATTAAGTTCCTTCCAAACAAAAATAAGCTAAAGATGATTAGAGATGTGAAGTCTTCCAAAAGCATGATTGTGTCAAAGAAGCTAAATAATTAGTCACAAGAAGGCAGGCAGGARTGACAGGAGAATATTCAACACTTAACACAGACAGCACCGAATGCCAAATGAGCAGCAGGTGAGAGTTTCACAGATATATGAAACTACTCGGAGCTGGACTGTCAGCTGTCAAGAGAGATTTCACACCAAAATAAACTGCACAGGGCTCCACAGGACTCTACTTTTGGAATTGAYATCTTGGATATCTCCTCTCACAGAAAAGAAGCAGAAAGCACACTGACAAATAAAATGTATCATGCGACATACCTAACAGATTTGTCTGCCTTGGGTTTTATTTTATGAAGAAGTATGTCAGACCAGAAAAGCTAAACAAGCTCAGCACCAGAGGAGCCAGACAGGTGAGAAATTCTCTCCCACAGTACTCTGAACGCCAGCACTTGCTTGTGCAGCAAAACTCGGAAGCCATTCATGAAGTATTGTCATAAAATACACCAGAGAACTGAGCTTACAAGACCACCACAACCTTATCACAATGAACAAGCTGCATTTAACAAGGGGGTAGGGAGAAGTGGTGTCTGTCAATTTGCATGTAGAGCTTTGCCCTCGTGCATATTAGTTATGTGCTCTCCCACCCGAATGCGGGATAAGTGATGAACACAAGAGCAGATAACACAAACATTTCAGGTGCCAGCCACCCCTTTGCCAGCAGCTTTCTGTTATGGTTTCCATACCGCTACAGGGTGTCATCTGCAACGGCTTCTTTTCCTTTTCAGGAACCTTGAACAGCGGGACTCAGATTATTCCCCCATAATCATGTTTCAAACTGCCAACAAGAAGCAATTTTGAAGTCACACCTCAGTAAGACACTGTGCGCTTATGGCAGTGAAGACAACAYACTTCCAGGGAGCAAGGAGAGAAGCCTGGCTAGGACATTCAAGATGGGCTAGTTCTGGTGGGGGCCTCTGATTCCTAAAGGCATGGCAAGCTGCCAGCCAGCCAAAGACTCCAGTTCTTGTTCAGCAAGCTGAATCTTAATGCCTAATTAAYCACTAGCTAGTTCTTAATGCTCCAGTTTCTTTATCTGTGGGAAAAGATCTTCACAATGAAAGAATGTGACTCTTAGATGTCTTTTTAAAYTGTTAAACCTTGCACAATCACTTTCCAGGAYAGATAAGCACATAAAAAGTGGGGCAGAGTCACCAAGGTCRGTTCTGTGCACTGTTGCTCGAATTCTCTCCSGCAGCCAGCATCTGCTAATCCTCASACTTCAMTGGACATTGCTCTGGCCATCAGATGGGTGACACTGTGGCACTGCTTACTCCAGTCTGGTCACCACTCTTGCTCAATAAAGTTGAACTGTACTTCAGTTGACACTTCAGGCTGTACACACTGCAGTAAAGGTCAGGACAATTTGCTGGTGCTTAACTCATAACTAATGTCAGCAGAGAGGGTTAGAAACTGGAAGCAAAAGTGAGTCGACCCAAAAAGATGTTCCGAGAATTAGGAAGCACGGGAATTCCCAAACAAAAGGCACTTTGCACTTTCCTTATTTAAGCAAGGGATGTTGTTCTCACTGCAGAAATAGCAAACAACCTAAAAATCCACATTCATTTCTGTATTACCACATATAATTATTGTTTGCTCTTTGGAAATAAAGCCAATGTAAATACAATAGAGCTTCTATAAAAATTCAAAATAAATTTGCACCCTAAAGTAAACAGAAAAAAAAWTTAACTCTTGTGGAACTCTAAAACATCTAAAAAGTTTGATTGCCACAGGTACCATAGGATTTGGAACTTAGAAAGGTCTGCATGAAGACAGTTTCAGTATATTGACAATGCAAAGCAAATAAGCTTTTGCTGCAGTTTTAAAATTCAAAAAGGGCAAAAAGCTATTAGAAATAAATGTTTTCATTACAGTATCTTAGAAGAGAATAATGGATGACACAGTTTAATTTGGTTATGGCTACAGGACAGCAAAGCTTTTTGATCAAATTACAATTTGCACTRTGAACAGAAGTTCCTCAAACAGAACAGCATTGCATGCACAATATCTAAATTAATCTCTGAAAGACAAACCTAAAGTGGGACAGGGAGCTTAAGATCAGGGCAGAAAAGTGACCTTTCCTCTTCAAAAAAATGTTGTATCTAAAACTACACAAACTTCAGCATCTCATCCTAACTAGGTCATTTTTTGGGTAGCCTGGGGTGTGTTTTTTTCAGTCTAGCTTATAATGAGATAAGGGCTTGTGATTGCACTGTCTCTCCTCTCAGCCTCCCAAAAGGACACTGGAACCAACTGGACAGAGCTTTCATGAAAATGAACAGCTATGGGGGGAACAGAAAGAGAAACTTAATCTAGTGTC